TTCAATAGCAAAGGGGAGCTAATAGAAGGAGTGGATGCTGGTAAATCTTTTAATTAAAAGGCAGTGGAATTAGTAGGATGGTGACACTGGTTACTTGATAATGGATAGATGGTTAGAGATAAAGATAGACAAACATAACAGGGGGAGTTATGACAATTAAAAAATAACTACATAACATAACAAGGGGAGTTATTGACAAGTGAAAATTGCGTGTCCCAGTCATGACAGATTTGTAAAATTAGACAGAAGGGGGTGCTAATAAGCGACAGGGGGAGGGCAAATTCTTCTGAAATTAATACACAGGGGGCCCTTCTATTAGAGACACTAGAGTATTTGTGAAGACGCTGCCACTTAATGGCAAGGAATTTATCACGGAGATTAGGTTTACTGAGCAAGGTGTACTATAATCCATGAGTCAGTTATACAAAAATATACACATCTTACTGCGCAAAAAGAATCGTAATGTAATATGATACTACGTAATATTACTTACGCTGAAAATTTCAGATTTGGGAAATGAATAGGAAACAAATTTTCTTTACGTTTGGTGAATTTGGTGAAAACAAATTTTCTATCACGGTGAGCTTATTTTTAAGCAAGTTTTCATATGGAAAATATCCAACCAAAATAATTTTTTATTCTATCCAGGGGAACAAGCAACAGACATGAAAAGTAGAAAATTCATCATTAATCAAATTAATGCAACTTGTTATATTGAGACAACCCAAAGAATAATATGCACTTAGAAAATCTTCTACATCATTGAAAGTAAAGTTAATGTAGCCCCCGTCCAGGGAAAACGACTTTCTAAGCAACATACATTAACTGCTGTCCTACAGGTTGATATCATACGGAGGATAATGTAGACAACATACCTTGAGCCAATGGGAGAAGCAGGAAATGAAATGCTTAGCCTCTATCGTGTCGTCAGTCATGAACAGCACATTCCTGTACCGCTTAATCTGAAAAAGGTAATCATATATGTTATGTGGAAATAAAATTATTACTGTCATCAACAGTGGGTGTATTTTCAAATAAGTTAAAAACTTCAAGCTATAACAAAAATTCAAGCTATAAGAATAGCTCACCAATCTGCAATATTCTTGTAAAGACGTATTTTCTAAAGACGTAGAGTATGCCACTGAATCAAATGTTGAAGTTGTTTCATCTGAAAAGCAATGATTAAAAATTGTTGTCACCGTTAGGACAAAAGCTTTAGGACAATGATAATTGCAAACGATTAATCAATTTGTCGTTACGAAAATCAAACTAGCTACCTCTAATCAGAGATAAACAATTATTGAAAATATTATTAAGAATATATATAAACTTTATCAAATAAAGAAAACCAAAAAAGAGCATTTTTCGTGCAGTTATTAACTACAACGTAAAAGTGCATTAATAAAAAATCCTTTTATGTTTGACAATAACTTAAAAGCAGAAATTTAGGTTCATCTTTAGTCTAAAAAGAAAGGAAAGAGGATAGATTGACCAAGCTCTCAAAATAAGTTAAAATATGTTTAGGGATAACTCATATTCATTCTTAAAACAGGGGGTGCTCTCTCCTCGATTAGCGCAGCTACTCAGAGAGTCCCTCCTGAAGGAATTCCCCTTCATACAATTTGATATGTAGGCTATTATTTCTCTGTTGTTTTTAGATTTGTGTTTAATTTGTGTTGTGTGTAGTATTGTATTAATGTAACTGATAAATTGTATGTAGTTGAATTTTTAAAATAGGAGACGGAAACTAAAAAATAAGAGTTGTCCTGAAAAGCAAGTTCGAAACTTTTTTTAATATCTTCCTAATCATGCATTAACATTTCCAATGATACAGATCTAACTAGCCGGAGGTTTTAGCATATTTCTTTTAACTGTCCTTTCTGAATGTTGGTGACACCGTATCAAAAAAGGTAATGAATTTGAAAATGAAAGGTAACGTAAGTTAAATTTTTTGTGGCATTCCAATTGCATACTCATTTGATGAATTACGTAGTCACTCTAACACAGGGATTTTTCTTCTTACGAAAATCAGTACCATATCAATTTGTGGTTGACGTCAGTAAAAACTGGCGATGGACAAGAACAAATCTGGGGGATTTCTTCACTTTCAATAAGAATTAGGAAGGACTTCTGGAACTAATTCGATGATTTCAGCCAATGAATTGTTTGATTTGATTTGACGGATGGAGGCTCCCTACAAGGACCGAAACTCGTGAACGTTTTCTAAAGCGAGTTGAGGCTCTTGGAGGGGAAAAGAGGTTAACATGTTGCAACAGTACCTTTGAGACGAATGGTCAGGTAAGGTTTCGATCTATCTTGCCATGCTGCTGTCCAAGGCGTGATACCTGCAGGAAACCCTGTAGGCGTCCAGGCAACAGATCCTAGCTCAAATCGACTGACGCTTGACTGGAAAATCGCTGTAAAACGGAGAAAGGCTAAGAAACTGGCAAAACACATCGCAAGTTTCAAGGGAAACGCTAATGTTTATACAACTGCAAACTTTCAAGGCCTGAAATTACGGCATAATCAAATTGGCATAATCGTTGATATGGTCATAATCTACCGGGAATAAAATTGTCACCATCGTGAAGCTAACTGAGCTTTGATAAGCATTGCAACACCAAGTGCTGTATTTTTACTAAACACCACTGTGGATTTTATAAAAAAAGTCAAACGATCACATGTGAGCCTATTTGCAAAGAAAATCAATTCGGAAGTGACGTACCAGCATTACTCGTGCTCAGACCTCTAGACGCTCTCCAAGGAACCTTATCCAAGAAAATTTTTTTCACGGCCTCTGTAACTGAGATCCATTCACTTTCGTTTTGTAGCCGCAATTCACCAATGAAGTCTAGAATACTATCAGACATCACCAAACCATCTGCTGAAATACAAAATACAGAAAAAAATATTACCAACTTGACAGATAAAATATGCAGCAAAGTTACAGAAGTTCAACCACCTCTAGCTAGTAAAAGCACACGAAGTAATCAATTCAAGCGTCCCACTTGAAAAACATCAAGCCTAACAAAGACAAATCTGACATTGTCCAAAAAATCAAGCAAGACTTTTAAAAGAATCCTTTGAAGTTTACCTTGACAGTATTACACAGGCACTACATGACAAACTAAAGCAAAAAAAGAATAACGTTTTATTTTGCATTCAGGCTTGTGGACGTTAATTTCCAAAAAAATTAAAAATCCTAAAGGATCCTTTGCATAACAAGTGTTATCCAAGTAGCCAACTTTTGCTTAGGATATGCAGCTATCTAGCAAAAGAATTTATTCCTGCACCTATAACAGACTCTCACAAATGTTTAAAGTACTTTTAAAGGTCACTAGCATACCATCAGAAAAGCCCCAGCCATAACCTGCGGCAACTGCAATGAGTAGGGTGCAGGAATCTAGAATTAAAAGCATCAAGTCAGAGTTTATAGAAAAGTGAAAACAATACTTCAGTTCAGATTCTTGCAAATAATTAAAGAAGTTTTGTTTACCGATGTATGCGATGAAAGGCAACATACAGGTTTGATGTCGCAGAAATTTACACTAGTGGCCAGGTACCGCGTAAAAGGCGTTCTTGAAAAGTCTCTGAAAACATTAGATGTCTCTGTAATTTTGACATTTTCGACATTTTATGAGGTCATTAGTAATTGTTTTTGTTTGAGTGTTGTAATGAACCGACCGGCAAGGAGAAAGATAAGTAAATTCTGATTCAGTGCCTATCGCGCGCAGTTGTTGTTAAGGCTATGTACATACAACCATAGAATTTTATCACCAAAATTTAAAAAAACATTTTACTCGCATCATTTGTTAACAATTAATTATATATATATATGAAATAATGAATTAGAAAATCTCCTTTGTCCACAGTGTGCATCATTCAAACAAAATGTATACAAATACAGTAAAGATTACTGTATAGCAAATGTTTCTGATGGAAACCTTGCCTACACTTATCACAATCTCAAAGAATATTCGTCACCCAGTTACGCGACAAAGTGCCTTCAAGACTTAAGACTGGAAGGTTAAGACTTAAAAAACAGACTGACATATGACAGCAGATGCTAACAAGAGCAATATTTTCAATTCTATCACCATAACATTTGAGCTAAACAACCTCTTGTTTCTAAATAAACAAAACAAAATTGTCTTTATAAATACTAGGAAAATAAAACTAAGTTAAATACCATATATGGTTTCTCCACCCACCCACAAAACAACGATATTTGCCTTTGCAATTATCATCGGAAAGGTTATATCGGAACAGACACCTTCCTGTTGAGAGTTGCTGATACTAGAAGCAGAAAGGTGTTAAGGGCATTGGAGGTTCCCTACCCTTTATGTAGAGAAGAGTCATGTTTTGTCGTGTACCTTGTTCTGTTGAGACCCCCTCCCCCTGTTGTGTACTTGGGGGTATCCCCCTTGGGTCACTACCATAAGATAAGCATTCGTAATATGAATAGTTCAGGTGTGCATGTTTAGTTTCACTTTAGGACAAATAATCCTGTCATCTTAAGGGACGGGAATGTACTTTTAAATATACCAATATGGGAACAACCAATAACAAAGTTTGTTTATGTCTAATGTCTACTACTTTTCACCCCACGTATGACTTGTTGTCTTGCGTTTCCTTGGATAGCTCTTTGCTTTCTGAAAGAACACAAAATAGAGTGAAAAAGACCCTATCTTGCTTGATTATTTAATTTTGTTCTCTTGGCTGACAAAAGACTGTAGTTGAGTAACATATGAAAAGTTATTAGAATGCTAAGCATTGCCCGCAACGCAGCAGCAAGAGATATCGAATTCTCTTCATTAAAAGATAACGTTCAGTTCAAATATGAGCAAGCAGCTCTTTTGAAAAGCAAAAACAGAAGACAAGTCGAGGAGTAATATATCATGGCAAAATATGGTGCTCCTCCCCCAAAACAAAAACACCGTTAAGTTCATGCTTCATAGCCCGTTCCGCATAAAACTGCTTTCTAGCATGCCCTCAATTTTTGGATAAACCCATTTTGGAAAAAGACTTAAATGCTAGTCCCCATCTATAACGCAAATATCTAAGCGATAATTACTGCCCAACAACGAAGAAATAATTTGTTATTTGCTAAAACGTCCTTGTACGTATAACATATCACGAGGTCGTGCCATCGTGAATACTTCGATTTGTTGTTTCACATATATACTACAATTATATACAATTATATTCTTGGCCTAATTGGAAGTTATGCTTGAACCGTAACATAAATTATTCCCAGCGTCATGAGATAAACCTTGGGTCAACCCATTAATGCATGCCACCTAACGCATCCTTGGCCATTTAGCAATCTAAAATTTAAAAGCTAGGTCCACTGAAAATGCTTCACTAAAATATCCATAGCTAGATGATACAGTTGACTTATGACAATCCATAAATATTAACATGGACGTTCTATATTCCGATTAAATAATGTAAATAATCTGATCTTACTTTAATTATATTTAATTTGTTTAAAGACACTGTCTCATTGAACTTTGAGGATACTCGCCTGGGCAGGTTTTTCTACACGATATCAATAGGTCTTGGTCTAGGAGCCTTAAATCTTGATGATCAGTCACCAAGGGAAGCGGTGGAAATTACAATAGGTATACAAGCCATTGACTCCTCGTGCTTGGAATTACAAAAAGGCATCGTTTCGTTTGGAAACACCAAGGAGACTACTGTGTTCCGAGTTTGCGTGAAGTCACAATATCGCGGTACCTGCACATCGAGACACAGCACCCCCCGTGCATTCCGGAAACGGTACCCTTGTTTCCAGAAATATGAAACGAGGACATGTTGCACAACCACTGCTAACTGAACAATCACAAACTTTCATAAATTCTAATGCTTGTTCAATAGCTGCCACGAAGGTTAGGAGCTCGCTCCCGCACTGTTCAACAGGATAATAAATACTGTGTCCACAAAAAATAGAATAATATAGTACATTACATATCAACGATTTAACAAGTTTATCACCTAAGATCTAATATGGTAAACATGAACTTAAATGCGTTGTGTTTTATATGTCGGGTTTATGTGTCTAGTGTTTAAACGATGACGTCATTGAGTTAAAAAATAAACAAATCAAGAGATTGTAATCAATTAGGCAGAATCAATCAACGTAAAAAGGATATGATTAGTGCTATAGATCCACAATAACAGTACTTTTGCTGGCAAGTTTGGTGCAAAAAGTATTTTTTCAGCATTAACACCAAACCGAGGTTCTCGCCTCAAATTCAACTTTTCTGATCAAGTCATCGTTAGTTCTTCTGACACCAATGCCATTGATTAAATTGTCAAGGCATTACTTCGTACTTTTAGAGAGGCCAAAGAAACTTTCTTTTACGCCATACAAAGATCCAAACTGGGCCTCGATGGTCACACTCGTGCTTGCCTATCTTAAATACTATTGACTTTCTATACCTTCCCTACATCGCACAAACAAGTCAAAATCCTTCCGTTTATTGTGGATATATGCAGAAGCTCCTCACAACAACATGTTGCTTGAGAAGCGCTATTACACTTAGGAAGAGTATGGTGAAACCTTCTTCTGCAGAACACTAAAAAGAAATTGCAGTTTCTAAAGCGACCCAAAGTAACGACTGAGCTGTCATTTTTGGGGTCTTGTTTGGGGTTTAAAATGATGGCCTTTTTCTTAAGGTAAAGACCTAAAAAAGGGTGACTCCATTCTTTAAAATGTGGTAGCATATGATATCTTCAAGGCGGCCAATTTACAAGGTGGTTACTCAGTTCTTTGAAGCAGTTTGACCATACTATAAATGTTACATGTTCGAAGAATTACATTGGTTAAAGCTCGATTTCTAATCGGCATCATACCACGTGATTAATGAGCTACACAGTTGAAATGGGCTACACTGTTGATATGTTCTTGCCTACTTTAGTGCTTCGACGTGCAGATGGCCCTAAAATGAATTCAAATGACACTCAAATTAGTTTATGGCAACAGTTATAATTAATGCAATAAAAACACTGATTATATAAATAATTATATTTAAAATGATTAATCCAAAAAATTTAGGTGCAAAATATACTGTGTTTATTGTTGACAATTATAATTTGAATCTGAACAAATGGTGAAGTTGAAAATTTTTAAATGTTTAAGAAATCATTTGGTAGGTGAATCAAGTGGTTGAAAAAGAATAATAAAAGTAAATTCTAAAATTTAAAATTTAATATTCTGAAGATGCTTGGGTACTTTGAGCGTTAATGTATTTTACATGTAAATGAACTTTTCAAGCTTACGGACCAAAGAAGTGATGTTCGGCAAACAAGGTTAGTCCAAGCTCTAATTTTATCTTAGCGTGCTGCTCTTCAGTGCCTTCCAGACTCCCCAGAAATTACTCTAGCTTTCCAGCCTACTAAGCACTACGTTACTTTTATACCCCAAGTTTCACTCACGCAAATTATAAAATCGATTTTTACACTTCATTTGAAATAGTCCCATAATCAATCCATTACTTTGACTGACATTATTCCAGCAAAATCTTAATACTTATCCCCTCTCTCTTTTCCAATTCTGTTCAGCACTCAAGCGAGCATACCAAAATTTTCCAGGCAAAGAACTACTCTTGGTAGCAAAATTTTATAATAAAAACTATTAATATTAATAACTGCAATATTGGTTTTAATTATTATTACTTACAAAAGTAAAGAAGAAGAGTAACTATTCATCAAAAGTTATTATTTGGAAAGAGGGTGTCACCCATTGGAATACAAGGCAAGCACGCAGTAGAAAGGAGCAAAACATTTTATCTAATACGTAGCGAAAGAGCCATAAAATCTGCATGCAATGGCTATGTCCTTCACCTCGCTATTCCTTGGTTGCAAAGCCTGTAGATACTTTTGCAAAAGTTTACATCTAAATGATTTCAAGTGACAGTGGCATGACTACATGGCAGGGACTACTAGGACAGCGTTGAAATAAAAGCACACCTGTGCAGTTAAATGAGCCAACCTGTAGGCTTTGATATCAGTCAACGTGCACCATCTACTATCACTGCGAAGAAAGCAAATGCCGAGACACGGGCTCTGCCTGCCTTTCTACAAACGCACTGGAGGGACAGACAAGGTGAACACAAGCCTGCACCTGTAACGCATGCCTGCAACTTCACTCTTAACCAAAACTATTGGAATTCCAAAAACAAGAGTCATGTTTAGCGATCTTGACAACATGGCCTTTATGCTTGGCAAGCGATTAAGCTATGAGTTATCAAAATTGTCGAAGGTAAAAAAGAGTGAAAGTTATTGCATTTATATTGCTATTTTAAAAAGGACAAAAACTGTGTGCTCCAACGGCTACTGGAATTTATGCAACATTAAAAAATGCTTAATTATCAAACTAGAAGATTCATGACATGTCAAACAAAACCAATTTCAGATTTTTTTCCTCCGATCTAATAATTAGCATTTCTTTTGGAGTTTAACACTTTGTCAATGCAGAAGAGTACGAATGGCCTAGAGCTGGCTCATATCGATTGCATTCTAAGAAACCCTCTCTGGTGCTATGTTGAGTTCAGCAATTCGCGCAGTGGCGACGCCAAAGGTTCTGCTTGTCCTGCTGGGCAGGACCACAAATTTTCAAAGATAACAATTTTTAAAATAAGAGAAATTGATTCATGTTTTGAAATCATTTATGCCTGATTCAAAGGCATTTCTTGCCTTATTCTACATTTATACTTCAAGGATGTGCCCTTTTTCAATTTTGAGACACAGGGTGGCTGGAATGGAATTTCGAGTATCCCGTACGTAAATTGATATCGTCGAAAATTTAGCCCTGTGGCCAGTCCTGCCTAATACTCAAGGCAGGACTAAACCCTATGTTTGGTCCTGTCCAACAATGGGGAAACGCCTCGTAGCCCTGTTTTTGGTCCTGCCTTATAATAGATAAACACAATGGCACTCCCGCTCTTCGGAAATGGCAGGATCTCAGGTCCTGCTCATTCATGAAGGCAGGACCTAGACTTTTGGAGTCCTATGTTTCGGTATAATTTGTTGATTTTCTGCGCCGTGGTCACAAAGAACTTTCACTCAGGCTTTCTTGATATCATGGAACAAACTAACTGTAACGATGACCTCATGATTCTGCTGCTGAAGAAGTTTTTGCTGCTAGAAGCTTCGGGCAGGAAAGGCCTACACTGTCGTCACTTGATTTATACAAGAATCGATCGTTTCAAGTCGAGTGGTACTTATGGAAATCAAATTATTTAGAGTCGTTTTGTTGGTCCTATTTACTGTTCAAGTCAGGGATATCACAGACATTGCGAGAAACCTGACATTCATATAGTTTTCTCTCAGACTGCAGAAAGCAAAGGAAGTCATATTCAAAGGCCTTTTTAAACAGTAGAAAAAGTTTGCCAGCGCCGCCGAGAAAGAATCTTCGTTTTTCTTTGTACCAGGAAAGTCGAGATGGAGGGGAGATGAAGTGTGCATGACAGAAAAAAGGGCTTGCTTAAATTTAATTTCAGCAGTTCGTCATCCTGCCTTACCAGTTCAGAGGTCCTGATGAAAAGGAAGCCTGCTTAAACCATGGACGCTTTCTTTTTAGCTAATGATTTCAAAAAAATTGAAATATTACTTATTTTAGAAATAATTTTTGTGATGCTCTTATGACTTCTTCAATGTAAGGCAGGAGGAACTTGAAAGGATCCAAACCCTCATTCCCTTTTTTCCAAAATGTGGCAGTGAAAAACGTTTCACTGCAATCTTGATTTTAACATATCCAGAAGAGCGTTCCCCCTTTTCCGAGGCTCTTTAGGGCGTGGCTTCACGTAATTTTTCTCGGCGAGTAGCCCCCAGACCCCCTTTGGGCAGGACTACGTGTTCTTGATTACTTCGCAACTGAAATAATGCAAAAGTTGTTTAGTTCGCCTTCTACAAATCGAAGTAATACTGGACTAGCGCAAAGCAAGCCTATTTTGAACACCGTTATGTCGAAAAAAAAACTAATCCAGTCCAGCGTTAATAGCACAGCAGAACTGGTGTAGCTAGAAAATATTTAATCGTTAATAACACAACATATTGATATTAAACCTCTAAAAGTTAGTTCACTTACCTGGAGATCCCATGACAGGTTGCCTTCTTTCAATAGTCCCTACTGATACATCAGACGATGCACCGACCGAATAACTACGAACAAAATTTCCGGTTGACGAATCAGTACTTGAGTCGGAATCCGAGGATAAAACCCGGACACTTTTAGAAGTAATTGAAGATACACGTGGTGGAGTAGGAGGTGGTATCTTTTTGTTTTTCAATTCTGGCGATTGTTCTTGTGATTGCTGTGACATAGCGGGCCGGATTATTTTTGGAGAAGACGAAGGACTTTCTACGTTAGGTACTTTGTGAGTCTCCTGCGCAGATCCTTGCTTAGCTTTCAATGTCGAGCTAAGTGTCTCAAGAGATATATGCGACGCTGTCTTCGTACTTATGGTGTTCATTTGTTTTATTTTTGCATTGGCGACTTGCGGTAAGGATGGTTTGGAACATTCCACTAATTCGTCACTATTTTCACCTGACTCGAAAGAATCCTCTGATGAAAGTCTAAGTCTTAATTGCTTTAATTCAATTTCTAATTGTTTCACTCGATGACTTTCCTGCAAATATTTTTGGTGTGCTTCCTTGGCACGCTTCTCCGAATCTAAAAGTTTTTGCTCTAAATCTATCCGATCTTTTTCTAATGAAATATGTCCTGCTCTTTCATCGTCAATCTTTCTTAGCCATTCCTTAAATTTCTTTTGCTCCTCGACCATCAGTTCTGAAAGTACACGATTTTTCCTCTTCTCTTGTTCAATATCCTTTTGCAATTGTTCTTCTTTCTGGGCCTGCTCTACAATTTGCTTCGCAAACATTTTACAATCGTTAACCAAAAGATTAAATTCGTTTTGTTGCTCCTCTCGAACCTTCTCCAGCGTGATCACGAGTTTGTCCCTCTCTTTTTCAGCCTTCGAGAGTTTACTCTGTTGAAATTCAATCTACAATAAAACGAGAAAAGTGAGAGATGAAAAATTTTGGTAGAGGCAAAGGTTAAAGAAGTACACAAGAACATTCAAAAGGAAAGGCTCGGGTGAAAGACACAGAAGAAAATTAGAGAAACGACAATAAAGCAAAACCAAACGTCGAGGTAAATAAAGGAAGAGAATAAACGTGAGACTATAAAATGATGAGGATGAAGGAAGTGGTTGGAGAATAAAGAGAGCGAGTTAACAACTATGTCGATGAAGAGTGTGAAGCAAATCAACTGGAAAAGCTGATAAGAAGCATTTACTCTGCACGATTCGAAATAGAGAGATTTTACTAGGATAAAAAATCGCCCAGTACATTATTTTTATTCAAAGTTAGGCAAAGATATCAACCTAAAAGAAAAATGGGATGAGTGAAATACTGAAACCCTTTGATTTAGAACTGGCTAAATGCTTTGCAGAACTCGAAAAAGGTTACTACTTTGGTGGAAACAATATAAAAATCCATAATAAAAGATTAAACCTGGTGTTATAGGAGGACAAGCTGATATGAACCAGGACAAACATTAAAAAAGGAAGGAGTGACAGGTAAAGCTGCAACAGGTGACAAAACATAGGGAACAAATTGCATGAGAAGCGAAACAAAAGATTGGTTTGTGTCACTCTTTCGAGCATCTTTGATACGTATAACATTTTAAGAAAAGAAGAACACTATTTCATGAAAGAAAAAACACCTCCTTGACGAGAAACAAAACATCGAAGAGAACAGTGTACAATAATAGCCAAAGAAAAGGTTCAGATATAGGTGACATATTTCAGACGAGCGTTTTAATGATTCCGACCACAGTCCCTATTGTTGATTATGTACATCCATTAAGATGGATGACGTCATCAAAACGTTTCTTCATCATGCGCTTGGGTTGACAAAAACACTGGCAAATATACAAGATCAATGCATAAAGAATGATATTGACATCAGTTACACCATGGTGCAAATATATGAGAAAGAACAAGGGAATATATTGCTTTTAAAGCCTTTCCATGATGTTTATGCTAATAAATATTCAATACATTAAAAGCCTTTTGTTGAACGGAAGGCTCACATCCTTTCAGGTGTCTTATAGGCCTTCTATGACTCTCTTTCCTCAAGAATTTAAGAGCTTTTCCGAGCTCTATGTCTGAAAATCTTCCATTAGCACTAGCTATAGAAATGGTTATTTGCCAAGAGAATAAGTAGTATTCAAAGGTTACAGATTCGAATCCCAGTTCGGCACATGACTTGGAGGTTTGTCTCCTGTTCATTCAGCAGCCAATGGCTACACTACTGAGCCTAGAGACAGCAACAAAAGACCGACCACCCTACTTCATGGTAGTGCTATCCCAGGGCAAGTGCCTTCTCTAAAAGGCACTTCCTTTGCGTTAGTTCATAAACAGGTCTAACTTTCATCTTTAATGATAAAAAACAACAAACACACCTCATTTGTTAGCCTTTCTCTATCTTTTTCAAGCATGTAGGTGACTTGGTCACCTTGCGCTGTGTCAATTGCATGTATCTGTCTCTCCTCTTCCAACTGACGTAAAATCTTAGAATAAAGGAAGTTAAACTATTGAAACATAACCGTATATTCTACATAATAGCAAAGGCATAGGAAATTGTAACACTATAGTATAGAAGGAACAGTGGTATAAAAGACATAACACCCAAGAATAGATTATCATGTTGACAGAAAGTTTTCATAATTCATAAAAAAATCATAAAAATGATTTGATGCAAGCTAATCATAACATGTAAATTATCATTTATGAACTGAGTTTTTACAAAAACATTATTACATATAATAATCTGTTTAGAACAAAAAGACATACTGAATGAAGGGTTACAACTTCAAACCAGCAAAAATTATATGTGCTTTTCAATAGCACTTACTTTTAAAGTTAAGGAGCATACTATTACTGTGGCTTTTTTCAAAAACTGTTAATTTGAACAGTTTTTATATCTTTGCAGAGACAATTCTTAGTTATTAATAACAACTTTGTTTGCTATACTGACAAAGAAGAACACAAAGTACAGATAAATTCAGCCCCTGATATCCAGTAGCATGCCAAATTTACATGCAGAGTTTGTAAATTAAACTTCTATCAACTAGCTGCTTCAGTTTCAGTTTCCATTTCAGTTTCCATTTTGTTCTTTTTAAAAATTCCACTACATACAATTAATCACAATAATTTAACAAATAAATAGCTAAGCAACAAGAAACTAAGACTGTGTTGCAGCAAAATCACACATCTGCGAGTAAAAATTATTAACATATACATTCAAGGAAATAAAGAGAATAAGATAAATTGTGTGGAAGGAACTTCTTAAGAAGAAGCCTCTCAGTAGTCAAATTTATGGAGGAGAAAGCACCAGTAGCGCCAAATGTAAGCAAAATAAATCAAAATAGGATTGCTGAAAAATGGCAAATCTGAAAAATATGTTAGAAAACGAACAAATAAACCAGCATAAATGCAGAAAAAACGAACCATAAATTCCTGACAAAAAATAAGTCATATCTTTCAATTTAGTGAAAAAGTAAGTGCTTTTATGAATTTTATAAAACTAAACAATTCCGGCAGCAATATGGTAATATTGTGACTGTCTTTTTTTGTCTTCAAAATATTAAGTTTCTTATAGTATTTGGAGACATGATATGTATTTTCTGTTCAATATATCTGTGAGCTAGGTGGTCTATTTCCTAACACACTATATATTAGAAATGGGAAAAAAAGGACAGTTCAAAAATGAGACTGAATCTCATAATCTTTTTGCTCATAATCAAATGACTTGACTTTAATCATAAACTCATATCTCTTGAGGACATGTAAACTTGGAAGCGGCAATGTCTATCATACATAATCATAAGTTGCAGGAATGTGTAAAAACCAAACAAGCCAGTTCTATCTTTTGCATAAGCATATAACCACACATATACATATAACCTATCAATTCCCAATTCATTTCCTGGTCCTGACATTGTGAACTTAAAAGAAAGATTTCAGGAATACAAAAAAGTCTGCAGGCCAGTTTTGAGCATAAATGCAGTGCCAAAATTGTTATTGCTGGATCAAAAGGATTAGGTATCTGTTTTAGTCAAATGCAAAAAATCTGACTTTTCATTCCCTGGCAGACCTAGCCAATCAGGCCTTGCCCGGAAAGGCGCTCGATCGAGCGCGCGCGCCTAGAGCGCACCCAAAAAAAGCCATGGAGAGCGATTTATAGAGCCCCTCAAAACGTAAAAACAATATTAACACGTAGCAAAATAAATTTTTGGAATTTGTTGAATCAACTTGATCAAGCATAAACAATCTTCCCAACAGACCGCAATATTATGATTTGCGTAAGATTACCCCTTGAGAAAAAATTCAGCTAATTCAACGTTGGGTTTTCGATATCATTTTTAATCTAATAACCCTCTAATAACCATCAAGAATACAGGCCATCAAGCGTATTCTCCGGCAGATTTATTTGATTTTCGAGCAAGCGTTAATCTTCTATCGAAGTAAATATTATTTTCTGTTTTTCTTAATAACTTAAAATCGCCTGTGCAAATCAGCGATCACATTTCCGTCCAAATTATCGCATTGCTTTTCATTTGCTTTTGCGAGTAGTAGATGTTCTAGCGTTTCTATAGAATGGATAACATGAAAAAAGGAAACAAAGTTAAATGTTCGATTTAAAGCCATGCGTTTTGATGAAGCAATATGTGAAGCTGAACATAACAGTAGTGATACTGACACTGATAAAAGCTCACCGCATGATGGCAACTTACATATTTAGAAAAACATGAACAATTTTGCGACTTTGTTCTGTTATATTTATATATTTACATTAACATAGTGTTTGTTGCATGTTTTGTTATTTCATATTATGGTGCTTTCTGGTATCACCGTTGAATTTCATATTTAACATTCTTCTGAAGCTTTTGATATGAAGCTCTCGATCTTCTAAAGCTCTCGAAGGATGCTCTCAAGGAAATTTACTTAGAGGTGCGAAATAGAGCGCCTAGAGTTTCTAAGGGGCTCTTTTTATGGAGCACCTTCATTTTACTTAGAGCAAGGCCTGGCCAATGATGACAAAAATGCAAGGATTTAAGAACAACTTTATGGTAATAATAAGCACTATGTGTCATAATAAAAAAGAGTCAGAACATACTGTTTTATGTTGATCTTGCAGCATTGCTTGCATTTGCTCTCTAACAAGCTGATGATAGGCAACAACATGATTTAAATGGGCTGTTGGTTCACCAAGCCAGACATCATCATCATCATTTTGCAAATCATTACCTTTGATCAGTGAGGAAAGTTGCCCATCCCCAAGTAAATGTGACAATGGCAATGCACTGCCAATATCACCTTTCTAAAGAATCAACAATAAAAGTAAATTATGATAGATTCAACAAAACATAATAAATTTTCACAAGTTGCCTAAGGCCAAGGTCACAAAACGCCACATTTGTGACCTTTAAGAAATAATGTATACTACATATTAGGCAATTTGGTTAAGGTTGCTGACTACGGGCCTAGGGTCGTTGGTTTGAGCCCCTGACATAACCAAAGACTCTCTCAGAGTGATAAGATTCACCAGCTCTCTGTAATTCCAGGGCTAGAAATCATGAGGTGTGGTCACTTCGAGCGAAAGGACAAGGACCCTGCTCAATAAGCATGGCTTTCCAGTGTCCTAAAACTATGTTCAGAAGCTAGGTAGCAAAAATACAAACAATACAATATAAAACAATACTATATTGCTGTATTTGATTATTTGTTACTCTAGCTTTTTTCATATGTACAATTTTGAAACAATGTCACTAATGTACAGTGTTGTGCTATCAAAGTAAAGAAAAGGGATGCACTTGGACAAAATGATGCAAAAAATAGTAGCAAAAGTAGAAATTGACTACTTTTGACATTAACAAGGGGACACATTTCCTAAAAGCCCCCCTAGCACTGCACCACTGATCTAATGCCTTAACAAACATGAATGAGTCAAGTTTTTTCAACATACCATAATTGCACTGATAATCAGATCTCTGGCTTGTACCTCGGCCTCCAACATACAAAGCAGGTTGACTAGGTCATCTTTCTGCAACCCTTGGAGCTAGAAAAATATTTCATAATGTTAGGGTAATTTAGATAATTCAATATGTAACTGTTATACAATTGTGAGACATTATCAGAAAATAAGAAGAAAAATTAATGGAATGATGATTGAAATAATAGCAAAATATATGCAAAGAATAATTAACAAAAACTACTGTTTACTAGTCTGTCATAAACTACTCCATACTATATAGGCAGAGCTGTGTATGCTTTTGGTCTACAGAACTGAGCATAAATTAAGATCCAAGTAGCAACTTAGAACCATCCTGTTCTGTGCACCAAAAGCATACAATGAATATTTAAATAATCAAACATTCTCACAGAATACAACACACCTGTGATAGAAATGATGTTGTTCATAATTCCTAATTTTAAATTGGATTTTACACTTTAGAAAAAACAATAATAAAAAAATCTAAATATTGCTAAGGTTTCTTTAAAAAATGTGAGGGACGTAATTCCTTTTGACAACTGAACAACTGAACTGAACATTTCTCACAAGTTCATTTCCAGGAGGTGAGGGTAATCTTCACACAATTTTTCATGACATTAAAACCTCTCATAAAAAAATCCGTAGAGATGAGCAAAATATATACTACTTATAGTTTCAAATGCAAGTTCTGTGTAAGCCTATTTTTCAGAAGTAAACTTTATTGACAAAGCACTTACGTTTCCATGCACAGCTGTCTTCGGAATATCTTTAATTGACGATTTTCTGTCGATGATTTTGCTGGGAGATGTTGCTTGGTTCGGCGAACAACTTCTTGTATCGCCAGACATCGTGTTAATATTAACTTTTGACAATATCTTCGGTAAGCGATCAAGTTTCAGCAGTGTTTACTAACTGTCAAACTGGCAACATACGGTTAATTTCCGGGAGCTGACAGTGCATGAAATGATCTCAACAAACATCTTCTTCTTTTTCAAACTTTTTGATAAGTTGATGCAACTTATTACACCACTTCGTTTAGATTTAGAATGAGTTACATCAACTTACCAGGCATGCAATACCAAAATCATGTTTGAATTTATAATTTTAACATCATTATCTACTTTGGGTCTTTGTGACAATCGCTTCCACCATACACCGTATCATCTGATTTCTCATTCACAAACAAAGCTTTCTCTTTTACGAAGTGAGGTCCCTCAAAATGTATTCCTTAGCTTCTTTGCTTCAAATTTAATCGAACTTCCACTTGCCTATCACAGGGCCTAGGCACACTAGGCCAAATTCAAGCATAATTTACCATGACCTTTCTCGCACTGCCTGGTTACAGAACCAAAAAATTTAAACAAAGTAAACAGAATAGTTTGAATTCCCTTGGTGCAGTTTGCCGTAACGCATGAACAGACGGAACAAGTTATTTAACTTTGCTGTATCTCCATTCTATCGATTTTCCAGCTTCTCCTCATTTGAAAACAATCGCTAGGCCAGAGAACAATGCTCGCCCCAGACCTCTTAGCAATTCATTGTTTTCCAGCCCCCATCTCTTCGGGGGTCATTTTACATACGTAGAATATTGCTACACTGGACAAAATATCTCCAAATCCCCTACCCCGAACATTATCTAACAAATGCCAAAATAGTAAATTTGAATTGGCAACACGCCAAAGACATAAAAGAAGGCATATTCAAGCAACCCCCCGAACATATGATTGTTATCAACAAGTAATGTCTTGCAACACCAAAGTAATAAACTTAGAAAGATGCAGTTTAAGATTCCTTACAGCAATTTCCTTTTTAAGAAGCTAGAATTTGTAAAAAAAATGTGAACTGACGTTAAGAGCACGAATAAAAGTTGTAGTTCTCTCTAAGCGTGTGCCCCATGTTCCTTTAAAACACCTTGAGTAGCTAAGGAATGAAAGATGTTGGAAAGAAATGAATGCACAGAAGCGAACGACATGAACAAGCCAATGACTATAAATTATTAATCCAATGTTTATATGGCACCTTGAGCCATCTGAATAAAGATCTAACAAAATTTTGTTTCAATTGTTCGTCTTTCAAATTCGAGTGTGTAAAAAGAATCAGTGTTTTAATGGCAATTTCATTTCGCTTTCAACGAGAAACTAAACAGTTATATTACAGGTAGCACTGAATATAAAAAATCCGTTTGAATGAAAACCACAATTTGACCCATCAAGAGCACTATAACGAAAGCCTGTTTTAAGTTACTTTCAATAACCATGAACACGGTCTCTGAGACAATGTGGTCGCCATTTTACCCGAGATTTTCCTTCTTATTTTTTCTGTTCTATCTCATCATTGATCGTGAATTCTTTAAAACCTGATAAGCTAGGCCGCATTGTTAGATAAAACACAGGAAAATAATACTTGACTCCCTACCAACTATTTAGATCATGTAATGAATTCATTCTTCATGAGCTGGGATTCGTTCACCTTCATGCAATAGCATTAAATCTTGAAGTTGTGTTGAAATCTAACATTGGGGAAAATAAAACAAAATCATAGCCATTTTTCTTCTCTACAAACCATTCAAGGCAGGCTCCTATTCAGGTTTTATTTGGTCTGATCAATCTTCTATCGAGCAATTACCAAAACTTTTCGAAACTTGACGAAAAACTCAAGGTTTTCCCAAGATTTTCATCGGATATTCATTGACAAGCAACAAACATAATGACACATGCACTTAATATCAGGATAGAAAGAAACTGATTTGGGGGAGAATATGATTCATTTCCAGAGGCGTAATAAACCTTAGCCAATGGCAGCGCCAGCTACTACGCTCTGGGGAGGGGGGGGGGCAAAACAAAATTTTTAGTCCACGCCTTTTTAGCACCAAAAAACGCTCTTTTAGCAACACCAATTTTACCTGAAGGGAACGCCCACGACTAACTTTTGGCTATGTAGAGGCAGTTTGAAAATAGGATTACATCACAAAAAGTACCTTGCCAAAGTATTACCCCTCTCCTAACATTTTCTAATCGGATTCAGACGAAATACAAAATTGATCCTGCCGGGAACTGAGGGGGACGTGTCCCACCCCTCCCCCCGTGGCGCCGCTACTGTGCTTAACTTTTCACTTAATTCCCCTCCCCACAAGCGTAGTGAGAGGGCAGCCACTTCCCCTAACGAATTGTTGTCCGAGAAAACTTAATGCAAAGGCAATAACATATCTTTTAAAAAAATAGTTTTCACACGAGTATGTCACTGCCCCCCTCCTTTCCCATGTTCTGGAGATAAGATTCTGAAAATGTCAGGAATATTTATAGAGAGATTCATTTCAATAACTTACGAGGTAAATTAGTCTTCTTAAATTTTTCAAAATAAGGCAGTAGTTTGTATATATTTTTGAAAATATTTACAAATAGAAATACATATAGTTTACAAAAAAGATATTAAATAAGTTTTTAATTAATCTTTCGCATTAACATTGATTGTTTGCCTGCCATCCAGCATCAAAGCTTCCATTGTAAGCGGTTCCCATAGTTCTTTGCGGGTTTGACTTGTGACGTTAATAACTCCATTTTCAGTTGCAAGTGAATCAGCATTGCGCAGTTTGTCATTGGCATTGAACGAAGTTTCTGCTTTCCGATTTCCAAGTTCAGTTTTATAATCAGGCTTCCTGCGCATTGAATAACTGCTGCTGCTACTTTTGAAGGCCTTATCGGCCATTGAGATACCGATGTTGCAGGACACACCAATATCTTCCAATCTTTCACGAAAGCTTCCTGAGAAGCGGCAGTCTTCCTCGCTAACAAACTTTATTCTTGAGCCATTTTCGGCCACAGTATGAGTCTCTCTCTTCAAATCTCTTGAGAATAGCTCGTCTTGCAGTGGCAGTAATACAGCAGCTAAATTTTCCTGCGTGATTAAGATTGGATTAAAAAAAGCATCCAAGAAATAAGTCTTAAAGGGTTCTTTTAATTTTGGAGGTTCTAGAGAAGTCTTAAAGGTGATGGGGCTTATAATTGGGAGGGGCATATTTGAAAAGTTAAAAAGAGGCTTAATGCCTTTGCAGTTGGGGGTATATCTCTAAGGTCCTCACGGCAGTATAAAAAATTTAATATTTCACTTGCCAACCGAACTGCAAATTTTTTTAAGCGCGAACCAAGCCACTTTCTCAGTAGCCTGCTTCAATATCATAACTGAAGACACTTTCTTTTACTAGATCATGTACACTAAATACAACTAAACAGGTTAGACTTTCAAGTACGAAAGTTGTGAGATACATATAAAGATATCTCTATTATAACCTTGGAATACTTATGTAAGTTGGACACGAGTAGTTCCGGGGTCCTATCGATGAAGATTTCAAGTGATCGAAAAAAATAAATAAAATTCATATTTTTCAAAGTTTGCATGGTATCAGTTCACTTTTTTATTGTCGGCAGTCCTGTAGCCAGTTGCTGATACACGGAAATGTAAAGCGCCCCACCCTTCCATCCCCTCAAAGGTTCATAGTTTTTCAGCTACGTGTGTCAGAAATCAGGCTGGATCTTATCGAGTTTTAACAAAATGCATGCTTTTTTCTATTACACTTCTTTTTTAAAGTAAATTTAGGTTGAGGCTGACTGTTCTTGATTTTATTGAAAATGTGAGGCTAGTTTGTTCTTAATCTGGGCATCCGACCCTCTCTTGCCTCTTAGTTATGCAGAAAAGCTAACCCAACAGCACGAAAGTTTCAAACATTGTTACCTTCCTTTGGGTGTTCGCAATATCAGAAAAATCTTCATCAAACGATGTCAAAAAGAAATCTTTCAGCATTTCTTTCGTCTTGACTTTGTTGATTTGTGATACACGATTCATCAGATCAGTTCGGTGTCTGCTAAATTGGATTTGCCTGAGAATTTTGCTTTCAGCAACGTTTTTTCTTTCGTGAGGCTGAATATGTGTAAATATAAAAACAACTATATTAACAACACATCAAATACACTCGTAAAATACAATACACAGTTGCTGATGATCGCATTGTCTGTGAAACTCGGAGTAACAACTTAGAACCATTCTGAACCATTCTGGGCAATCTTCCACCTAGTGGGGAAAGAGTTAGCAAACGATGCGGTAGTGTAGTGCTATGAAAAGTTACATTTTTAAGAGCGAGAAGAAAATAATAAGCGTCAGAGAGGTGGGGTTTCCAGCATTTTCAGGTAAATCGTGTAATCAACGGCGCCAGTGCTGATTATTGGGACAGGCTCCCCCAGGTCTTGGCAGAATCGATTCTGTAATTGGTCTAAGGGAGAGAAAATATTTGGGGAGGGGCATTTTATACTCAAGTTTTTCTAAAAACGATTGTTTTTAACATTAAATTCGGTACTGTTATTTTTGAAAAAAAATCATGGGTGTTCCCTTTTAGTAGCAGGAGCGTTCCTTGCTTGTAAAAAGGTGTCATTTGACAATGAAAAAGGGAATGGCTTAAAATTTATGTCCTCCAGCCGCATGGCTGGCACCGACAGTGTGTGTTACTTCACAGAGATTTAAGAAAAGGTGCTACAAAAGCGCATTTCAAACTATCATTGTACTTGACTTAAAATTTGTAATGTCAACTATAGTCTTTAGGCAATATGCTAAAATAGACATTGCTCGTTCAAAAACTTTATTAACCACACCTCAATAAGACAAACTTATTTTTTCCAGTTAGAAACAAGGCTATTGAAAAGTTATCTTCCTTTATATGTCATCCATAAAATGACAAACTTAATTCAAAAGACAGTACGGAGAAGAACAATGGGCAGCTCAACCAAAAATAATCATTATAAAAGTATATTTGAGGTCATCTGAGTTGTTAGATTTGGAAGTTATGGGCTACTGAAGTATGCCTCTATCAGATATAGTTATCATGGTATTTTGGTTAGAATAGAAATTAAAAATTCATAAATGCGATTATAGTATGAAAAACTACATGCATATGAAATATGTCATATATATATTCTGAAAAATTATACATACCCAACTTTGACTCAAGAGCTCATTTTCTTCCTTTGAAAGTTTTAGTTTTGAATTTGCTCTTAGGCTATGCCAAATCTCGTGTGCATCTAGCGAACCTTAAAAGCAAAGAAAAAAAACTCTTTTGTGTGTACCATCAAAATTATGCCATATTATGAAAACAAGGAACAATGATCAGTGCTTTCACACCAGTTGGCTTCACAGTGTATGCTTGTGGATAGGAAGGGATGGCTCTTGATGTGAGAAAAATGATATATTTTGAATTTAACTTTAAAGAGAAAAATCATAGCTGCATAACGGAAAAACTCAAAAGAATTGGTTGAAGATATTTCTCAAAGTTTTATTTGCGTAAAAATTTGTTGAAAAGATTTGCTATGAGCATTTTGCTATAAGAATTTTAGAGACTCAAATTGAAGTGCAATGAAAACATCTTCGTTCAATCAGCCATTGTTTAATATTTCAACATGTTCCAGGGATTGACATAACCAACTATACTCAAATGTGCCATATATTTTTATAAAAAATTATTTACAAAATTATGTGAAAGGAAAACTTAGATAAAAATCATGTGGTGTTGCATTTCATTAGGTTTTCACTATGACAATTGTCAAGGTATGTTAAGTCTTCCCTTAGTATGTCAAGGTATTTAATCTAGTTCTCAGTATCCTAAATATGCTAATAAATTGAACAAAAACTCTTAGTGTTATAGACCTTGAAAATTTTTCAGAGATGGTCAAACAAATTCAATCTTTACAAACACTTTACAAAACTATTCAGATTCTACTGAAACAACAAAGAACATTACAATGTTGATAAAATAAGATGCATTTTACTCGAGATGCATTTTAACTGCAGAATACTAGGAGAAGACAATAACACAATAAATAAAAACTTTTATCTTTGGGGCTTGAAATTATTTTATGATTTATGATTTATATGGAGTGCATTGAGCTTTTCCATTTTTTAAAACTTTAGCTTCATGACATGAAATTATTATACCTTGCAACACTTCAAACCTACTGTTTTGCAGTTTGGGCAGAAAAGACAATTCAAAGTTCATGTGTGCAAAAATCTGGCAGATTTTTCACAGTTTGTGTGTGGAAAAAACTTTTTGCACACAGCAAAAGCTGCATTCTTCGAGTATTCAAAAACTCCATTTCTTTGCTAAAGTCCCCTGTTACTCATGGCAAATACAATCTTCAAGAGCTTCTTGTTAGTTATTTCTTTACTTTCAAAAATTGCCATTTTTGAAAATTACAATGTCACATTTTAAACATTTTTAAATTTTTGTGGATACCTGACTGCCTTCAAGCATAAAAAAGATATTGTCAAAATTTCAAGCAAAATATCAAATGGTCTTTCGAAATTAATTGCATAAAGTCTTCATACAAAGTAGCAAGCCTACAGAAGTTTCCAGCCTGGGTCTTAGAAACTTAAATACATTGAGCAAGTACCTTGATTTCTTGACAAAAGAAACTTTGCATCTGTTTTCACCTTCTTTTTATCTTTGATTGTTGGGTGCAAGAATGAATCAGCAATATTTGAGCCCAAGATAGCTTTTAGCTGCACCTCCAGTGGAGACTGACTCAAACATACAAGATCATTTTCAAGCCAATCTGGCCGTCCTTCAACTATATTGCTCTCTTCTGCTATTGAATTACTTGCTGCTAGAATGTTATCTCTACTTCTTGCATTCCGGGGCATCTTTTTTCCTTTTTATAGAGAGTCGGATACACGAAAATTGACTACTTCAAACAATCTTTGATGACTTCATGCAATGAGTCACTCCCTAAAAACCAAAGGGTTTATGTTTAAAAACCTTTAGGATAGAAGCATGGCTAGGGGGGATAAGGGGGCAGCTTACACCCTCCAAATACTCAGAAAGTTGGTATTTTGGAAAAGTGCAAAACTTCTAAGTACCTCAGAGAGGGGGGGGGGGTGATATCAGTGAAAGGTAAAATGTTTCAAACAATTGTAAGAAAACGGTTTAATAAACATTCTGAAATGTATTTCAAGCTAATCCTAAGGGCATGGTCACAAAAAATTTCTCATTGCTTCACTTGCAGGAGAGCCTCTTCTATCCCTATTGCAATTTTTGCTTGTTTTAACATAAGGGTTTACATAGAAAAATCCTTTACATTCTGATAAAAATCCTGATAAAGTATATACTAAAATGCTGAAATGCTTGAATCCTTAAAAAATTAGATACCGAAATATTTATCAAGGCTATTGACGATTTTGCTCCTAGAATAATGGACTGAGTTTGAAGCTTTTGAAAACGGTTCATCAACGGATATTTGCTTAAAACTTTGAAAGATCAGTTTTTACACGTAGAGCTTTTACCTGACATTATTCAGAAGATAAAACGCGAGAGAAATTGTGAAGAAAAAAGCCAGTTGTTAGAATGGAAATAGCCTGTTGTTAGATAGATTAGCAAACACATTTTAACCACATTTACAAAATGGGGTGTTTTTCTAAATTCTTAAGGGTGAGGTCAAGAAAAACTTTCATACATATCGACGAAGAGAAATCAATAAACTGACCAAAATACCAAACACTGAGAGTTGAACTTTAAAATTCAATCGATCATTTTCAGCAACAACCACCTTTCTCCTTTCATTTGTGTGGTTTAACACGAGTTAACCCAGATTTAAATCTAATGCCGTGACACAACCGACGCAGTAATCACCATTATCTTATCAAACGAAGCTACGAAAGTTTCGATGAATAATGTATATGCATATTTGTTATTGCAAAAACTCACCATTTTGTCTTTTCGAGTTAGGCCTATTTTTGGTTGTCGAGGCAACACAATAACCTCATTCTCGCGAAATCGGACAATGTGGTGACGGGGGATTGAGACAGGGAGACAAGCGTCTAGCAACGGACCACCATGCTAACAATCACCTCCTGGAAACTTTATCAGTACAAAATCTGACCATCTACTGTTTCATCGTCTAGTATTGATGAACATTGACGAAAATATTTTATAAGCCACAATATTTGTTTGACCCAATGAGTTGGTGTAGTATTACCTATTTCCAGGGCCGACCAATATAATAACATTACAAGATATTCAAGATTTCTTTTCAAAAAATTAGCCAGGTAAATTTTACATATGCATACTTTACGAAACGGGATTAAAGGCAAGTCAAAAATCATTACACAATATTTAGAAACAATTCTAAGATATCTGCTTCCCATCTGCTACAAACCCAAAATACCAAAATTATCAAAGAAAATATCGTCTAGCCCTATGCTCTCAGTAATTATAAAGATATATTGAATAAAATTAAATCCTAGACCAGTGGGTGTCCCTATTTTGTCATGTTCCAGTTCCTAGTGTGTTGGGGGCCTAAAAAAGACAATGGGTGTTTACGTATACCGTAAAAGCTCTATTAAGACCCCCTCTCTATTAAGTCCCCCCTTATCAAGCAAAAGCGTTAAATAAGCCCCCCTCTCTATTAAGCTCTTTAGCCTTTGATGTCAAACATAGAAAACATGCGCATTTAGTGGGTCTCTTGACGGATGTGATGATGATAAGATCGTGAGCATTAAATACGGCCTATGTAAAAACTTGTGCGACTTAGTAGTCAGTCAAAATTTGTTTTGAAGATGTCCGAAGGGTTATCAACTTATCCTGGTGATGTTGATAAAGATGAGGACCTTATAATTAGTTGATTAAACTTTCGAAGCTGCTAGCAAAGTTTTTTGCGAACATTTGTATGACATTTGCATAACAAAAAATGGCCAAGGGCATTTTTAAAACTCTTTTTGCTTCAAATTTTTAAGAAGCCCCATCTCTCTAATGACCCCCCCTCTAGGACTGAAAAAAATAGATAAGCCCCCCGGGGGCTTAATAGAGCTTTTACAGTATTAAACTTTTTGGTCTGGGCTAAAAGGCCAATGCTAAACGTCGATTGGTGGATAATTCTGTATTTCCTGCCTATGATGATTTCTCCAATCCCATCCTTTCTAATTTTGGTTTGTTTTTTCAGTTTCCCATTTGCGCTTACGTTACGATTGTAGAATTTTGGTACATTACGACTTATCTATTGTTGCAAACTGTCCATGTAAAAGAAAGGTTTGTAATTGTAGTGCAATCGAATTTAGATTAAAGTTTTTAATTATTTTTATCATCATCTTATTACAACTATCGTAATTGTTTTTCTTATCACCTTTGAACCGCTTAAAGAAAACGCTTGAAGGATCTGGTGTTACGGTCACGTGGACCAGCACGTGAAACAAGTTCGACCTTCGTACCGTAACACTGGCCCAGTCTCCAAAATGGTTGCCCATTAAGTTAAGTACAATGCGGCAAGTGATTCAGGCACCGCGCAGCCATTAGGCTAGCAGGGGCTATAGCCCACCCATATTTTTGCAAAAATAGGCTAGAAAATTTTTTGAAGGTTTACTCTAACGCAGCTTTGGATAGTTTTCTCCTATGTAGTAGCAGTTCTCATTGACTGGGAACCATTTTTGTTCTTTTTCTAGTTGTTTCATCTTGTTTAATGATATGATGTATTCTCTAACATTGTTAGCTTGGTTTTTTATTACCCTCGAGCTAAGTCTATCTATTTTTAAAGTTATTGATATCTTCTCTGAACCAGACTGTTTTAAAAGTTCAATAGAAATAAGCCAGGATTTTCTAAAAAAGGGGTTTTCCGGCGTTCAAGAGGCGTGGCCTCAAAAAATTTTCGGTCACACCTATTTAGCCCCTGCACTTTAAGAGTGGTGCGCGGTCTCTGAAGTGATTCAATAAAAATGTACAATTGCCCTAAAGAATAGCTAAAGAGAAACGTGACAAAGAGACATTTTGTATTTCAAGATATGCGGGATTACTCTAAACGTTTAATTCAAAGTATATAACATGAAACAACGTGTATACTGTTGCAGGAGTAGAATATGATAAAGGTATTTGCAGTCTAACAAAATCCAGCGAAAAGAAAAAAAATCTTCTCCATTCTTTAGATAGGAGGCAACAGCAAATGTTATCTTGAACTGTAATTAGGTAACCGTGTATTTTGGGGAAGAAATAAATTCTGGTATTCTTGTTTTACGGTACTTATGTCTGTATTGATTGACCAAAAGGTATATAGTTCAATCATTTGGACTTACTTTGGTCCAAAAGCAGGTCAGCCGAGAGCTTTTTTGAAGCCTGGGACAAAAAGAAAGATAGGCATGTGATGGCGTCATCAAAACAGAGATTGTTATTGTTGTTTCTATTGTCAGAATCTTCGTTATTATTTCTTGGGGTCCCTCTCAGCTCGCGGCCTTGAGCAACCTACCCCTTCCCCCCTTCCCTTCTTGGTAGACCAAGAGTAATCTCATTTTGTAAATAAAGAAAAGGCCATGGTAGTAACTGCTCAACGGATTCTAATGGAATGCTTGCGACGAAAAGTCCATGACATGTAAATAAGAAACACCACGAGGCACCAAGAACAAACAACAACAAACACAAGAAATTCCCCTTGTTTCAGGAAGTGAAAAGGGATATCCCCGACTTTGACAAAATTTCTCTTCTCTTAGATAACAATGGCAGACAAGCAAGAGCAAGTTGGAGTTGAAGATAAGGTATGACAGCAATTATAAACAGTTTTTATATAAAGATGCTAACGAGAAATAAAAAAAGTGGGCTATATACAACACAGTGCTTCAGAGCACACCGCTTGAAGGATTTGGGTAACAGAAATGCGCTGTTCAACTCAGGGTAAATTAAGTTATTCGATTCGAATCAACTTATTCGACGAATCTGCGGTTTAATATAGTAGTATGAAAGAGCGAACCCGCAAAAAGCAGAAAAGGCAATCCTTTTTATCACAAGTGGGCGCTGTTCTTGACTGCTGTAGCCCCCCTCCCCACTCTTTTGAAACAATATTTAGGAAAATATTTTGAAAGTTGACTCTAATGCAGCTTTGGAAAGCTTCCTCGAACGGATCCTAAGCAATCCTGAGTAGTAACAGTTGTTCTTGACTGAAAATCCTTTTACTTTTTTGTTCATTTTTTGGTGTTTTCTCATGTTTTATTTCCTAACTTGATTAGCTTAGTGTTTAATCATCCTCGTGCCAACTTTGTCTATTGTTAAAATAATCTTCGTTCTTTAGGACGTGACCGCAAAACATTTCGACTGGCGCGTGGTACTCGACTGGCGCGTGGTACTCGACTGGCGCGTGGTACTCGACTGGCGCGTGGTACTCGACTGGCGCGTGGTACTCGACTGGCGCGTAGTACCTGCTTAAAGCTCTAAGGCATTTTACTTCACATAGAGAACTATTAGCAGTTTTGATGTTTGATCTTGTTGTATATCAAGCAATTATTGTGTGGTTGGGAAACCCCCGAGCATCATTGCATTTGTTAACAACCACTTCCATTTACTTTCGTAAGGCTTTCATTTTTCAACTTTTCATCTTTCATTTTTCCCAGCATTTCAGAAAGCCGAAGATTTCAAATTGAAATGAAAGCTAATGGTTATCAATAATATTAAAACAGCATTTTTATACAAAGGGAAATAAAGCGGAATTTGTGCAAAGAATCAGCTCATGTGATTTCTTGGAACTCAGAAGTCAATCGCCTGGCGTTTCCATCTCGTACTTCCTGTTCAAAATCAAAGTTGTTCGCAGTTTATTGCTATTATGAATTCTACAATGTAGTACCAAAAGTTCCTCAATAATTCCCTAATTTTAACAGTTCATTTAAGTGTCTCAAAAATAGCACAAATGCAAGGAAAACAGTCAAAATCAGAATTTTGCTATACAATGTGGCTAGAAAACTGTGGCTACAATGATATGAACTAATTTGATTATCGTCAATAAACGAACGACCAGTACATCCATGTAAATCGTCTCGGCGAGGTATCTTTCGAGAAACCGAACTTGAACAACGTACATTGCTTGGCTAAGTGAAACTTACTATACAATCAAAAAGACAGAATTTGAAATGATTATATGATCAATTTATTTGCCGATTTTGAGAACTGGTTAATTTTAGAAGAGAAGATCTTTTATATACCGACATTGCCAGCGAGTAAAAGCATATAACATTAAAGCTCTTTTAACCTGAGGGCTTATTTATTTTTTCAGTCCTAGAGGGGGGCTCAAAAGAGAGGGGGCTTATAAGTGAGGGGGGCTTATTAATAATTCAATGTAAAATATGTTATAAAAAAGCCCTTTTTGGTAAGAGAATGTCACACAAATGTTCTCAAAAATTTTACTAGCAGCTTCAAAAATTTCTTAAAATCAATCAAGTATAATGCTCTCATCCTCCTCAGAGTCACCAGGATTCATTGATATCCCCTGGGACATCTTCTAAACAAATTTTGATATGCTTCTAATGTTCACGCAGTAAATGTTAACGTGGGCCGTATTTAGAATAAATTTAAATGCACACAATCTTATTGTCATCAAGCCCGTCAAGAAACCCAATCAATGCGTATGTTTTCTTTGTTGGACATCAAGGCACAAGAGAGGTCTAGAAAGAGAGGGGGGCTTATTCTAAACTTTTTCTTGGTAAGGGGGGGGGGGCTTAAAAGAGAAGGGGGCTAATAGAGCTTTAACGGTATGTAGCAAGTATTTGAAAAGTGAAAGAATTACATGTGAGCAAAAAGGGGCACCTCCAGGCTCCAAATAAGCAATTAACCAATGTTTCGGAAAGGTTAGGGACACGTGCCCCCCTGTGCCCTAGATCCTACGTCTATTAGTTAAACGGATACATTTCGATCTAAACATATGTATAGCACATTAATAATGTGACATGTACAGCAAATGAATTAAACCGGGTTTCGATTGTTTGCAACAGTGGCGGGGTGGCTATGTTTTCCCTTGGGTGGCAAAGTCGATTTTTGCGCCCTATCTATATATCGCGGTTACATGAAAGCACGTGTTTCTAGAAGGGTAATCAATTTTTGCAACTTGAATTCAACTTGTTTACCTGGCTTCATGTTTAGCATGCCAACTAACGAAGATTTACGTATGCCAAAAATGTTTTCTATAAGTTTGCACTCGGAACGCCAAAAAAACCTAAGTGTACGCCGAAGATCTTCGGGCCAAGTACATGGAATGCACCCTCGCACGTTTTATTATATTGTTCATAGCAAGTTACAGTGAAGTGTTCTACCCATGTACGATCAATTTTGATGTTTCTACTTGCCAAATATTACAAGCAAACAATTTTGGCGCCCCCTTATCTCCATTTGCGCCAATGTTCAGGGGGGCCATGGCCCCCCAGCCCCCTGCCACCACGCCACTGAAACCTGGAACTTTATTTGCCGTCAAATCCCCGCGGAACAAGTTTTCAAAATACATACACAAACAATATGAAAAATTGCATCCGGCCTAAAAGAACAGTTAGCATTTGATGCGCACTGGAAGCGAATACATAGAGACTCTATGCTTGGCGCAATACGCTTGTTTGCTCTGTTTGCGGAATGATTCTTTCAAAGCCGGTCCACTGGTTACTACAGTACAGTTGCGGCTTAAGTAGATTTGTAAATCGTTCCTAGTAATCGTATCATCGTTTCGGTGTCGAACGTGCGTAACGAAGACTGGCCCCTCCCCTCTCTAAATGTCATTTGTGCTTTCAAAATGGGCAGAAAAAAGAATACAAAGATGATAAGCTCCTGCGCAGCGCATCGAGCACAGCTTTTTATGTATACTTCTTTATTTTCAGGTCATTGCAGCGGAAGCCGTAGAAGAAATGACAATATCTGATCAACTGGAAGTATGCTTTGACAATAAAGTGTACTTCAAAAAAGGAGATGAGAAGAACATGAAAAATCGAATTCTTGTAGAGCAGTTTTATCGATATTTCATGATTTCTACAATGCAATGGTACCCGCACACCGAGGAATGGGCAAATAGCAAGATAAGAAAGGCTGTTTTCAGAGTTGGTCAAATTCTTGCTCTGTGCTTGATTCTGTGTTCTTTTTTCTTCGATATAGGCTACTTTGGCAAAATTTCCACTCCAATAAGCGTGGATTGGGAATACAAAATAACAAGAATCAGAAACGTGCTATGGGAGTTACGATGGTTTTTTGGAAATTTAATCGGACTGTGGTACTTCAATACGCGCCATTTTGAATGGCTTTTGGCAAATACTCGTCTACCAGAGCATATCTGGGCAAAGTTTCGAAAGGAGGCTATAATCTTCTTTGTTGCCTTAGTGATCCTTATTATCATGATTCCTGTTGGAGTAAATGTGCTGGTCATCAACGATCTTATGAAAACAGGGGAGACTTGGCGGCAGCAAGTCATTCATATCTGTGGGTTCTTTTTCTGCAGGTATAGCTCCCTGCCAGTGTTTTTGGTATTGATTGCAGTACTCCGTCTGTTATATTCCGACGTATTAGTTGTTGGTGCGAGGATCAAGGAAGGATTACTGAACGGGGACAAAGACGAATGGGGACAGGTAGCTGAAGAGGAAGTCAGAAAAAGTCTTGGGTCTATACTGCACTTAAAGAAATTGATATCATGCACGGAAAACAAAATAAAGTATTTTATACTTTTCCACCTCATCTTACTACTTTTCACTGCGTTTTTTGGTGTGCTCAGCTGCCTTGAGAGATTGCACATTCACGTACACACAGCAAAAGTAGCTAACAGAACTCTTGAAACCATTGATTGGGGGCAAATGCTGATAATCAATCAAGAGCGCGACATAACAAAATCTGATGAAAAGATAGACAAAGCTATGACCCTAATTGCCGATATTTCACAAAAACATAAAAGCCGGCTGGAGAAAGATGTTACAATGAAACAAATGCTGAATGTGATGAATGAGACCCTGGCGAGTGTGTCGGAATCGTCCAAAGCAAATAAAAAATTGGCTCTGGTACATACAGGAGCAGGAGCTACAAACCAAGTCATGAAAACAGTGTTTGAAGAGCAACTAAACATTACAAGAGTCTATTTGGAGATCGGAATGGATGCTGTTGAATCAGCTCTTCTTTATGGTATCCCTCTATTCCTCTTAATAAGAATAGACAATGCAGTAGGCTTTGTTTTGGACATGTTGATAAATCTTCAGGGAGAGAGGGGAAACAACGGTTTCGTGATGTCTCCGTGTGTTTGGGAAGTTATCAACTTTATGAAAACACTCAAAGGCATACGAATATTTGGTTTTCAGTCATCCTTGTTCAGAACACTGATTTTAACATTTGCAGGTCCTATATTGTTATCCTTCGTTCATTCTCTGTTTGCGGAAGCAAAAATACCAAAGTAATCATCCATTGCAACGAAACTTCCATTAACTTGGTAGGTAAAATAAGGCATAATTCACACCAACAAGATGACGTCGTGTACTCCTTAAGAGATGATACGACCGATCGATTCGATTTCACAATTGCATGAACCGACAACTCTTGAAGCAAGAGCACAAACGATGCGTAGAATAAGTATGATCAACCGCTAGAAATGACTTCAACATTATCGTTAGAAATTTGTAATCAGTTGTACAAAATCTCGCTAGAATTCATCGTGCAAAGTGATAAAGTGATGGATTGAGTCGATTGAAGAAGTGATTATGATAATCAACACTATGCAGAAATTTTACTGGTTACTATACATTGATTATTTTACGATTAGGAGAATTTTGATTATAGTTACATTATATATATTAGTTAAAAATGGCTTTGAAAAATGCAAACATTTTATAACATATTGAATATTTCGATCCACAATTGGGTATATATTTTCAATCATGTTCGTTCGGACCCTTTTTCTGACGTTTTATGCACTGAGGAGTGTCAGACGAAAAAGCTTTTAGGCAATGTGTTATAAAATGTTTGCTTTTTTCAAAGCCAATTTCAAGTTCTGTACCGCCAAAAAACTGTTCATATACTACTATGACGTTTATTCGTTATTATGATTCGGTGTTCGACTATGACGTTACTATGACGATTATGATTACCTTTTGTGATTACTACGCTGATTGTAATGATGATTATGATAATTATGACTGGGTGGTTATCTTTCACGCTGGTATCAACGATGATAAACATTCTTAATGTTTAGGAACACACTTTGACACACCTGAATATGTGTTTTTCGTTTTTCTCTGTAATACATCATAATTATTATCTTGAAAACGCGATTACTACGATATACTGCTTAAAAGCGTGACTTTTCATTTAATTCCATTTCAAATGTTGAAGGAGGGTAGCCCTTCAAGTTTGTGTGATATCTGAACCTGAAAAAACACGAGGTGCTCCTTTCTTTGGTTAAATATGAGGATATAAAACGAGGACACTGTTTATAAAATGACAAACAGCAATCATATAACAAAATTGGTTTTGACTTTAACATCGTGCCGATGTTAACTAACCATGCTTTAAGATAAGGATAGTACAAAAAAGCACTCAAGTGTCTTTAAAAGTTATTCATCATGAAGAGAACGAGAAACATAAACATTTGTACAAATTCAATGCATCTTATACGATTCTTTAAAAGAATCAAGTCTTGCAGGCATAATTACCCTCAGCCAGTTCAAAATTTAGAATCCTCACACAAAAGAACCCGTATGGAGGTTTATGAGGAGTGTTCCTACAGGGGACTCCCTAAGTCCTGGTTTTCAATCTGGTCAACTTTAACAACTTTCACAGCACTATGATCTCCGCCTAATACCTCTATAGACTCACCAAACTCTTGCCTTGCTTCTGTCTCAACCTCAACAGCAGAGTTTCCAAGCGTCGAATCACTGAGGCTAACCATTCTGTTGTTCATTGCTACAAGAAAAATATCTATGCAGTATTACATGATAAATATAGTGCACAGTTTATACAAGCAATTCTCTAATTTTTCTACTGTATATCTGAACTGAAATTAGAAAAAAAGACATTATAAGAACAAAGTGCTTCTCAACAGCAATCATAGGTTTAGTACAATATACAGCAAAACTTAAGCGTTGACTTGTCAATTAAAAAAAGCTCCTTTCAACATGCTATAGCTTTACATTTTCGTTTCACCGTATGCACATAATTCCGCCGAATGCACCGCACAAATCAATCTATATGAGGTTATGTATTGCGCGGGGCAAAATTGCATGACCCTTATTGCAATAAAAGCAGCGATACAAAAATATAATACTTAAATTTTTACTCTAAGCTTCGTAACAAGCGTCCGGAATTGTGTCAGTGAATTTGTGCCTAGTTTTACGTCCATGTTTCACAAATAAACTGCACTATCTTCTTCGGTTATAACTTAAGCACTATCCAAGAAAGTACATTCTTCCCATTGTTGAAAAGGTCGTAATAGTAACATCAACATTAAACAATTGCTCATCACGAGAAACAAAATTAGAAAGATAGAAAGATAGAAAGATAGAAAGATAGAAAGATAGAAAGATAGATAGATAGATAGATAGATAGATAGATAGATAGAGAGGCTGTTTTGAAGTTAATTCTTCGTTGAATGGGAAGCCACTTAAGTTTCTTAAACAGTGGACCTGAATGTTCACGGTCTGGAAGGTCACATATCAACCTAGCTGCTCTCTTTTGAAGCTTCAACAGCGAGGATATCTCCGTAGAAGACCCCCAAACCACACTGCCGTAATCAAAATAGACTTGTATGAAGTTTTGATAGAACAATTTTCTTGTATCAAATGGCAGGTGTTTGGACGAGAATTTGAGCTGTTTGGACGAAAGAGGATAAGAGCTACAAAAACATGATTACCTTGGATGTTAGCAGAAGCAAGATCCTCTTGCGTCATATCTCTAGCTGGTATTGGTATACTCAAATCGGTTTGCACCAATGCTTGAGCCAATTCTACACCACGTGGGCTGTCGACAACGCCTTGATTATCTGTAGCTGCGCTTACATTTTGAACAATGAAACCTGCCTGCGTGGAGGTTTGGTCAGCAGACGATGTGATCACTGCAGGCGTCATGTTCACGGGTATAATGAAATGGTCTGTCAGATTCGAACCGATACCACTGGAGCTAACTGGTATAACCAACTGATGCGGTGAAAGTGAGGCTAATTGGAGTTGTAGTTGATACCCGTGCAACGATGCTAAATCGATTGTTGAAGTGCTGATCAACGGCTGACTGCTTGCCAAAGAATCTGAAACAGGACCAGAACAAGTATAATAATCATAACAATAATCATTGTTGCCGTCTAGGGTTTTATATCATGGTTCTTATAACTGGCCTACCTTCCAAAGATCTTTCTTGCACCAAGCATAACAGCTTCCAGTAGCATCCGTGCCATTACTTTGTAATAGCTCTACCAGCATAAGTTTTTCTTAAAAAAATCCCTAAAGCGTAAACAAAATCTAAAGGATGTTCCCGAATGGTCTGCAAAACAGAAAAAAATATCTAGCAATTTGAAGAACGTGCCTTTGAAACATTTTCTTTGGGATAAAGCCCCCAACACTCCAACTGCTCCATCAGATTATTCTTTTAACCCAGGCAGGGGATGCGCCAAAAATCCATTGCATGATCGACTCTCTCGCGCGGAAATCAAGGAAAACGAACTGGTCTTACAAAAGGACAGCAAAATAAAGGCGCGTTCTCAGATAAAAAATATACCTTGCAAATCAGCGTGAGATGTGTTTGTAGCTATCCCTGGTAATGTCACATGACTAGTGAAGCGATCATTGCCGTGCAAAGATACGGGATTGGCCCCAACTGTAAATGTAGATGCAAGGGCGACGGTTTGCCGGTCGATCTTGATTTTAAGTGCATCTAAATAGGTTGTGTGTAAATAGTCCAAAATACCTGCCAAGCAATAAACTACGTTAATCAATGCACGGCTGTGTAGAGACTAGCTAAGTAAGTTCAAGAAGGCATTGTCTTGTTAAACTAGTTTTTGAAACACTAAGATGCATAAAACACATCGTGTCTGTACAGCATCAAAGGAGATATAAAACCTAACAAAATTAGCCATCTTGAAAATACTCTGGCATATGAAGTCTAAGCATTGAGTAAGGTCTAAGTAAAACAAGGAGCTTCTTAACAAAGAAAATCAAGCTGGGACCATTACATCACTGACGTCACGAGCCTTGTAAGTGAAAGTCTAAGCTAACTACTCACCCCTGAAGTCTAACTTTTTGTAGTCCGGAACTCGTTTTTTTAACGCCCACCACTTTCCTCTGAGCCACTGAGGTGATCGAGCACTTGAAAGAAAAGAATAAAGTTTTGTTTCATAGGAAGAGTAAGTAATAACGCTATGTAAGTAATAATAGCTGCAATTTTGAAACTGCGCACTTTGTTCCAGACGCGAGGGTGAAGGTCTTCAAAAATTCTAAGTGACTCTAATACTACGGAAGCTACACTGTAGGCAGTGATATATTCCGAAAATTCAGTCAATGTCATGACAAGGCAAAAATCTTATTTAGAATTTGGATCTGATTTTGGCAAGAAGTGAAAAAAGGGAGGAAAGTGACAAAATATTAAGTTTACAGTTTTGCCAGAGGCCACCGAGAAAAAAACAAACAGCGTATGTTAATCTGTTCTTTTGTGAGACATGGGAACTGTTACAGGATTACATGCCAGAAATGTAGGTCCTGCTATAAGTTGTCAGGCAAGTATTTTTATACTACTTGCCATCAGCCATATCCATTCATGTAGGCCAAATACTGGGCATGGGAGGGAGCTTAGTGATTTGTTAAGAAACCCTCGAAGCTTTCTTATGTTCGTCTATTTTTAAAAAGGTGTTGTAACTGATTATTCTTTAAAACTAGACAAATACCTTGGCCATTGTTCTGACAGCTTTTGCCAGTTAATATCATTTTCATCTTTAACGTCGATTCTTGAAATCCTAAAAACATTTCCTCCGTCAAAGTTGAGCAAAGAATTCAACAACAATAAAACGAACAAATTGTTGTGAAACAAACTTGTAATTAATGCATGTAGATCCTGAAAAAATTGGGAAAATTGGCAAAAGTTTTTATCCGTTACGATAACAGTAGTCTACAGATCAAAATATTTTGTGGACTGGACATGTGTCTTTGAAACTGAGCAAGTTATGCTCAAAGAATATCTTACGTAAAAATTAAATCACTCTTGAAGCAGAAATGAGAACTCTTGCTTCAATCACAAATGCATAACAAATGCATCTTTCTGACTTTTCTGGGGTTTCTTCGAAATGAATGAACATATTTTCAGGACCTAATTTCAGAATTCTAGTAAATCTACTTCGAATGAAATTTGATGATTTTGTGTCAGTAAAAAAAAATTTGCAAGGTTATCATTTGAAAAATCAAAAATAAGATATCTCAGTAAAATAAAGATCTTTTGGGTGAATTCTTCGACGTCAAATCTTTCTACACTCGGTAATTGCCCCTTGCTTCAAATATGACCTGGCTCCCTTAATCAAAAAAAACAAAATGCCCCGTTAGACAAACCTCTCAATCAGTTCAACCTCGTCGTTTTTAGTCCATTCTTTGCCCCCTACTTCTTTCCAGTTTAAATAATTTATCCTATAAGAGAAAGAAAAGAAATTCTTGAAAATTTTCAGCGGTGAAGTGAAAAGTAAAGGAGTGTTTAGAGGACAAAAATAAAGTAAAACGTTACTGTATTGGAAACATTATCGTGCGGTGCAACAAAATTTGTTCCGAGATATTGATCGAAAATTTGTTCCAGTTTGAAAAAGGGGCAGCTGGAGGCAATTATCAGCAAAAGGCCAACTGCCATCAATTATATATTTTCAAGTATATATATTTTATTTTTTTTCAAATATTACTAAGGGCTAGTTTAAAACTGCATGAATTCAAGCGGAGGATGAGCTAAATTTTGTTGATATTAATATTTTTTGTTTCTAGGTTTCTTGGCCATCCTGGCCCTTAACCTGATTTCTGTTTCGTATGCTGTTCTTGAATCTGTGCATGTCAGTCCACAGTGGCGAGAGGCAACTGTGTTATTCACACGAGCCTCTGGAGAGCAGATGCATTCAGAAGAGACCAAGAAAAAGAACACATTCCAATTCTGAATACTGACCAGAGCACGGAATTTTGAGTCTCGTGTTTGCCAAACCACAAATATACCAATCGTTTTAGAAAGAAACTGCATTTGAGAAGGCGAGAGCTATCGCAGGCCCGAACACGACCGCCCCCTCTCCCCTCGCCCCCAGGTGGTGGAGAGTATAATTTAAACATTTAAAATGAAACAATAACTTAACCCTACATACGAAGATATCTTTCTTCATCCGAGGCGCAAATAGCTTTTAAATAAATAACCAAAAAACATCGCATCTCCTCTCCATATAATCATTCTGCACCACCTACCATTTAGATCGGCACTGTTTTTCAGTCCTCGTGCCAAGTTTTTCCGCAATCGTTGACCATACCACTCCGGTTGTAACAGACTCGCCCTCCTTCGTGTTAGTCTGTTCTCGTACGCAGCGTGACAAAAACGACTCTTCTCTCAAAGTCCATTTACCTGAAAGGAGGTATTCAGAGACATGCAATATTGAATTTTGCTAAAATTGACTTGATCCTAACAGTGTACAGGGGATTAAGTTTAAGAAAGGTTTAGGTATGGGATATAGCAAGACCCTTAAAAAGAATCTGTTTTTTAGCTAGCTTATGAAATTTCTTTAATAGTTAAAAGTTTTTAAAATTTCCCAAGGCTGGATAGAATTTTTTCTTGAAAAGGGTACTGTACTGTATGATTTACGATACAAATGGCATTTTAAACCATTTATATGGCACACATAATGATGAAATTCAGTCAGAGGGATTTGAAATTACAAATTGTAGCTATCATATTGCTTTTCATGCTGAACTCAGTAAAAAAGATTCAAAAATATTAAAACATTTTTATGACTATATTTAAAACAGCTTAATGAAACACTAGTTATTTTTAAATCCTTTAAAAAGAAGACGTTCTGGACCCACGCATAAGAAACTTTATACCACCCCTTAGCATTAAAAGCTTCTTATTCTCTGATCCGGGCAATTTTTATCTTCACATTTGGCAAAAATGGATCATAGAATTGGAATCTTCATGTTGAAATTAGTCTGTGCTGAAAATTTCAAATTGTTTGGGCCGTCAGACAGCGAATTAACCCATTTTCAAGATTTGGCTTTTCCTATACATTTCAATGGAATTTTTGCTGTAGTGAGATTTTTTCACTGCAGCAGCAAGTCCCGGTCAACTCTAAAGAAATATCTAAATATTCAAAACAAAGTAACTCGCGACCAGATGGTCCAAACAACACGAATTTTTCAGTATAAACTAATTTAAAGATGAAGATTTCATTCTGAAGTCCATTTTTGTGAAGGATCCATAGATAGCAAGATAAATAATCAATGACATCAACCCAGAACGGAGAATAAAGCAGAGCCTTTCAGAATATATTTAAGCCTAAAAGTTTTTTAAGTGGTTTCTTTTTTCTAGGGTCTTATTGAATTTCTTTTAGCAACTTTTCGCCTAAATATTTTTTTAAATATCCTGACAAATTTCAGACCAAGTTCCATCAACCACCCCCCCCCTCTTCTCCTCCCCGGACAGAACGCTACTGTCCTTACCTGTTTTCTTATTCTTCCTGAGAAGCCGACAACGGTCTTTGACAGAAGCGGCACTTCGTCCCATATGGCTACCAATGGTTGCCCAGTCATTCCCATACTTGGCATGTAGGCCCTCTAGCTTTTGAACTTCCTCTTCTGAGTATTTGCCAATGAAATTTTTGTTGTCATATAGTCTAAGAGTCTTTCGGTAAACGGCGAACAGGGGCCGTGATATGCCTTGCGCTGAAAAAATGTTGATTTAATCAAAGCAGACCTAACACCAGCAATTCTCATGCAAAAAATATTACCACATCGATAAGGGGCCTAACGTTTTCGCTATAAAGCTGGATCACTAAATAACAAAACCCTTTACTGCTCTAGCGAAATAGGAATTCTCCCAAAGGAAAACTGAAATGATCCAATAAGGAGGCTGTACAGTCCTTCTCGTCTACTGGTGCAACATGAGGATCACACTGGGTCTGAAAAATCAGCAATAGAATTTAAATTACCGGTTTTTTTTTCAATATATTTTGGCCGTAATGCAGTCTCCGAGGGGGTTCACAAAGCTGGGTTGCATAGGTATTGTGAACATTTGAAGAAAAAAAAAACTATACCGGCCTTAAGTTATCCTGTCAGGTTTCCGATTTCCTTCCGTGATTTTTTTGCCAAGACAAAATTCACCGTTTGTATATGTAATGATGCACCACTCACCTATTGACTTATAGAACTCCTTGCGTTCATCTTTTGGAGTTCCAAAAATTATTTGACATGGATCACTGATACCTTGTGCCTGGGAAAACACTGAAGTTTGGTTAATAACATTTCGTAAACCCATAACGATGCATAAGTACAAGTGGATTGAGCCACTTTTGAAGGAGTTATGTTTTTGCTTACGATTGTAGTTTTGGCGCCTGTTCCCACCCTATATCTGTCTTCATAACAATCAGTTGAACATTTAATTGATATAAACGTGTAATGCTACTTGAAATTAAGTATCGACATATTGAAGTAAGGCATTTTGGCTCGAAAGGCATTTTGATTTCAAAGAATTGGTGTTCATGAAACGAACAGTTTTGAAAATATTCAACTAACCTTATGGCGTCATATTTTACAGGGGTGTCATGTCTTAGTTTTAACCCCTCAATTGTATTGGTAATGAGTGAAAGTATATGGCGATATATGAGATTTACAGCTTACCTTGCAGTAATTTTGTATGTTTCCTTTCAAAACATCCACTTCTTCCTTACTCCACATTCCTTGTTTCCATTTGACACCTAGAGGAGAATAGAAACCATAAGTGATGCTTGTGGTGCTACAAATGAACTAATCAACAATTAAACTATAATTACACTTGTGGGGATGAAATACTCAATGGGTCTGTTTTACAACAAATTGCAGTCAATCTGCATAGGTTCTACCACCAATAACTTGTTATTCATTAATCAATTCTTCCACAATTATTCAATCAACTAAAAGTAATTTGGCAGTATCAACTGACAAACTTTTGCTAAATTTTTCCCATTTATTATCACCGATCTCCTCTTTCCTTCATTGCCCAATGCCAAAAAATCAAGCAAACCAACCAAGTGTGCCATTCTTCTTTTCACATTACTGTTGATCCGCATCTGGCATAAAATTCTGCTTATCTTTAGCCATTATCCAACGATAATACTCTTGAGGAGTGTCACAAACAAACAATCAGTATTATACAGACTGCTTTTTTGAATAAAATCAGCATGTTGTACCTTTACCATGTAAAGAATGTTTGTCATCTTTTGATGTAAACCACTGCTGGTTGGCCTTGTTATTTTTTTCAACTGGGGATTTCTAGAAGAAAACATGTCCATCACAATTCAGAAAAATTAATGGTATGCTTCAGCAGCAGTTGTCTAAATTATAGGAAAAGCTAACACAGTGGATATCCAGAATAATAAATATTATGAAAAGAAAATGAAATTAAAAACCCAATCAATAAAATAAATCAAAACTGAATAGATAACCAGGATTGTAGAAAATAAGTACTGTCAGGATTTTATATCAAGGGTCTTTAATTTATCATAGAGATATTTAAGTTTTCAAACTACATATTAAATTGTATTAGGGGGTGGATGTTGCCTGTTGGTATTTATTCTAACAACATTGCTCAACAGTGATATATGATACAACATGTATCATACTTTACAGAATGACTGGAAAATATATAGACACCTAGACACCTAGAGTGCCACCATTATATCCTGGGATGCAATGTGGAAAAGTGAAAGGCTGTAGTGACTTCTGAAAGGGAGGGTCACAACAATTTCCCTGGAAAGAACCTTCAATAGCTTAAATTGTAATAGTACAAAGTTACAAATACCTCAACTGGTAATTCATTTGAAGGAACAGTTTCATATGGTACTGGCTGCTGTACAGCAGTCACTGTCTGCTGTTGAATAACTGTTTGAATACCAGCATTTGCAGGTGAAATTTGAACTGTGTACAAGCCTCCAATCTAAAGAAAAAAAGAACCATATCAAATATCTGTGACAAAACTACATATCCCGGCTCTTAGAAATACTCTTGGGTTTCTAAAGTCCCAAGTGAGCTTTTAAGGGAGATACACACTGCTCCAGGACTCCAGGAAGCATGGTCAAATGGAATGGGATTGATATGTAATATAGAGAACAAAAAAGAAACAATGGCCAACAAACTTGAACATATAAAGCTCAATGTCAACAGAGTAAAGACCAGGAATAAAGGCCAATTAGAAGGCTTGCATATTTTGGGGGTTGCAAAAATAGGGGCCTGGTATAGAATAAACATTACTCACTTGTGAGATTGGCTGATCAATAATCATTGTGGCTCCTCCCACAAAACTCTGAGATTCGTTTACATTCTGAACCAGGTCTTCAGCCTTTTGATTTTTCAGAGCTTTTCGCCTGTTTTTTGATGATTTTTTGCCATTCTCAGTTAGTTTTCTTTTTCCTGCAATGAATATCCAAGTGTGTTAAAACATATTATATTGATACATTTGTTATCAAGGTACAACATCAAGAATACAGCTGTTGTGTTTGTATTAAAATTGATTGTACATAACTTCTCATAATACATTCAAATATGTGTAAATAAAAAGCCACAGCCTCAAGACTTTTTAGAGAGTTTTTCTTTAGAAGCCAGGAAAACAAACAAAGCACCATGATGATTGACCTAATGTTATTTGGGAAAGGGAGGACAAGTTATTCCCTCTTATAGAAATGTAATAAAGCACAGAGGGTGTCAGATGAATTGACAAAACCATTGAGTGACATAAACACCAATTTAATTACACAAGACTACAATAATTGTAGCTTTGAAACACTCATTTGAAACATTATCTTAATTCTATGTTTTCCGCCTCATAAATCCAAACAGAAATTGAAAAGCCTCATGAACATGTTTCGCACATATTTTTAAGATATTTATAAAAGAATTCTACCATTTCACTAAACATATGGTGAACCTTACAGTACTTGAGAATTTTTTGCACATCTTCAAGAAACTTGGTAATTATGTGGTACTGAAAGAATTTGAATTGTGAGGTACTCTCTTGAAAGTTTCTAAAATTTTTGAGATGGCAGAAAATTGTAATAGTCCAGTACATTAACCTCCATGCAATTATGGGTAATGACAAGAGCTTAAAATAGCACAAATTTTCTGACTATCAAAGAGTGATGACATCATATTATTTCATTTTCTGCAACACACCAAATATGTAAAAAGTTTCTAAGAAGTTTAAAAGCCAATATTAGGGACTTTCAATTTCATGGCTATCCCGGTACTGTCTTACGTTTTCAAAAATTCTCAGAACAAAGGTTTTGTATAATATGGAATACATAACAGATTTACTACATTAGCAACATGGTACCCTGTCTGGCGACAGCCTCCCCAAATGTGTTGCCATGTACATCAAAACTGTATGATACATCACTGTTGCTGAGGTCTAAAGAAGCATGGCTCTTGACAACGTCTGCTTGCTTATCTCCATGAATGCTCTGGTCATATGTACCTATATAGCCCCCATCACTACTGATTTCAATGGGGGCATGTAAGCTCTTTCCACTGAGACATCCTTCCTTCAATGAGCCAGTATGTAGTTGGTCAGCACTCAAAAAGGTAATGACATTGTCTTGCAAGCTGTTTGTTTCTCGTTTATCGTCTAGAACGGTATCGTAATCATCAGGAATTCTGATTTCAGGTAAAGATCGTGTTCTAGGCAAAGTGTGAGTACGAGATTGACCCGAAGACATTAAAGGTTGTGCACTCTCCAGTTCCCATGATCTCGGTGCTAGGTCAGGCCTAATGTAAGTTGTAAAGGAGTCTGCGACATAATTTCTATCGCTAATAGAATCAGGCCTATGGGAGCCATGCCCACCCTTATCTAGGTCTTTTTCTCCGATTCCTCCATCTCCACTGTCAGCATCTAAGTTTCTTTGCTCTAAAGACCCTTCGTCTTCAATGCCTCTCCATGTTTTCCATGAGGTAAATGTATCCCCGATATAGTTCTTCCCAGAGATCGATTCGATATGTTGGTTGACTTCTTCCTCCTTTTCTAGGCTTTCATCACTCACATCCGCTTTGTCATTACTCCGATCAGAAAGACCTTTTTCCATTCGAAATTCGCTCCAATATTTTCCTCCGGGACTTTTGGCTCGAACTCTTAGCACGAGTTCCCGTACGTTCACCAGAAGAGGCAAAGATAACAAAGACAACGTGAATCAAAGCAAGGGCCTGGACTGAGCTACGTCATCAGAAACAGCTGAAAAATTTCTGGAGAAATGACGGGTTTTTATCTTCTGAAGTTTTTGTAGATGTGAACAGGGAAATGAATTGATTGATGGCTGGGGGGGGGGGGGGGGGGGTGTGCGAGAAATTAAGATGATTTTGCAAAATGCAAAAATACGCAGCTAACATCAAAAAGAGAACTATTTGAGCATAGTGAATTGAGCATGTATCTTTCGGCAATCAAACAACGGAGCAAATTCTTTTCGCAGGTCTCTGTTATATCTAAAAACATACTTCGTGGATATGGAAGCTGAATCTTTAAAGCAAACATTCATAAAAAATCCCATAACCCTTGAACACAAGATCTGGGCTAGAAAGGAAGACTCTTGCTTGCGTCGCTCTCGGGGGTGGGGTACCTTAATAGGTTTTGGGGTACCTTTTCCTGAAAAGTACACTTTTTGAAATTAGTGCGGAATTATTGGTACCATTTGAAGAAACATGAATAATTATGGGTACTGTGTTGGGAAAATATTGCAAAATTATTAGGAGGGAAATTTAGCAACAACAAAATGAATGTCCAGTTAGAAATGAAAGTATGGACTATGTGTAACATTGAGATTTTGGGGCGTAGGACATTAAAAAAATTTTTGAAGATTTTCCTGTGTTTTAGAAATTTTAGTTTGCCTTGCGGAATTATGGGTATAGTTTTCATCATGTTTGAAGAATTGTGGGTACAACTTTTGAACCAAAATAGCACGTCCCTACCCAAAGCTACAATCCCGGACAAAAATGGTTGAGACTTTTCAAGAAAAGCTTATACTTTCACTTTCCTTTAAAAAATAACTTCCCCCTCCCCCAATTCAATGTTGAATGCATGATTTTGAAGGAGAGATGATAGAACTACAAATTCAACATTGAGTCGGGGAAAAGGGAGGATTCGAATTTACAGAGGCAAGGTAAAGTAGAAAACTACAAAAATTGCATTTTGTCTCAATATTTTTGTCCGGGATTGTAGGCTTTGTTACTCCCCACCCCCGAGGCGTCGCTGCAAGATTCAGCACTCTTTTTTAATAAGAATAATATTAAATTTTCCCTGCTTCGACATTCTTAAGAAAATATCGTTTTGAGCCTGAATTAGTTATTCAAGTATTTTATTGGTTTTAGGGGAACATCTTCCGCTCTTGGATAACAATCGCACTTTCTGAAAAACAAGATATGTCAGTTTTGTGATTCCAAAAAGGCAACTGCTGAAAAATGAAACACAAATACGAGAGCTAAGTCTGAACAACTTTGTTATAATATTCTTCAATATTGGATGATTCTGAGCCTGAATATTCATAAGAACAAAAATATGTGCCTGAAAAAGGGCGTATGGAATGAGTATATTGGCTGCTTACGCAGAAGGGAAACGGGATATGCGACGACTAATGAAAGAAAAATTCAGTGTTTGATGGCAATAGAATTTATTATAAAGCATTTCGAGATTAGGTCATGAATTGGGTAGGGCAAAAAGGTCCCAAAGAGGAAAGCCAACTTAAACAACAGACATGTTTATAACGAAACAAGTTTTCTCGATTATTTTTTAATTCTGAGATGCAAACACGCCTCAACTCCCCAAAGTTTGCCCCCTCGTAAATCATAAATTATTTTTATGTTTCCAAAGGTTTCCCTCAAAAATGTCCGGGAGAGCATTATGGTATATCTGAGATAGAGATGATCAGGGCTCATTTTTGGTTTATAATTTGGGTTTAGTAAATGCTGGTATATCTTTGGATTTTAGGTAAAAATAGAGACTTTAGGTAAATATAGGTAAGGATATAGCTTTTACGAGGGGGTAACAATTTCGAAATTCACAAAAACACTAAAACTAGCAGAAATGCACTCTCTTTTTTATAAGAACCAATAAATTTAAGTTCAGGCTGACTGTTATTATTTTTTTCGAAAATCTGAGGCTGGATTGTTCTTAATTTGTTCTTAAATTAAGAGGGTGTAAGCAGTGCTATTGCTAGCTTTTTCGCTCTAAGGAGGTGTTCAGGCCTCATTTGCCAACAAAGTGAGTGAGACAGCCTTAATTTGCTGACAAATTTGAATATCCACCGAAAAAGCACCCACACATCGCTAAAAATCCTCGATTTTGAGAAAATACGTTGTTCAAAATTGCATTTTGCAGAAGCTCAGCCTCAGCTTGTTCTTAACTTGTTCTTAACTTTTGACCAGTTTTGAGGCTCGTGTTCTTATAAAATTGTTCTTATAAAAAAAAGAGTGTACCTTCTCATTTGCAACAGTGTGTGAGAAAATCACACAATAAAGAAATGTGCAAGCCTTGTTTCGTTGGTGACCAATGAATGAAATTTAATATGGAACACGTGTGTTGATAGGTTGTTAACACTTATCAAGGCAATGAATGAAGTGGAGATTCCCGTGGTTGCCATTGGAAAAGAAAATTGTCATCAAGCAGCTATGGTGATTCCATTCCAATACGAAACGGAGGCTACAACAACAGTGCAGCAAACATTACACGTAACGGAGAGCTTGTGCAGGGTGTTAATTGTCTGTAAGTCGGGGTCAAGTCTGTAGCATTTGGGTTAGCTGAGTTTATTTGGTTGCAATTATGAAAGCTTTGATATTAGTTGGGGGATATGGTACGCGTTTGCGTCCATTAACGCTGTCCAAACCAAAGCCTCTGGTAGAGTTTTGCAACAAGGCGATGCTGCTCCATCAAGTTGAAGCCCTCGCGAAGGTATTTACAAATGCTACAGTATTAAGTTGCATATAAATACATAGATCGATCTTTTGAATCTATTGAACTAGAAGCTTTGGGACTCACAGGTTAACCAAGTGTATTTTTAATGACATAATTTAGGAGTATGTAGCCGTTGTTTGGGAATTCGTTATAGTTTAATTACAGTCTTTGTAACAGATCTTTGTAACAGATATACAAAAATTATGTTTCTTCGCATATATGTGCAGACATTTTAAAGGAAAGCTTTATGTACTGCCAGTATATTTTGTTCAATTAATAGTATGTTCCCTGCTGAAGTTCTGTTTTGATCTGAGTTTAATCCAAGTTTCGAAGCTGGTAAATGTTCACAGTTGTAAAGAATCCTATATACATCTCTCTTCATTTCAGGTCGGTGTCACTCAAGTGATATTGGCAGTAAGCTACTTGTCAGAGCTGATGGAAAATGAGTTAAAAAAGGAAGAGAAGAGGGTACGTATTACTTTGTTCTGCACCTCAATACTTCACCACACTTCATATTTTGAACAAGTGAAGACCACAACAGAGATCAAAAGAGGTTAAGTTTCCGAGAAAGTGTTTTCAAATGGGTTGTCGCTAGCTATATTGCTCAATAAAGGAGGGGGGGGGGGGGGGGTTAGTGCTCAGATTCCATCTTGCCACCAAATTGGGTAAGTCATCTTTGATTTGCTGACAAAATCTGGAATTTAGCAGAGTTGAAGCATGGCAAAAATCTCTTTGTAAGGCAGTGAGTAAGTTTTTAAAAAACCTTTCCACTTTAATAATCTTGTCAATTTTTTTATTAGCTTGGAATAAAGATAATGATGTCACATGAAAAGGAACCATTGGGCACAGGTAGGACCTTTTACTCTTTCAGCTCTAACATTTTGAAATTTGCCCTAGATGTGGGGAAAATTATGGCAACAGCAAGCTTAATGTGGTGCAATATTATTGAATTTGAAATCTTTTTATTTTTTTCTGCAATTTATGTCTTTGCAATGGTAACTTATTTTTAATTTTTCTTTTTTAATGTAACTTTATTCTAATTTTTTAATGTCATTAGCGGGACCACTGGCTCTTGCAAGAGATTTATTAACAGAAGACAATGAACCATTCTTTGTTCTGAACAGTGATATAACCTGTGAATATCCTTTTGCTGAAATGTTGAAATTTCATAAAGAGCATGGAAGAGAAGGAACCATTGTGGTTTGTTGAGAATTTTTTGAGTTCTTGTAAACAAAAACAACCTACTGCATTAATATAAAGAAAATCTAAATAATGTGTCCTAAATATATTTTTACCTGATTGATTATAATTGGTACAAACTGATTTTAGTAGCATATATTATGCATGTATTTGCAGATCTAGCAAATATATCTGTTAAGACAAAATTTTTGAGCTATAAATTACATCCTGCCTTTTCTGACAATTTATAGAAGTTCTAGACAAATTGACTTTTTCATCAGATTTTGTAGTTTTCAACAAGCCATATTTTTCAACGATATAATTTTTCACCTGGAATTCTCTGAGTTTGTCAAAAGCTAACATTTAATAATTACAGACAAATAACTTTGAATTGTTATAAAATGCTGACCTCAGTAAAATCCTTTTTTAAGTTGTAAAATTTAAAAATTTCCCCTAGAAAAATGATTGTTTGTACTCATTATTGAATATTTTACACAGGTTACCAGAGTAGATGAGCCTTCCAAATATGGTGTTGTGATATATGATGCAAATGATGGTAAAATTGAAAGATTTGTTGAAAAGCCAAAGGAATTTGTATCCAACAAAATAAATGCAGGAATGTACATATTTACACCAAAAATTCTGGATAGAATCCAGGTAATTATACACCTTTGATTTCCCATCTCTATTTTCTTTAGATTTGCTTTGATTTGATTTGATCGACTATAGCTGTTTTTAAAGTAAATCTAAGAAGTTAATCTTTGCTCTAACCTGATTTTGTTTTAGCCAAAACCAACATCGATAGAAAAGGAAGTTTTTCCATATATGGCAACTGATGGTGAACTCTATGCAATGGTTTTGAAAGGTACACTTTATGTTACTTGGACGGTGAAAACTTTCAATTTATAATGTGAACTATTGAATGTAACAGTATTTATACTTCTTCAAAATCCTTTGTCAATTCGAGTAGTCAAACAAATTGGATCCAAAGCAAACACAGAAAGTTAGGTTTTCCACCATCTTGTGACAGAAATGCAGAAATTTGATTTATTTTTTTGTAACAAAGCATGGAACATATCTTATCTTAGGTTACTGGATGGATATCGGTCAGCCAAAAGATTTTCTTTCTGGGATGGTTTTGCATCTTAACGGAATCAAAGCAAAGAGTCCTGAACTACTTTATCAGGGCCCTGGAGTAAAAGGAAATGTATTAGTTGTAAGTTTTGAATAAATATTGCGATTGGTTTGCTGATTTTTAACCCAAGACACACAGCTGAGGAGATCATGATGTCAAAATGTCTCAAATTACCACATTTCACTTTCACATCTATGATTCTAAAATATGATTACAAACTATAATGTAAAAAAGTTATTATTTAATGCATTTTTGTCACATCTTTCTATTATAATAACATATAATTTTTATATTAATCTTTAATTATAGCCCTTAAATAAAAAAAAGTTCCATGCTTCCTTAGTAACAGTTTGGTATCTTTTATTGAAAATATTATAATATTATGTTTGATTAAAACAACCATGTTTTTGTGTCTGCCTTGGACATGATATCATAGAATTGAACAGCCATTAAAAATTTTTGAAAATTTAATGGAAACATCCTTTGTTCTATTTTTGTAGCATTTTCTAACTTACTATCTATTTGGTCTTTTTAATAGGACCCATCAGCAAAAATTGCAGATGATGTACAAATAGGGCCAAATGTTGTAATTGGACCAAATGTTACTATTGAAACAGGTAAGCTTAAAAGTGGAATATCATGACAAAAAGGTACATTCCATTTTTGGTGAATTTATGACCAGAAATTTCTATGATAGTTGTGGTAGGTAATCAAAGTCTTTTTAAGGTCAGCCTGCCAACACCTTTGTCAATATTGATTCATTAAAATCGAATTCTATAACCCCAACACTGAAAGTCCAAAACTGAATAGCACCAGCCTTAGTATGTACATTATCCACCTAGTAACATCTACATAGATAATGTAGAGAAATAAAGAACAACATAACATTTGAAAAAAGCAAAAGAGCAGAAGCTTATAATATTAGAGTACTTATTGCCTGACACTCCTAAGAGTTTAGATGTCAGATATTTTCCAAAGGTAAGAAGAAAAGTTTTATCTAGTTGCAAATTGAAAAAGTTATAAGAGGAAATGGCAATGAACCTACCAATGGTTTGAGAAAAATGGGTTAGTCATGGTAGATCATGGCTACAGACTAGCTATTCAGTTACTTTTTCTATATTTTAAAATCTTGTGCTTTTATTTTTTAATAAAAGCTTTACTTTTATCAGGTACATGCTTGTCTAGATGTGTTGTTATGAAGGATGCAAAGGTACAGTCACACAGTTGGATTCAATCCTCAATAATTGGCTGGAAATCAGTAGTTGGAAGATGGGTACGAAATAACTTTTGTAGTCTGCATACAGTTTGTATTCCAGTGAAACAGGAATCCTATTTCTCTGAGATTCAATATTGCATATTGTCAGGAAAAAACATTGGTATACTTAAGTGAAATATAAAAATAATTGTCCTACTGGGATCCCATCTAGCCAATAAACAATTTCTTATATAACATGTTTTCTATCAGACTTATAAAAGTATGTACAACAAAATGATGTCCAATCATCCAAAATGATGTTCAGCCATTTATTCAAAGATAAAGAATACATCCTCAGCTATTGAGATACTGAATACCCTAAGAAAATTTTCTCCATATGAACAGGCCCAAAGTGTCAGAAAAACCAGCACTATACTTGCTATTTGTCACTTATTCCTATAATCTGAAGTATGCCCTGTAGCCCCTGAATATTTATGTAATCAATGGCAATATTTTTGGTGCTAAAAGTATACTTCATTAGGAGTGAGGATAGCTCAATGCTCAATGGTTAGAGTCCCAGGCTACAGATCCAATGGTTGGTGTTTTGAGTTACTGACAATTCAGAACTTTCACTTAGAGTAGGGAGAGTTACCAGCTCTCTGTTTATCCTGGCATAAGAATCACAAGCTGTGGCCACATCGAGAGGAAGGGCCAGGACAGTGCTAGATAAACTCAGTTTTTTAGGGTCCTAAAAATAATTTGGATGCTTTGTAGAGGCAAATATGGAAACAAAATGCTACATACTGATAACTGATTCATTTGTTATAATTTTCATACAGAGGTGTAAAGAAATTCAGAACAGTTTCATGAGTTTGGTGAACATGCTGGATCTTTTTTGTAGGTTCGAATGGAAGGAGTGACAGTACTCGGTGAAGATGTCCAAATTAAAGATGAACTGTATATAAATGGGGCTAGAGTTCTTCCACATAAGTCCATTAGTGTTTCATACCCTGAACCAGAAATTGTAATGTAATGTTTTTTGGTAATTTGCTTTTTGAAACCAAAAATAATTTTTAGACATAAATCTAATGTGATATTACATATGTGGAATAATTTTTAGACATAAACCTAATGGATATGACTTAGCTCCAATATCAGCTTAAATCCATTTATATTTAGGTTTGACTCCTTCTATCATGAAGTGAAACGCACCTAATCTTTTTTTCATTAATGCAACAACAGTCAATCTTTTGGGTAAATTCTCTTAAATTTCCTTCTTTATTGGCAAATTACCAGATAATAATAATGTTCAATCTTGCAAACATTAAATCTTAGCTTTTGAAAATCGAACAAACCTCTTAAAAATGGTTTGCTAGCTTCTTGCTGGCTATTTAACTGTACATTTGCTGTATCATGTCAACCATGTTGCCAAGAGTGCTGTAGGCAAAGTTTACATTTCCAACCATCAATCATGTCCTGAGAAAATCCATAGAGATTGATAAAATAACAATTTCAAATTCACCTTGTTTGTCTATTGGTACTCAACAAGATTGTTTAGGGAGAATTCCAATGCTGTCTTAGAATGTTTGCTTCAACGCCATTTTTAGCCCAGCTCTGTTCATACAATATAAAATATTGCAGAAGAACAGCTCTAAAAAAATCCGTTCTGCTCCTATGTACAACAATATATTGTAGAAAATTGCTCATAGATATATCAGTTTTCATCCCACTGCTTTATTAATGATCCATTGCACAATAGAAAAGTCATCTGTGATGTAGATAAGTGTGGGGTTTTTGGGTCATTCTCCCTTGTCAAAATGTAGACACATTTTTTGGTAAGACAATAAAGTTTCAAGCATTAGAGAATCTTGCAAGAAATCATGGGGTATAGAGCCACGCTTTGTGGTAAGATAAGAAATGTTCGAGTATAAGAGAACGTTGCAACAATATGCTTTAAAGGGTACAGAAATAAGTAACGTCAAACCTTTCTGTTACTTTTGCACCAACAGTGCTCGGCGTTCGCATGATCAAACATTCCTGTAAAGCAAAACGAAAGATCACTAAAAACTTTTTTCTTACATCTAAACACTAGAATCAGTGATACATGTTACGCGGTCTGCACCTCACCCTTTGAATTAATTTATTTTAGTCGTAATATTAAAACCGTTGCATTCCAATTAGGATCATTTAACAAGCTTACCAATATTTTATGCATGTAATTGAAGTATTTTCTTACGGGACTCTGTGTTTATCAAAGATTCTTAAGGGAAAAGTAGTAGAAGTAATTTACCTTAGAAGCAGCTTGTAATTTTTCATTCAATGTTGACATAATTAATTGCTTTTCTTTTAGCTTTGATAGAATATGAAAAATTCGTGTTTCGATTAATATTCAGTTTCTTTTTATTTTCTGAGAAAATTAAAGAAGCAGATACCTTAGAAATATGTGAGTGTACCGATAAAATTCGAGAAAAGATTAGAAATATAATATTGTACCCAAGAGGAGGCTGAGAAATCGGAGAAACATATACCATACCTTAAGAATCTTTTTTCTTGTTGTTACAAACAAGCACTGTTTGCTGCCATCGTCCATCGCTTCTTCAAACCAGACAATCTCCAACACGTTGTTCAGAATATCGACACCATCTCCTCTTAAAGGCTTGATCAACTCAGTGTATAGACCAGAACATTCTGAGTGCTTTTACACATTTCGTCATTTTACGAGTGCATTCAACTTCAAATCTCCTTATCATCCTTTCTGTGCCTTTTTTGGGGCACTTTTCTGAATGGTCCCTGTCTCATATCTTTTTGGTAATTAGTAGCGTTTTGAATCTCTCTCCATTCTGTTGCTTCTATCAACAAATGGCATTCACCGTTTCTGACCAACTTTATTTTACCTACTTCTTCTTTTTGATCTTCCTCTTTCCCTTAATGACCATCGTCTCCTTTTCTTTAGATTTTAAGATCAGTCTTTCTGTTTTTCACATTTCTTTGTGCTACAATATATAGTTGCCTCATTCTTCAACTCTGTATATATCTGTTTCGAATGTTCCCCTCTTCTTTATTGCCAATCTTTAACGGCCCTTCCACTTCTTTTCGATTGCCCCCTAACCTTCCACGAATAATCATCATCTATAATGATTAACAAGCTAAACTAAGTTGAATGTAACTGGTTAAACTTCCAAGTTTAACCAGTTACACTCCTACGTGAAAATGGTGAAAAAAGAAAAAACGTGAAATAGGCGTATATAAGAAACACATCAAGTTGGCCTCAAAATCATGGAGAACAATGATCTTTTTTAAAACAATGGGGAAATGTGACGTCATCTTATCAGAACAATAGTCTTGCCCCCTCCCCCCAGCATTTGATCAAGTGTCCACCCCTGTATACAAGAATACAAAGATCAAATGTAAAGTATATCTGTTATCAGGCAAGCATATATTAGGTGTAATTGAATTAAGATGGAGGATCGAGGAAACAAAGGATATAACGAAAAATCCGAGGTTATGTTATAAAGAAAAAGACGAGAAAATATTTATATTTTAGTCATTTTAGCCCTCCTGTCGGAAGCTCCAACCCATCTGTCGAAAGATTTCTGGCGCTACCTCTGCCGCGGAGTGCGTAGAAAAGTGGAGGGAGGGGGGCTAAAATTCTTTACGCTCCTGCTACGCGGTGCCTGTAAAGGTATAAATTAAATTCTGCTCGACGAGTTTATGTAAAAAATTATCCATACTAATTGAGTGGATTGAAGTATGCATCTGATGTCAGGAAGAAGAAATAAGAAGCTCGATTCTAGCAAAATATTTATATACAATTTTTTACTAACATTTAAACGCAAAAAATTCAAACTGCAACGCGGTAAATATATAGAAATATGTTGAAGTATCGAAAACTTCACGTCCGGTCTATAAACATGTACAAAGTTTAGAAGTGTGTACGTATGCAACTATATATAACTATTATGAATGTAAAAATCAATGTGTCAACTACCGTTTTTAAATGTTTTCTTGATGCAGTATAATTTTGAATAATTAAATATCGTTATAACGGTTTGAATCAATATCTTTAACATTGCAAGAACAAAACGAATATCATGGCCTCTTAAACGAAACCATGAAACAGCAAAAAGATGATAAATTTTTATCGCTACTGCTGAACAATGTTCACCCAGTGGAATTCATTCCCACGATTAGGAAAAGTCGATTGCTAGAATTGACTTCTGTGTTGTGAGTTTGTTGTTCCTTCTAAACGTATTCCTATTTTAATGGTTTCTTCACATTCTATTTCGTTAATTCAAATAAGCCCATAGACTTAATTCTAATTTACCTTCCCTGTTATTTGCAACTGTTACTTCCTACTGATTTAAGCCAACTTATTTCAATTAGAAACCAACGCCTTTTCTAAAAAGTATCTCTATTACACACTTCCGGGATATCAAGGGATATTATTTAATACATACTTGTAACCTTTACTTTGCATGGGCCTCGAACAACAAATAAAGTTGAGGTATGTTACACCCTTTCTGCTACTACTTTATATTTACATGATACAAAAGGAAACTCCGATAAATACACTTCTGAAAAACTTTGACAAATACCAACAAGTGAACGCCTTCTTATTTTAAGTAAGCTATCAATGCCCTCTTTTCAACACCTTCCTCTTCTCGGCAGCCAATCCTTTAGAATGCAGGAATTTGGTCAAAATGGGGCAGTTTCTTAGATAAATCTAAGATTATCTAAGAATAAAACTGAACAGGATTTACAGAGAACTCCAATCAAGCCACAATGCGCGAACATAACTTTTTTTAGAAATCTGCGATGCCCTCTAAAGGGCATATGCACCGTTCAGGCACATGCACGGAAAATGCAACGAAGTTTAGTGAGTATATAAGAGGGTAAAATAATGCCGCTGAGGGTGGTCAGACAAAATTTTCGCTTGTAAATATGTAACACTAAGAATGGATTCTATCTTTAACTTAAAGAGTCTTTCATTTGAAAGGGTACGATTGAGAACGACTTAGATGCAAACTTAAAGCGCTGCAGACTTAAAGCACCTCAGTTTGAGTTTCATACCACTTTCCCTTAGCTTGGAACTAAACTTGGCATTATTTCCCTTGCAATGCCATTGTGATGATGGCCATTATTTGTGAATTTAGAATTATGAAGCTGCATTAAAAATAAATAGCGACTAAATTAACATAAATTAACATAAATTTTTTTCTGCATAATCTGTAGTAGGAAATCAACAGTAACGTTTTCTGTTTTGAGTTATTTACAGAAGTTGGAGTACTTTCTACAACTTGAAATTTTTGTCAATATTTCACTGTATTAAATTTCTTTCCAGTAGTTCAAAAATCATAGTTCAATATTTCAATAAATGATGCGTTTATTGAATTTATTTCATTTGTGATTGGTCGTTTCCCTTGTGCGGATAGTACAATATATGTCGAAGCGTAGATTTTTGTCATTATTTGTCATTAGAAAAGAAAGGCACACAGCATAATATGACAAGAGTGTAGTGGATGGGGGTCAGCCAGATATATTTTTTGTAGTTTTGCCGAACACTGTGTAAAATTTAAGAATCACTTAATTATGACGAAATATATTAACCTATGTTTTCCTTTCACACTTGGACCATCTTAAGTGCCATTTCTCAAAAAGGACTGTGATCCTAAACAGCCAGTCGGTTCTTCTCGCCCCTGTCTTTGAATCTTTCGCAAGACATGAGTACCTCGTCACTTAGTTCGGTTAAAATCTCATACATCGCATGCACAAGCCTCTCTTCCTGATCAGGAAGCTTTCTACAAAAAATTTTGCAAATTTGTCTATTTTCAAGATGCTCCGAACATTACATAACACATGAAGCATACATACTAAACAAATGCTTTCTTATGCCATAATAGAAATTTTAAAGCACGTAAGACATTTTTCCTTTTGGCTATATCAGCATAAAGAGAGAGAAGACCTAGTTGAAAATTTCGTGGTCCTGAATGGAACCTTTGAATTACAATATTAATAAAGCATTTAGTCAAAGATAAAGCTTCAAAAAATACTGGTTTAGATTTCCCTTATATGTCTTTGAAAAATACATCTTGCCCCTCTTTTTCTCTTTCCTCAAAAGCCCCTTCAAGTTTGAAAAAGCCCCTTCAAGTTTGAAAAGTCCCTTTCCCAGGTTTTTAAGCCATTTTGCCCTCTCCCTAATTCCCCTTCTTTCACTCAAATTTGTTCTCCTTCTTCAATCCTCAATCAAACTTTCCGTTTTTAGCGCATTCTTCCTTTTTTACTCACATCCTTTACTTTTATTCATTTTTACTTTTATAGCCTCTTCCCCTTTTTTAACAACGGTCATTCTAACCCTTCATGGGCACATGAAACTTATGGCAGTCTTATGTGTTTTAGCACCCTAGGGTTGACATCAGTCTGTTTGTTGGCGCTTAGGAAAAGTTCTCATCCATTCCCCCTTTCTATATAAGTCTGTACAAAGGTTTTCCCCCTCAACTACGTATGGATGACCTTCTAGAAGGCTGACCCTATAACTTAAGATTACATACCTGGCAACCAACTTCATGATTTTGCAAATCAATATAGAGTCTTGGCGAAATATCTGTGTGTATAAAAAACGATTTTGCGATAATATACAAACTAAGATGATTTTAGAATGAGCATTGTCATTGCCATTGCCTTTGTATAAAAAAGAAGGCACCCCCACCATCATTGATAGACCTAGATATATATACAACAAGGGGCTTTCCATTAACTGAGAAGCTGAGGAACTTTTTAACAAGTTATTGCCACGGAGTCCAGCACGATCTAAAGATACGCCGTTCCAAAGTACAGATCATGTGTAGGCGAACTTCGTAATTCTGATAGTGATTCTCTGACAAAATATTACCACATCTTCTATCATATGATTTAGGCAGGCTTTTATAGATCGAGAAACGTCCTTCCCAGGCATATAAAATAGCCCAGGCCATAAACTATCATCATTAGTCACCTTCAATTCAATTAAAACACACACGGGCTTAATTGCTATGTACGAAGAAGACGTCTGGTACGTAATATTTGCTAGTATTGTTAGGTTGAAGTTTCACAAAAAGTTTCGGCGGTTTTATTATGAAAGTTTCTCAGAAAACCTCGGGTAATAAGAATAATATACTAAAATTATACAAAACAGTTATGAAATTTAACTATTTAAAATTTTCCAAACAGCAGAATATCGACTTGTTATTTATAGGTGATAATTTAGTTGTATTAGCAAACGAACCTGTTGTTTTTTCTGAAGGAATGAATCTTTATGGCAGTTAAAATTCATCTTGGCTTTATTTGTCTGTTTATTTCCAGGTTTCACTTTTGCTCTGAAATAGAAAAAAATCATAATTAACTAAATCGTTTTTTTCGTGACGGGTTACAATATTTCACACAAGAGCAAGAGCTCGTCCCAGTCTCCTTTCAACCGAACCAGGTTGAAGCTTGTATCGAATATTCTGAACTCTTTATGTACTTAACTCAACAAAAGCGCCTAGTATGCTTTATTTCAAACTTCTGTTTTTCTAGCAAATCTCTGAAACATCAACAAAAAAGAGTTGAACACAAAGTCATAAAGAAACAAATTTTTCGCTGCCTACGACGATAAACAGATATTGAACGTCCTAGAGACCTGTTTTCGTCGTATTCAGCTAGCCATAAATTACAAACAAATTTCTAAGTTCACCTAAAATTATCAACACATGTTTGTGAAACAATCAACGCATCTTTAAACCTCGAGATGCAGTCGCAAAGCCTCTTTGCTCCATGTACGTCTACCCGTAGTGTAGGAAAGAAACATTGAGTACATACAGTTGCATTGGATGTATGGAAAAATATAAGGAATGCAACAAGTAAATCTCATATCACACCCACAGATTTCTATATGTCTATTCTCGAGTCCGGAATAAACGTTCAACCCGGTTTATCAACTTTTCCAAAAAAACCACCCATGACATCCTTTTTTCAGACCCCAATTTATTATTTTTGAGCTTTGTGCGTTTAAAAACTGGAAAGTGAAAACAATATTAAGAACAGAGTATTTTAATCATTCTGTTATGTGAGAAACTGGTAGTTTTAAATTTAAGAACCTAGCGTTCTATTAGCTTCATTCTGTTTCTAATTTAAAGGAAGCCCTAGCTATTCAACAGACAGTTTTCATAGGAGATTGCTACGAACATATATCTTTAAAATAAGTTATCCAAGAAATGACGAAAAATGATTATGTCTCTCTTGGACTCCATTGGTAATTTTTCTTTAGGCTCGCGGCACTGATTGGTCAATTATACCGGTCTTGTGCTTGCGTTTTTCTGATTGGCCTATTTCGATCCACAACTGGGTATATATTTTCCATCGTGTTCTTTCGGAACCTTATTCTGACGTTTTTGCTCTGAGGAGTGTCAGACGAAAAAGCTTTTAGTATGTCGTAAAATGTTTGCTTTTTTCAAAGCCATTTTCAAATTCTGTACCGCAAAAAAATTGTTCAGATTATGTCTACCAACAAACCAATGAAACTCCCTGCAACAAAACTATCGAAAACCCTCAACTTAGATGGTAAGGACATGCACTTCCTTAACCAGAACAAGCCTCTGCAAAGCTAGCCTTAGCATACGCGGATAAAGAATATACCAGACCCACAGGCCGCCCAAAACTAGCTTTGCTCTCAAAAATAAATCAAACCTACGGGACATTTATAAAATCGAATGGAAAGAGGCTGGTGAACTAGCAAAAGAAAGACTTACCTGGCATAATCAGTTCAACTAAAAACTTTTGTTACACTAGGTAAATTTATTTACGAAAAAAGTGTTTGATAATAAATAAAAAAGCCATCCCTACGGTTTATTGTCATTTGCGAAATTTCCCAACCACACCGTTTCTTTCGTGCTCACTGAGTAAGTCACGTGCTTACTGACATTTTCCAGCCACACCATTTGTTCCAAACCCTATTCGATTCCGGACTCGATAGTAAGTCACGTGCTCACTGACATTTTTTAACCACACCATTTGTTCCGAGCCCTATTCGATTCCGGACTCTATAGTAAGTCACATGCTCACTGACATTGTCCAGCCACACCATTGGTTCCAAACCCTATTCGATTCCGGACTCTATAGTAAGTCACGTGCTTACTGACATTTTCCAGCCACACCATTGGTTCCAAACCCTATTCGATTCCGGACTCGTAAGTCACATGCTCACTGACATTGTCCAGCCACACAATTTGTTCCAAACCCTATTCGATTCCGGACTCGATAGTAAGTCACGTGCTCACTGACATTTTTTAACCACACCATTTGTTCCAAACCCTATTCGATTCCGGACTCTATAGTAAGTCACATGCTCACTGACATTGTCCAGCCACACAATTTGTTCCAAACCCTATTCGATTCCGGACTCGATAGTAAGTCACGTGCTCACTGACATTTTTTAACCACACCATTTGTTCCAAACCCTATTCGATTCCGGACTCGATAGTAAGTCCCGTGCTCACCGACATTTTTTAACCACACCATTTGTTCCAAACCCTATTCGATTCCGGACTCGATAGTAAGTCACATGCTCACTGACATTTTCCAGCCACACCATTTGTTCCAAACCCTATGCGATTCCGGACTCGATAGTAAGTCACGTGCTCAATATGGTGCGTCAAGTATGCCCACACAAGAAGAGGAGAGCTAAGAGGTACCTATAGGTTTACGTATTTTAAGAATGCCCTCGGTTGTGGTTTGTACTTGTCATCTGTTCATTAAGGCGCAGGTAAAAATTCTTTAATGCATAATTTTCGATGCCTGTATAAGAAATCTGTTATTTACGTTTAGCTTACCTTTTCAAAAGCTTCTTTGCTATCCTGCCTGTGCCATTCTTCCGAGTAGAAGCAGTCTTTTTACCTCCATAAATCCTGATGTTACTTTTATCAAAGTCTTTAAGAAAAGAATCATTTTCCTTCTGTGGATTTGTAGCAGCATTAACTGAATTTGCTTCATCGATGTTTTTTCCACAATGGAATGTCATCTCGTCTTTAGAGCTATTTCTTTGATTGTTCATATTGCAGTCCCGAAATCTTTTCATACCATTGTAGTTAGTATTTTTCTGCCATTCTTTAAACACTTTGCGGTTTTTAGGAGCCTTGATTTTACCATTTAAACTACAGGTTCCAGCCTGCAGTTTTCTATTTTTCAACAAACTCTTTTTATCCTCCGCAACAACCGAAGAAGAACGTTGAGAGGGCGCACCCATTGTTGGTTGACGGATATTGGTAACTTCACCGTGTGGTAGACTAACGCCATCTGACTCTGATTTTACAGAAGAGCCTTTTGAACCATTTCCTGGAATACCAACGGAAGAATTTTTCCTAGCCTTTTGATTGCCATGCACTGCAATGCCTGACTGATTGGAAAATGGCTCTTCTTTTTCAAATACTTCGTCATCGGAGATCATTTCAGTACAAAATGTTGTTGCATGTGTCTTTGATTGAATGTATTCATTCTGAGTTGAGTTTGCACGATTTCCATGGCCATTAACATTTTCAGTTGTATTGGACACTCTTCCTTGCCTCTCTGTTTCTGACATTGTCTCAGAAATCTGCTGATCCTTTAGTAATCCCCTGGATGTGCTGCCATTCTGTCCAGTTTTTGCTTTTCTCTCATGTTCCTGCTTCTTTTGCTTGAATTTAAGAAGCATCTCGACTTTACGTTTATCAGTCAAGTTGTTCCCAGCAGCCTCTGAATTATTTAATGAGGCTTTTACAAGACCCCTCTGTTCAATGCCTGCTTCTTCTTGTGGGCCCATCAGTGGTCTAGGTACAACAGCTCGACTGCCCTGGACGAAGTTTTGTTGCTGCTGTCTGGGTGCAAGCCTAGTTCTTGACCAATCTTGTGCTTGTGTCCAGTGAAGAGGTAAATTAGAAGACGCAAGTTGGTTTGCGATCATTCGCTGTCTTTGCAACATATTCAATGCAGCTCCTTGAATACTTTGAAATATTGCGTTCTGCAGAATCTGGCCTGGAAGACAGTACATCAAGGCAATGATTAAGATGATTTTGCTATTAAGCTGAATGTGGTTGAACGTTTCCTCAAATAAGTGACGAACCTAGAACTTGTTTCAGAAAATAGGTATAACAGCACTTGATCAATTAATGATTTTAGAAAAAATGTTTATAATCATTAATAGTTCAGACATCACTAAATCAATAGTTAGGTCAATAGTTATAATCATCATTAATTTATAATCATTTAGAAGTTTGGGCAGAAATATAATAAAATTTCTTTCTACAGTGTTCAGGAAAGAATGAAACACGTTTGTGGAACACTTAACTACTTTGATCCATGGGGACGTAACATGTGAGTTAATATAGGGGTACCATTACCGTAGGATCGTACATTTGAGATTTTTGTCAATATTGTCTTTGCTTTTGATCTAAGCAACTTTCAATTGGCAGGAAGCTCAACTCATGAGATGAGTTGAAATGCACATAAAATACAGAAAACTTGCATTAAAAATCTTCAAAGAAATTATTAGCAGTTTCTTTCCTTTTACTTATGAACCAATTTTACTTACGTACTTCTACTGGAAAATCATCTGGCATGTTTCTAGTGGAAAAATTTTTGAGATTGTATGATTGTCTGAGACCATGTCATAGTTCTAATCATATTCCAGAAGGTAGTTCTTAAGGTTATTGGAAGACCATCAGAAAAAGAATGCCTAGGGACTTTATTTAGAATGCTGGAATTTGATTATTATTATTATTATTATGAGTGAAAATGTTAGCTTGACATGGGTATTACCTGCTCCGGGGTAGACATCCCCTTGTTGTGGTTGGGAAGGAATCGAGTTCCAATATCTGTAGCCTTTCTGACCAAAATTACTATTCCAAGAGCCATATTGTTGTTGCTGGTCATTTGACACTTTGTTAAATGACAATTTGGCACCAAATAGAAACTTTTGGTCAAACCTACGAAAACAATCACTCATTGAAATTGCACTAAAATATTAAAAACATTTAGGTATTATCTTCAGCTACAATGGTTCAAGGGAATCATGTGCACCAGGCTCTGATTCATTTATTTATGTCTACAAATCATGGTCACCTATAAAACAAGAACTTATGTAGGTTAACCATAGGAGTCAAATGCATTTGACCATGTTTGTATTGTCACATTTAAAACTGCAATCTGTTCCAGCTGTCTCCAGCTTTTGCAAAGCTGAAAGTGACCCTTAAATATGGCCATGATTTTCCACTAATTGACAACAATTATGACAAGTAAATTTTAAATTGCCCCCTTCCTTCATATGAACTGTTCCCATATTTAAGACTTCACCAGAAAAGTATGCCTTAAGCCTACAAAGTCACAAGGAGATTGTGTTTTCCTGTTAATAATCACAACAAACATGCCCCATCAACTGAATGTATAAAGTAATGAGTAATATTTATCAAAATAATAAGCCTTTAAGGTACATACAGCTTTATGACTTCCTCTCCAGCCTTCCCATCAAAGAATCTATATATTGCATTGTAGTATAGTCCAAAATCTTCAACATGAACCAAAGCACTTCCTCCTTGAATGTTGGCAAGATGATAGCTAAAAAATAATTTGCTTAGTAATAAAAGTTTTCATTTCAATTCAATTACATTAGATTTGTATATTACGGAAGAAGAATAATATATTAATACTGTAATATACAAGACCTAGGAAAAGTATACCTTTATCTAGCTTGGGCCAAAGTAATACTAAAAAATTACAGTAATTACAATAATATATATTTTCTAATTAATGCCAACCTCTGATAAACTCTGCCCTCTATTGAATGCTGCATATTGAATGCGGTGTTCATTAGAAAACACACCAAACAAAATGTAAAGAATAGTTTATACGCTTACTATTTGAAAGTCATGAAAGTTGTTTTGTCATAGAGGCGAGGACTCTGACAGAGACATGGGTATTACATTTCTTTGACATTTTGATAACATGAACATATCTTCTGTGAACTTTAAACAAATTTTCACATGTAATAAATATTAACGAGTAATTGCCGTAGAAATATGCTTTACCAAACAATAAGAATGGAGGCTACAGCAAATGCTTACAAAAAGCAAAATAGTGGCCTAACCTAAAAAAACCGCTGCCCTAACAAAACCACTGACAAGTTAGCAAGTTAACAAGCTATAGTTCAACCCAACAAATAGTTCAGTCATAGTTCATAACATCACACAGTCTTTAATACATGTTTTTGGGAGAGAGAAACATTGTTTATCTTTTTTCATCGCAAATTTCTTTTCATTTTTCATTTTGCTGATAGTTAAGCATCATTTTTATGCCAATATTATATTTAATCACATCTGCCTGCTTGAGAGGCTATGTGATCCAAAAACTAGAAAAAAACTTCTGATACCATAAACTGTGACTTGCCCGAGGGATATCTTGCCTGAGCTTTAATCAAATTTAAAAAGACACATCTTTATGAAATTCTGAGCTCCTTTACCCCAAATTTCCCTTCCACCCGAAAACTAAACTACACATTTTCCTTTCAATAATTATATGTTTATTTAATGGTGATTTCTTCACTTAATATTGTCTATCAATGTTAGGCCAAAAGCTTAGTCTTAAGAGGTTATAGTGTAGGGTTTTAGACAGCACGATTAGGGTGTCACAGTGTAGGGAAGTTCCTTAGTCTTCATAAGGACAGATTTTTTTCATTTATCTAAGTCTGATAACAAGCTGTTGGGGGAGAGTTGATAACTTTGGTTGGGGAGTACATAGTTGGTGAGACCAAAGTTCAACCTTGGAACAACTGCTGGTTTGTCTCCCCAACAATACTGATGTCATTAATAATTGTCAATTACCTACTCTACAACCAAACATGTTCATGTTACATTTGCAACCAAACATTTTCATGTACACTATATTTTTATTGCTTTCAAGGGGTACATAGCCTTTTGTCTCTTGTGGTATTATTTAGCAGTGTTTTGAAGGAATTTAGCCTGCTCATCTTTTTGCTGAACTACAATATTAACATTGTGGCATAATAGATAATGGTAGAGAAACTACCATAAAAGTTTGTCTTGCCAATTTGTCTTGAGCCCCGCACTCCAAAACAGGCCTGTCAAGTGTCCCCCATCTTGCAGGACTTGCACACATATTCTTGTCAAACCCACATTCCTGCATGCTTGCTCTAAAATAGGCCAGTTGTCCCTCATTTTTTAATTCACAGTTTTTTGGTGTTTTTCTATTACATTATTTATTCTATTCAGCTAATTTTGAAACAAAGTCAGAAAAAAGTTTGTGTCACACGAAAACGTGTAAGGAAACGCACGAAGCCTATTGGGTATATTCTGAGTTCTATTGAAGTGCTGAAGCCTTTGCAGTTTTACCACTTGAGCATTCACTGTGAAAGCGCATGTTATGAATTTCAATGATTCTGTTTGAACAAAAATGGCATCACTACAAAGAAGAAACATTGTGCTGCTCGTGCAAAGTGTTGACTGCTTGGTTTGAAGAAGAAGAGTTCAAAGGAGTAATAAGGACGAGTCCTCCTAAAAATACCAAAAATTCAGGGTATTGCTTGGTATGTGAGAAAGTTATAACATTGATCATTATGGCTTGGTTCATAAGAAAACTTTGGATTCCAAGAGGAATCAGCCAAGTTTGTCTGATGTTTGTATCAAGAAAAATGACCCAAGAGAGAAACAGGTGCAGTCCACAGAAGTGAAAATACTTGGATTTCTGGCAGAGCACAATCTGCTCCTTGTTACAGCAGACCATTTAACACATCTTTTCAATGATTTATTTCCAGACTTGAAGATTGCCAAATCATAATCTTGTAGAAAAACCAGATGAATGAAATGGAGCAAGAATTTCTGTTACGTTGAAGAAGAGGCAGCAATAAAACTGATCAAACTGGGGAAGCTGTTAGATACAGAATTGATATACTCTGGTACTATTTAATGAATTAAAAGTACCTGGGACACAACAGCGTAAGTTTGGTCAATTATTCAGGTTAGCAAAAGTTGTCTTGACTATAGTGCATAGCTATGCAGAAAAGGAGTCTTTATTTTCCAGAGTGAGAAAAAATTGGACCTCTCAGAGAGCACGCTTGTCTGTAGATGACACCTTGTCTAGCATCATTGCCTTTTAGCTTAACAGGGCACAAGAAGAACCATGGTATAATTACAAGCCCTCAGATCAAATTCTTCAGCAGAGTGAAGAAGCCACTTGGGAGTACAACAAAGAACAATAAGAAACGATAATATTGTCATTGTTTTCTAAAAGATAAATTTAAGTACTCGATATTTTTTATAGAATTGTTCAAATTTGTTTTGTTGTGGTTTTATTATTGGATGAAGATCTATCATGTACTTAGGAAAGTAGGCCATGCTACAGAAGTCAATAATTCATGTCTTGCCACAATTACCATTGTACGTTTATTTATCTTGTAAACTAAATGTACGCCTTTTTATCCCTCATCTCAATTTCTAAAACTTGACAGCCCTGCCAAAATTTGTTCTGGACTCGGGCATTCCAGGCTAGCACTGACCCAGATTTAGGAATTTCAACGGGCGGCACGACCCTATTCAGCTCCTTCCCCCGGAAACCCAGGCATGTTAATTGTTAGTGCCTCTACAGGACTGTCAACAGCAAGCCTGCCTAGAAAAGCATCTTTGCCTAAACGTGTATTGTATAGAGCATAATTTGGCAAAGTTTATTGCGTTAGGCCAAACAACTATTGGGTAAATGGTTTTTCGATAATGCAACAATTTTTAACGGAAGGGCACTTTATTCATACAAAGGTTTTACTAAAAAAATACTGAAAACATCCTACAGTTTCTCCTTGCCTCTCTTCTACCAAAAATATTTTTCAGCAAAGCCATAAACAACTCCTTTATGTAAAACGGGAGCTCAAAATCTAGATACAAACCTTAGCCTGTCAATTTTTACACTCTTTGGAATGCTGCCGACTTTAACCAGGATCCCCATCTCTAAAGATGTCGAGTCCAACGACCAAACTCATAAGCAACACTTCTTGTCTGCCATCTTTAACATAAATGTGAGGTCTCCTTCCGGACCCTCCAGGGAATGCCTTATGCAGCGAGCGCCTGCCCAATCAGGTCACGAGAGATCAAGTGAATCACTCTGTGATTCACAGAGGATGCGAGGGAATTGCCGGTGTGCAAAATAATGCGCGAACAATTTTTCATTAATATATATTTTATTTCTTTCTAGCGTTTTCAAAACAACTGCTTCTTCAAGTTTCTATAGTTCTGATTGAGGGAAAATGGTGGATCTACAAGCCACCGACATCTCTCTGGATTTTATCAAGGGGCAGAGCCCAACAAGCCCCCACAACGGCGTTCCGGAATGAGGGAAGTGGGGTATCATCTTCCATAGAAACTTGACACTGCAATAATTGGATATATAATGTACCCAATTTGCTATCTCTCCCTCCGCAAGCCTCGGGAATTCAAAGCGATGTTAGACTAAAGTCGAGATAAGCCCGTGGTAGGGAGGGAAACTGGTTCCTAGAAGAAGGGAGCCTTCTCTACCAATTCTTTAGAGGGGGACCACTAAAGCACTTTTCTAAAAAGGACGAACCTCCCTTGATTCCGGCATCGCTAACCCTACCTTTCATGTGCTACAGTCTACAGTCTTTTGAATAACTAGTTTTCTGGTTAGCTGATTACTTTTCGGTTAGTGAAACTATTAGCGTGAGTTCCAGACCGCTTACTAAAAGTATCGGGAGTAAGTCTCGGGCTTTTAAGCTATTAGATAACTTGTTAGTGAAAGTCTTTTGCAAGGCTTTTGCATTTTGAAGTCAAAACCATAAAAGGTGCATAATTTGGCTTTATTTTAGTGCTATTTACTTTATTATTGCCTGGACGCATTTAAGATTCTGTTTGGATTTTCAGTAAAATTGATTAGATAGACGATCACGCTCAGCATTTTAGACTATCTCCGCACAGTATGCATAAGCTGTAGCAAAATGTGATGTAGGCAATTGATGCTTTTTCGCCACCTTTTGGAGTGGCCTTTTTGGAGTTGTTGTAACAACAAAAATTGTGTTTTATCAAAGTTACTAAGTTGTAAATACGACATCAAAATAAAGGCTACTCCTTTACCTGTTTTGTCTTCAAGCTCTTTGATTTCAAATTATAAAATAACCACGAAACATAATATATCATTCTGGCTTTTAAAAACAATGATACAGTAAAATATTGGCTCTGGTAACATAATATCATGAAGTTTAATAGAGGAATATGCTGAGACCCTTCCAGAAATCAGATTCTGCTGCCATATAAAGGGACGGCATTTTAACAACGGATTATTGGCGAAGAAGGCAGGACCTAGAGGGCACCAGGGGCATGTACCTTCCCCTTACATCTCCTTCCTTAAGAAGAAACCTCTTCGAGATAGTAGCCATTTTCTGTGACCTGATGCCTTCATCTACCTGTGAAATGCTTACGACGTCTCTGATTATCCTATGATATACCAAAACAACAATAACAGCCCTGGAAATCTTATACAAATATGATAATGTGTGGTGTCAACTTGATATTAACTGATTGAAAAAACATTAATTAGGTATAAAATCATGGTATTATCTGAGTTTTTACAAGAATTGTGAATCAGTAAAATTCATGTGTTATTGTCTCCTTTTGTCATCCGCTTTGCTCCGCGACCAGGAGGAGGCTTCGGTTTTGCGAATTTAGGTTGGTGAAGAATTTTCTTTGGGTGAAGTTCATCTTGAAGGAACTCTTCTGACAGTTCACTGCCGTCAGATATTTCAACCTAGAGATAACATGGTACTCGATTTATAAGATAAATACAGCACTCGAGACGCCAAAAACGTTTTATACATTCTTTCTTTTATAAAAACAATTTCATAAGAACACGATACTTCAAAATTGTTCCAGAATTAAGAAAATGAGAAAATCTAGGAACGTTGCAAGAAAACAGTTATTCGGGATATATTTCTAAAAACAGGGTATGTCTTTTGCAAATACTTATTAAAATTCCCACTTTCATTATACTCATGATAAACAAAAAATTTTCTTCTTTAGTCAAACATTGTTTCGTGTCAAACTTTCTCCAACAAACATCTCAATGAATCAAGATAAAATCAAGAATGCTCTACCTTCAATGTTGTCGACAACTAAGAACGGCAAGCAGAAACTTAAAGCTGTGAAAGTTTTTACAGAAAAATAATTTATGATAGTTATGGCTTCGAGTAATCCGCAACTCAACAGGTTTTGGAAGGGAATGATTGTCTCATAGTCTCACAACAATGTCTGCTTCTGCAGTACGCAACAAAATAAAGCGGATAAAAAATTTCAAAGAAATTGGGAAAAGATTTTGGGGTTTGGAAAGGGACCCTATAATATGAATGTATTTATACTGTATTAATTTGGGTAGTAAAATAAGGGAATAAAAAAACGAAAAATAATTTAGTGACAAAGATGTCTGTTTTGAATTGTTAATAATAATAAAATTTTAGAAATGGGGAAATGAAGGTGAGCCAAATAAAAAGACATGCTAACATTATTTCATGAAAACATATGCGTCGGCCGCACTGCATTTAGCCCTGATCAAATATGTTGAGACTCCAAACACCACCTTAAAGACCTTCTATTTCGGTGCAGGATCAGGCATGCCGGGACGAACAAGGAGCAGGTTTCAAGGCAAGGGCATTTGACATTAAGTTCCAGTAACTCTGCTTTGCCATATATTTTTTTCTCGATTAACTGTAGGCATCTTTAAACTGGCTTGCTTCTAGCAAATGGAGCTTGTATAAAAAACTTAGCTAGATCAATACGAAAAACGTCTAGTTTACCTTTCTTGGGATTTCCATTTTCAGATATTGTTCACAAAGTGCGATGACAGATGCCTTACATGAAGAATATAACATCCGCTCCTTCACAGAACAAGAGTAGCCCGGCATTGAGTAGATGAAAACTGCGACAAAAACGAAAACTTTCACAGGAAAACGAAGCAAACATGGCGGATAAAGTTGCAGGAAACTTGAAAGGAGATTCCCTCATTACATGCAAAAAGACTATAACTTGTGTTCCAAAAATTCCTGTGATAGAAAATTAGTGATGGTTTGCATAATCGGTACTTCAAGACAACACAGCTGTGACTACTTGACTATTTCGCAAGAATTTTATGACAGAGTTTTAAGCGTCCTCTGGTAGGAAAAATCAGCAGCCTCTGTCTTTGAAAAAGACAATTTCATTACTAAAAGGTCAAACAAGCGGTATCGATTTAATTTCAACCGACAAATATTGATAGGGAGTCACATAAATTTGGGTTAATACACCAAAATTATATATTGATGGCTGAAATACTTGTAGCTCGAGCCTACCTTCTGTGCCATTTTCATTTAACCTAAGGATGTTGCAAGTCAGCACTCATTTTTGACACTCCCTCCACGTGACCTACATTATATCGTATTCCCTTAATTCTGTCTTGCATAACATCGCTTGATAGCAGATCAAAAAAAGCTTTATAGCAGGTCTTTAACATTACCTCAACAATACGTCACATTATCAAAACATTTGACTCACCGATCGATTCCAAGTAGTCCCCTTCGTGTGTATGCTTGAACAAGAAGAAGTGATATCTTGCTTCGTCTGTAGGTACGTTTGCAGGAAGACTTTCTACCGAAAGCTCGGCTTCAGATTTTGCAAGAAGAATTTCTTCTTTTTCAATGTCAATTTTCTAAAGATGGAATAATAAATTATCGAAGAGTTTACACTGCTAGCATGAAGCTTGAAAATCATGAACAGTAAGCATACAAAAGATTAATGAAAAAGAGGTTCATTTCTCCGTAGAAAACTCCTATCAGTTAACCTAAATCTTTGCTAATTCATAATGAAGAGGTTTTGACAACAGCAAAAAATTCCTAGACATCAATTTTTCCCAGATATCAGGATGCTTGTAGACGTGATAATAAAAAGAAAAAGACTCGGAGGATCACCCGGTATATGTTCATTGAAAACCACCATGGCATCACCATAATTAGTCTAATAGCAAACAATCTCCTATTTCTAAACCTCATGCTTTGAATAAATAAGTCTTGTTCCGTAAGTCTTACTCAATTGATTAACCACAACTTTTATAGAAAAATAATATTTCATATTTCTTCAATACTGGAGATGCGAGTAAAATGTCTTTAAATATTTTAGAGAGGAAAATGACAAGCATTCTGCAGAACTGCGTTTCCTTTAGGAAAAATAAAAAACTCAACAAAACATGAACGTGCAAATGACAGTCACTCACCAGTTGAACATACATTATTTGATTATCTCTAAGTTCTTCTAACTTCTCAATTGCATCATCGTCCATTGGGAAATTAATACCAGGTAGGGTCACATGCTTTGACGAAACTCCGTGTTGCCTATGATGCTAAGAAAGATCGGAGACTTCAGTTTTTAATGCACACACGTCATTCAGCGAATGTTATAAAAATGCGCGCTTATGACGACGAAGACGAAACATTGCGACGTAATGATGACGAAAGGATGACGAAAGGATGACGAAATTATGACGAAATGATTACGAAATGATTACGAAATGATGATAAAATGTGTATTTACGTCTTTCTCAAAGGTTTTATATAAAATCAAAGTTTGAAATATGCTACTATTTTTTTTTTCAAATCTAGGTTTCGAAGGTAGCTCTTAGGATACTGAGAGAGAGACTATGCTCATTGCACAGTATCCTGGTCTTTTCTGTGTGACTGAAAATACCGGGAGCTGGCGACTCTCCTCACGCTATGTGAAAGTTTGGTCATTTCAAGCCATTCTTATATTGTTGACATATATCTAGCAATGGGAAATCTCAGAATATTCCAACGGCAGTAACGATTTGAAATATTTTCAAAACATCTATGCTCGTGAATGACACATGGATCAAACCTTTTCATATTATTTTTACGCTATGCTTTCACACTCACACGACATACGCAACGGCCTAAACACAATATATCGTATGAGATTAAGAGACAGGTTTTATATAAAACACTTATATCTAAAAAAGACTGGGTTGAATAGTTGATTATTACTTGGGGATGATGTCAAACATACCGTAAAAAACATGATAAATAAAAATAAGAGACACAACTGTGAAAAGAAACAAAAATATAATGTATTTCATATTTTATTCTTACGATGATAGGTGAGGTTTTCAGAGTCGTTATTGCCGTTTGAAAATAAAATAAAAGCTCAACAAACCTCGTTTTTCTTCATCTCTTTTAATTCCATTTCTGCATCAGTAAGAGGCGCGTCAGCATTCTTAGATACAATGTGCTTTTTATAACCAGCTAACGAAGCATCTGACTGCAAACGAAAAACATTGTCATATGATAAGTCATTAAAAAACAATCATAGACATCTCGTTGATGACATGAATTTTTTTCTACTTTTTCTAATGTACCTTAGCTTCTCTGTAAAACACTTCATTTTCACCTCTATATGCAAAGTTCTTATGGAGTAAAAATTGTTCCTTTAGAAAGAAAGAAAAGGAGCATGATAGCTGTAAATTTTGTGTTCTTGTGGTGAAAAATGTGTATTCTGCGTGGCAGGGAAAGCCTAAGTAACCATGTTCGCTTAAACATGCTTGTTTCAATGGCTTTTGAACTGTAATTCCAGGGGCAATTAATCTGATATTCAAAATAGATATTATTTGCCAACCAAACTCGCATAGTCACAGTCCTAGTTCTGGCCTTTGTGTAAAAGCGAGACAATGCCAAAAAATAGCGAATTCATTTCATACGCACTTTCGAGTTAAAATAGAAGCAGAGAAAGTCACCATTTGTGAATCTCATGCGTTATCAAAGAGTCGGAAAAGTGTTTCCGAGGCAGGAAACTTGTCTTAAGAAACCATTGCTGTAAAGGACTCTTTGCAAATGCTACATGCAGAAGAACCCTTTAAGAAGGCATCCATGTTTTTATTCTTGTAGTGCAGTGCAGATTTTTAATCAATATATGGCCTAGATCTTAAATGGGCAGTTTTTGATAACAGGTTTTTGAATAACCTTTCTTTGTTATCACCCGTTGTGACAAGCTACCCTTATAAGTTAAATGGGCATAAGACAAACTCTGAAATCTTGAGAAGGAAAAATTATGAGCCTAGATTCCTTGCTCCAACGTAGCACATTATAACTGATGTAGCACTCCAATTTTTTCCACTTACCATATAAAAATAAAAAAACAAGTTGATAAAAGCAAAGAAAGATGTTCAATAGAAAAATGATTTTCTTACAGAGTGTGTTGCAAAAATTTCATCACTTATATGTCCATTTCCAAAGTCCATTTTTAATGTGGCTCTTGTTCCTGCATACATCATTTTATCTCTAACCTGACGAAAATAAATCAACTTAAAAGAAGCTCGATCTGCGGCCTAACAAAGAAGTCCATCACCATATTAAAATGAATCTTTGCAACAAAATGCATGTGAAAAACAATTGTTTTCAAAACTCATAATCCTATTCACAAAACATTATTTAGTGAAATGGTTTCAAGCCTGCGTTGATCAAACAAACATTGGCAAAATGCTGATTGAAAGTTATTCTCTTCAACCAACATTAGATTTATTTAGATACATCATCAGTTATAAAGGAAGCTTTTTCAGTTATGAAGGAAGTTTTTCCCACATATCCCTGACAAGACAACTCTAGTTCCAAAATGCCATTTTTAGGAAATGCAAAATCTCGTTTTTACCCCTACAATATTTATGAAAGGACAAATCAGCCTTTAATGCACAAAACTGTTTAAACTTGCATTATCTTATCAGATACTGACGTCAGATACCTTTGAATAAATTAGTGTTATATTTATACTTTTTCGCAGTGCCAATAGAAAGACAGATATTTATTTTGAATTTTGTAAATCATTTGTAACCAATACATCTTATCTCAAAAGACCGGCTTGGGTAAAAGAATATCAATCTACATAACAACTACATCAACTCCTTTTGAAACTGCATGAAACATCAGTAAGTCCTGCTTAAAGGCATTTGACATGCATAAGTACAGCAAATCCAAAAATAACTTAGACTTGATTAATCAGAGCATGCGAATGTGTGTACAGGAAAAACTCAGACCATTGCCAAGGACACTAAGTGAGAAAATGGCTGCTCAAAGATTCCAGACAACCGATATTGATGATTTTGAAACGAAAGAGCGATTTGTAGTCTTTGATGGAGATGAAGCCATAACTTCATCCTCCATTTTGAGCTACTGTGTGCTGCACTGGGATTTCGTCGATTTACAGAATGTTGGGAACTGTTCACATGATATTCTCCCTGCACAATGTGATTGGCCAACCGTTTGTGGTCAATCGACTGTAAGCCACTCTTATCTGTGCAAATACCTTTAGCATAAGCAAGTCAATATCGAATCACTGCTTCAAATAAAAGCTGCTCAACAGGCTTACCTGCAAGGAGAATTTGAAATAATATTGGTCTCCTTACCTTTGAAAAATCTGGGGAATATGCAATAAAGAGCCATTGATATCCTTGGTCATTCTTTGTGTCCATTCTATACAAGACATAGGTTGGCTCATTTTCCAGTAGAAAAGGCGAAACACAGTTATCATAATCTTTTCACTGTCAAGGAAACTGAATGTCATGGATGGATACTGAAGAAGAACAAAGACAGCATTTAACACAAAGGTTGGCAATGCAATACAATCACAAAACCAATGAAAATGTGATCACTTTACTGGCCTAGTACTTCTAGAGTAACTTTCAATTGCAAAGGCACTCTTTTTGTATTTTCATAATTATAGAATGGGTAGCTGTGCAGTTATGTCCCTGGCTGGTTGAGAATAATCAAACAAAACCATCTGAGCCCAAAGAATAGAGAAACAAAACAGTTAAAAATATATTGTTTTCATGAGAGAGATGTGTGGATGCAAGACTAAATGAATATACTTCTTCACTTTCATAGTGCTAAAATATTCAGTCTGAGAATTTGATTATCAAACCTCAACTAATAAGAATTATCTATAGTAGATTAAAGACTTGAGATTCTGGCAATTATTAATCGAAAACCAAATTATGAGTCTGACTTTTCAAATCTTGCAAATCACAATTTCTTTAGCTTTATGTTGTAACATTTGAATTTAACTGGCAATTCACACAGTTAAACCAATGACTATCAAATGTAATGAAAGGATACCCTCTTCAAAAGTCCCTTGGGGTTCTTTATAATCATCTAACACAAGCTCCTCTGAAATCAAGAAATTATCTCAAAGAAAGAATGAAGTTGAAAATACAAAAAAGTGTGCAAAAAATCAGTTGTTGCCTCCAACCTAATGTTTTGTAATTATAAGAAGGCAGTTAGGATCTTGAAATCGGCCAATTCACACAGCTGTGAGAAAATTATTTGAAAAAATTACTTTTATTCTCAAATAAAAGTAAGTTCCACATAGAACCATTCTATAATACTTAGATGTTATCATTCACAGTTACAGTTGTCAGCTTTGAAAGATAAGGATTCTAAATTCATACTAATCAGCCCAGCATCAAGCTGTTTGACATAGCTAAGGGAACCATGTACATTAGCATAATGAAGAGGAATAAAGAGGGGGCAGACAGCCCCTAATGGCAAAATACCTCTTTAAAAAGGGCATTTTCTGGCGGTTGGAAGGGAGTGGACCCCATTTTCCTCTAATTCAACTCACCTTTGCCTCCCCCCCCCAATCTTAAAACCCTGGCTATGCTATTGACTATGTGGCAGAGACATCACAAACTTAGTGGCCTTAAGGTTTTCTAAAAATGTTACAGAAACTCCACTAACAGATAGGAGGCATGAATTAAATCATTGAACAATAACATACCATCTTTTATAGCAATTTTCATGCATCTAACATTGCCATCTTTAGCAGTGGCAAAAAATTTAACCAATGAGTCACTTGCTGCAAACAAATAAGTGATAAAAATCATTCCATGACATGTATAAGTTATTGATATCAAAATCAAATAAAGGCAGTAAAACAAAAAATGTACAATAATTGCTTGATAATTTTCAACTGTTAGAATACACTGGAATTTCAGTCTGTTTGTGGAAATCATAAGATGTGGAGCCAATCTGTTGCAAAAAGCTCAACTTGGTTCTTAGTTTTAAAAAAATTCCATAGTTTCAGTACTTATTTTTAAAAAATTGGAAAAAATTGACTAAACAATAATTCCATTTCACAAAAACATTCACATTCAGCCAATTTTTTTCAGAGCTAATTGGTGACAGACTTTAAGTATAACAGATTCAATACCATGCCACAGGCCACAAATAAATAGGTAAACATAATACCAATCTTAAGGTATTCTATATATATTTTTCTGTTACTATAATTCCGTTCGTAATTGCCATCTGTTCTTAGCAATCCCCTTTTGTTATTGTTGATATCTCGTGCTTGATAACAGAACAGTTGTTCCCCACAAAACCCTGTTGAAGCTTTGTGTCTTCTATTTCCAAAAACCCTTTTCGAGTTATAGGGCATTCTCGGTATAGTTGCACAATACATTGCTTTTGTTACACTTTGTCACATGACTTAAAATACAATACGGAGTTACTGTTGCCGCAAACAGACCTTTTCTGTTGGTGTTGCTTGCGGCCTAAAATTACAATTATTGGTAGACGCCCATAAGTTCTATAGTGGTGATTCTCTATCATTCAAGACAGAGTTAAGGTACTAGCCAATAAACAATGGTCTTTCTCATACCTTTAATGCCAGTTTGATGTGACATGATTTCACGGTGATTTTCCTTCCACAGCCTGGGATTTTACTGGCAACCCCGTTTCCTTCGTTGAACCCAACTTCCGCAAATTCCACCACATTGAATTGAATCTTTTGCCTCACTTTGCAAACGAGATTTTTTCTTGATAGAATAATGGCTGAAGTAACTGGCCTAGCCGTGAAGCGCACTTTATTCGGTAGATGGGCCTCTAACGCTCTGTTAAAAGGTAAACTAATGAATAGATTTATTTATTTATTGATAATTTTTTATGCATTTTTTGTGTTCTGTATCACAGGTCACTGAGTTGATGTGTTCCCAATCAACTTGAAGTTCCCATTTCATAGGTATCAACTTGAAGTTCAACTTGAAGTTCACTTTATTCGTTCTTGCAGACCTGCCAAGTCTCACGCATTTTGCGTGAGTTCCACGTACCTTGCGGGAAACAATAGAAAGTACAATAATTTTAATAACTTTGGATCTTTTTGTCCAGAAACTGTACGCAACCAGTATGCAAAATACATACAAATTCTGCAGCCAAATAGTAGACCAATTAATGCAAATGTAGCTCTTGGATGCTGATCCGTACCCCAACCCAATAACCTTATGTATGGTTTTGTATGAGTGACCATTACTCATGGGTGTAGCTAGTAGGAAGTGTAAGGGGGTATGACAACCCCCAACTCTTCATGAGATTGTCAATAAATCTTCAGTTGGTTCAAAAAATCCCTGGTTTATCAGTAAAGTGGTCTATTAGTAGGTGAATCATAACCTAAATCCTTTTTATCTAATTGTCTTCGTCTGTAAATTTCACCACTCATGACCCTCCATCCCCTAGTCTGGAAGGTCAAGCTATGCCACTGCCATTACTGAAAGGTTTAGTACTCTAGCGCTGAAAACTTCTGTGGCCAAAGAAAAAACAAATTATGCATCTGAAGACATGTACAGCTCTTCCTATAAAGCAGGTTAATTAATATGACAGACGGGTAAATTGGAGTTTTATTTAGCTATGTAGTAACCCACTCTAAGGTGGTATAAATGATTAAAACGTTTTGGCAAAACTTTCTGATTCCTGAAGCGACCCCTACTTAAATCTGAACTTTGTCTTCTTAATTCATAGAAACAGGAATTTTACGTCATTTAGGCTAATGCATTTCTGCTACCTACAGGCGAGTTTAGAAGGGCTAAGCAAAAAATCTGTAAGTAGATACAGGCACCACAGAAAAGGGGGCTAGAGGACTATAGCCCCCCACTTTTTACCAAAAATGCAACAAATTTACCAATGAATAAGCAGTCAAACCAATTTTTATACGGTTTTAGCCCCCACCCTTTTTTAGACCCCTGACTTTTAGACACTCTGTGATAGATAATATGAAGGAAAGGATTGAGCATCGGGGCAATACTAGTTTAATTGAAAAAAAAACATTATAATCATTTTAAATCAAGATTAAAATGGCATCAAGCTCACCCCTAAATACTGCAGCCACAAACACCACAGATTTAGCCAGAAAGGTACACCCTGTTGTTGATTCCTTTCCTTAACAGCTAGTTTGACTAGAGTTATATGCCACATTAGAGTTATATGACTAAGAGTTTAAATTTTGTTCTTATAGGAGTGCAAAGAAGCTTTGGAACCCTGTCACAAGTTTCTCCAAGGACAGTACCTTTTTACAGAAAGCCATGGAAAGTATGTGTAGCTGTTTTGCTAGAACGAAAGCCCATTATATCGAAACAACTGACTGACATTGAGCAGCGATTTGCAACTTATCAAAATGTTTTAGAATTAGAACAGAGTGTCTTATCTGATCATGAGCTGAGAAAACTTAGACTTACCAAGGGCTCAAAAGCAACAAAGAAGAAGAAAACAACAGAGGCTGAGGAACAAAAAAGACTTGAATGTGAGCAGGAACTCAGAAGAATTGAGGTAAAAAGCATGACAATATCTTTGCTAATTTTTGCCCATAAAGACTTGGAAAAAACTAAAATATTGATTACTTGAAAGGAGTTTTATTATCTCATAAGAATGATGCTGATGATTTTAAGATTTGTGGGAAAGTGCATTGCATGTAAATTGTTTTGTAAAAATCCAGTCATGTATCTTTTGTTGGTAATGTTTAATTTTCTTATTCATCATAATGACAATTAATGAATATTGTCAAATTATTACTATAGTACAAGCAAACAGTGTTACTTTTGAAGTCATCTTTGTTAAATTTTCCATGAAAAGTTATATTTGGTACATGTTATGCATTTTGTATTTCTAAGGATGAGGAGGAAGAAGTTACAGAAGAAGTTGAAAGTCTTCAACTTGGCAGCCAAAAAACTGATGCTGATAAGAAACACGATAAAAGTTCTTTGTTACGTTGCTTGGATAAGAGCCTGCATCTTGTTGTAAGAGATTCAGACAAATGGCTTTTGCCTGAGACTGAGATAAAGGAAGATGAAAATTTAAGACAAGTATGATCTATACTATTAATTATTTTCTTTCTGCCTGTGTTATACCATGATCCAGAATTCTCAAGCTGTTTTTAGGCCCCTTAGCCAAAGAGAATTTGGGGACACTGCCATGGTTTTCTTGACAGGATGAAGTGCTAAATCAACTGCTATTCTTGCATTTTTGCTAGATTATTGGCCAGCTTTCTAGTTTGCCTATGCAAAATTCTGCATATAGCAGTTTAAAGTTAAGAATTATTTAGCAATGTGAGACTTGATTCTATTGAGCATATTAACTGAGGAAACTCCAGAGTTTTCTTTTCTGTCAAATTGAAACAATGCAGAATTTTTGACAGGGTGTTTACTGCTCTTGGAAAAACCTTACACTGCACATCCTCACAGTTACCTATCTCAAGTACCCTGTTATTAGATATTAACAAATATATAGTGTTGATAAACGCTCTTGCTGTGTCCCGTTTTCTGTTTTTTGTCATTGTGTCCTTGTTACCTTCTCATTCTGTCATATACAGCCTTTTTTCCTGTAGGCAGCTGAAAGGTTGATAAGCTCTCAGAGTAGCTCAGAGGTTCCAGTTCTTGTTCTAAGCAATGCACCATCTGGTGTGTACACTGAGGAAATCGAATCTGAAAAAAGAGAAGAAAGTGATATCCAAGGCAGGAAGGTAACCATTCTTAGATTGCTAATTAATTTTACAATCCAAAACTAAAAATGAGTAGAGCGATGATTCTATAATATCACATTGAAATGAATACGATGCGATAACCTTCTGTATTGCGATGCTACGGTATTGTGACGTAATTTCTTTGCATCCAATATATTTATTTTCAACTACCTGTTTGAAACATTCGTCAATTCCACGCAACAATACCTTTATTGATAAAGTGCAACAGTACAAAGCACTTAACATCTAGAGCTCAATAGACAATGCTAAACCACATTACGTAACGGTAAAACCAAGTAGGCGGAGTACCTAAGATTAATCACTACTTATAAGACCGTAACAAATTATTTATAACCTGGTGTACGCAGACAAATCTCAGGTATCACCTATGATATTGGTTCTAAAGTATTGATTGAACCATTCACAAACCGACAGGTGTGTTGCTGTATAAGAACTTTTGTATTGATCAATCAGTATTTTGTATTTTGTATTTTTGGTTAAAAGTCCATTTTTCTCGCCAGATTTTTTACTACAAGGCAATTCTTCAACCCATGAGGAATGTTTTTCCGGAATTCGACAAACCTTCTAACTGGCTGACAATCAAGGAAATGCAAGATCTGATGCCAAGAGAACATTTCAAACAAATCATTAAATTCTCATCATGATAATTTGTAGCGCTAAGTTCATGTTAACTTTTTTGTAAATTTTGTTTATCTGTCGAGCATCAATGTACGTGTACTGTTTGAATCTGATCATGAAACTTCACGATTAAGTCGCTCAATGCCCTCCTTTTCTCTGTGTTTCAAAATCTTCACGCCCCGCACAATGAATGCTCAAAAGGTAATAAGAAAAGGTGTTACCACATAAAAATAATAATGACCGTTATCAATCACTATGAATCGCAAATCAACATCATCATCAATCAATAATCATTAAAAATCATAATCATTATAATCATTACCTCCATCTCTGACATTTCAAAGGGCGTTGTCTTTAGATGTTTTCATCCGGACCTCCATACCTTCATCAAGCCCCCAGACCTTTAAATTTTCCTTCACTGTTAGGGCACTTTCTACTGTCTTCGTTCTTCCTAGTAAAGAATGTGTTTTTATTGCCGTAAATGTCACATACCAATTTTTCAAATGATCTATACACGATTTATCTAAGAATATATTTTGTAAAAATATCGAGGCTCGAAATTGGCAAAATCTAGGAATTAATTTAAAAAATTTGCCAGACTCAAATCTTTTCAATGGCTTGGCTTTTATCTGTCGGAGTATTTTAGACCATCAAGCCAAAGTTGACTTCAATGCGAACAAGTTTAAGGTACGCACATCATCATCAAGCTAGTATTGTGCTTCATTTCCGAAAATATTTTCATGGAGAAGAACAATAGATTTTTTCCAAATCTAATCATTGTGTCACTTAATCTCAGGCTCAAAGGACGAGGGCTCAGAGTCACAAAATTGCAAGAGTGTTGTTGCTCAGCAAGAATAAAGGTATTCTTGTATGAAAAGAATGTCTAACATAATTTTATTTTTCACTCTTAGCCGCCAAGTTTCACAGCTCTTGGCTCAGAGACCATTAACGAAGTTTTGTGCAACGAGGATGGTTGACTTTTAACTTTAACCGGTAATCAGTCTAGACATCAAAATTAAAAGTATGTAAAATACTTTTGATTTTGATGAGTAGACTTTTACAAAGCAGAAGTACCGTCTTACAACGAAATTCAGCCTACATTTCTAAGAACCAGTAAGTTGAAATTCAGGCTGGCTTAACTTTATCAAAGATTTGAGGGTGTAAGCAGAGTAGTTCCTGAATATTGTGCTCCAGGTGCAAACAAAGTGCGCGAGACATCCTTTAATTCCCGACAAGTTTGAAAACTCAATGATAAAGCACCCCTAGATGGCATAAAAATACTAATTAAAATGTTGTCACAACAAAAGTCATTGTTATGTAATCATTTTGATTATGAATAAGCGTACGAGATTTCCATAGAGAGAGAAATTAAAAAAACTGGGATATTGAGAGAAAGCAAGCAACGCCTGGAGCATCCCGGCAAAGCCGGGGCATGTTAAGAAAATAACTATGCATCTAAATTTAATAATCTGTCCATCTATCATTTAATCCTGGTACAATTTATTTACATTCATAGTTATTTTCTATTATAATGTACCACACGCAATCTAATATATCTATGTTAAAAGAAGCAGTCCTTTCCATGTCAACCTGACAGTGCGAAAATCAAGGAATGGACACTGGGGCACCTTTGATATTGTATCCCTTAATTTGCAAGGTTTCTTCTTGTTTGCATACTAGAAAAGGTAGAAATCGATGGCAACAAAAACAAGCAATGGGTAGACATCTTTTATTTCTAGTTTTCTAAGCTAGAAGGGTGCCAATGACTATGTAGAGGGGGATATTTCAATCTACCCCTGTTGCTCTTTCTAGAGGGCTCTGGAGCTCTTCCTGCCCCACCGCTTTACGAATTTTCCGGTATTTTTGTCCTTTGTCCTGATTCTTATTCTCATTCAGTTCTTTTTGCAGTTAATTTCATTTTCAAATTCCACTACACACAAATGTCATTAAAATAATACAGTAAATGAAACTAACAGGTCACAATATATCAACAAAAAACTAACAGGTTTTATAAGGCGATTTGTATGCAAAGAATTTCTTGAAAGGACAACAACTGATGTGACTCTATACTCCTTGTCTCCTACTCCTACTACAGAAAACAACGAACTAGGTGGAAAATTTTTGCATATTTGTGCAATCAAAGCTGTGTTTCCCATTTTAGAGACTGCACTTCTGTTTAGCTGTGCCTGAATTCAAATCAGAAAACTTTTCACAAAAGCATTTCACGGTTGATGGGTGACGACAAACCAAGCCAGTCGTGGGAGATTGTTTCACACAAATGTTGACATAATTGGGTCTTGTTATGATATTCACAAAAGAACTTTCAGAAATCTTTGACAACCGAACGTATTACTTCAACAATTGTTTGACGTTCTTCAAGGCTAAGGGGCAAAATATAACCGGGCAATTATCGATGTATGATTCATGGTTTCTAGAGAAGTCAAGACGCATGCATTACTTTGTAAATAATATCGTTGATTGACAAGAAAGAAGATTGTAATAGTACAGTACCAGGCAGGTCCACAATACAGTACCCTGAAAAGAAATGTGTCGTTTTGTTTCTGTAGAAACTGCATGCTTTCACGTGCAGATTTGTTGACAAGAAGACCAAACTTAACCATGCCTGTAGACCAATTTCACGAGCTGATTGTTTTGTATCGACGTTGGCCTAGGATTTCGACAAGAGCCATCTGAACAACTGTAAGTTTATTTTTGTTATTTTCTGTATAAAAGCCTGCTCGATCTTTCATCCAAAATTCAAGCATATACCCGGAAATACTTAATTTCACGAGCAAATTTCATATGCCTGGTTTGTACAAAATCATTCAGTGGACAGAGAAGACAACAAGTAAGTCAGACCGGTCAACTTTCTTGGTTACGCCGTGAGACCCAAGGTTTTGTTTGCTTTCTCCCGGTCTCCTGACTTTTTAAGATGTTCTTCCTGTTTCTTCCGTGTCTTTCAGCAAAGGTATTCTTATAATAAAAATTGTTTTAATGGCTTTCTTCATGACAACTTGTTTGTTAGTGTTCATGAATTAACAAAAAACTCGAGAAAAAAAACAATTAACCAAGATAAAATGATAGAACAATAATAGTTCTACTATTTTATCTTGATTCGACAAATTCCTTGGATTTCAATGTTATTGGCCAAATCTCCCTGTTTTTTAAGCAAAAATCTAAAATATCCAGGTTTTGAAAATTTTAAATTGACAGGTCTGAAGAAATCTCCAATACCGAAAGCAAATCGACAAACATCTACACAAGCAGGAACTTGAAAGGAAATTCTTTTTTAACAATTCGAAATGATTTAGTCTTAAAAAGTAAGACTAATATTTCTCACCGGCTTCAAAAGATTCTATAGACTTGTCCAATCAATGAACTTATTATAACTTATTATTTTGGAATAACAATACATATTATTTTGTTACATTGCAGTATTTTGTTATGTTGTTATGTGTTATGTATATGTGTGTTATTATCCTATAGCTTTGAAATATTTTTGGACCCTTTTAGAGGCTGAGCATTTGAGCTTTTACCCCAGCTAGCCCTCCCTTTTGACTTTTAAGGTGCCAGTAAAATTTAGATGTCTATTATTGTTCTTGTCACCTCCTTGTATTCACATGTGTATTGTACATAACTTTGGAAAGAGGACAGCCCCTAGGACCCCATGTGAATGCTTGTTAAACTAGAGAACATATCATTTATCTAACTAGAATTAGAAAATATAAAGATATCTATTGGGTTGGAATTGATTTATTGAAGATGCTGTATTAAGGTGGCTGTTTGTTATTTTCTATAAGACTTTTTCTGTGGAAATGATATCTATTGAAAGGAAATGATACCATTTTTGGGTACCTATTTCTCTTGCTTTGGACTCCTGACAGTAGAAAGTAGAAGAAAACACTGAGCTAAGGGCATTCATGATCATAATTTTCACATAAACACATCCCTGAATTGAGTAAATTGTCCTTAAGAATTCTAAGACAGCACAGTCTGTAGTAAATAACATTTTTGAAGAAAGTTTATAACATGTCCCTCCCCATCCCCCATTCCCCCATTCCCCCCATACAATGTAGGCAAAAGTAGACTGGAAGAATAATCAAGGGAAATATGTTGATGAATAACAGATATAATCATTATATAAAGGTTAGTGCTTTCCTAAATTTTGGCAAAAGTGTTTCTAAGATAAGTCTGATGCAAATTGGATTACACCACCTCTTCTCCTTTGCTGAACAAACCTTGTTAGGGATATTGCAACATATTTTACAGGAAACAATTTTTACTAGCTGCTTCCTATCCCCCCTTAAATACCACTATTAAATTATCTTTAATTCTGTTCTATAATTACTTATTAAGCATGTACTGACACATCTTTTGTCCTTTTTACTTAACTGTACATTCCTTTTTTAAGATATCAACATAGGCTCTGCTTGAAACATCTTAACCCTTAAAATTAATTGTTTTTTCCTGGTACAATTTACTTACATTCATAGTTTTAATATCATTATATTGTACTGCATGCAATCTAGTATATTTATATCAGCATATTATGCCAATATACCACCCACATACTAATGTCTTTATATTGCCATGATACTAAAAGGGTAGTTTTGCTTGAACCAGGAACTTTATAGACCTTCTGCCTTGTATTTCAATCTGAAACCCTCATTAGTTTTGTCATTATATGATTACAGTATATGCTGTTCACATGTACCACTCAAACTGTTTCTGATTGGCCAATAGTTTATTGATAGAAGTAAAGACCGAAATACAACTTTTTGTTTAGGGGGCCAGCCATGATAAATAAGTGAAACAACAGCCATATTTTACAAAATAAAAGTAGTTTTCTTATGCTAGTTAAGTTTTTTGGGGGAGCCAAAGCCCCCCAGCCCCTGGTATCTCAGTCCTTAGATAGAAGGCTTGCCACTTTAGTATCTGGCTTTAAGACGTGGGAATCTTAATGCACATATAAGTCATTTAGGAAGTGCGGAGGAGAATTGAGTTTATCATTCAATGATTTGAGTTGGGAGCTTGTGAGCAAGAGATCTGGAATGAGAGTCTCAGGAGGGTCTTTATTTAAGATCCCTCACCTGTTTTATTTTCCCCGTTTTCAAATTCCACCCCAGACGAACATTTTGCGGAAACAAGAATATTTCTTTGCACTTTCTTTGCAGCAGGCAAGGCAGCAATGTTTACTGCCTTATGCAACATATGCCAAACGTTATTGTCATAGAAAACTTTTAGTTGATACTGTATATTTCAATGCACCCACCACCTCTCATTTAAACAAGCTTAAACAAACTCATTATCTTGTGTTTGCCTTCGCGACGGAATTCAAAAACCTTCTTGCAATGATTTCCTTTTGATTTCAGAGCGTGGTTGTTTTTAATTCTTCAATATCAAAGCATTGTTAGTTGAATCTACCGAGATCTTTGGTGGTTAGGCAAACTCCCCCGTAGTCTACAACGCCCACAGCACAACAGCCCCCGGATTCTCAATGCTTTAGTGCTTCATGAATAAGATCTATACATGATCGAGAAAGGCGACCAAAGTTGCGTCTCAAATCCTCCATTTTTATCATGTTAACTGAGGGAAATGCGAGGGACCCTGGATGGTCATTAGAGGAGACACAGATTACTGAGCAATCTTGATGGCCTATAGCCGCATCGGTTTGCCGAACAATTCATGCTACTTTCCATAGATATATGTTTTTTCGACCAGTAACCATAGATTTGAAGGCGCTGTCTTTTAATGCTTAGTTTTCTTGTAAAACTCAAACAAACAAAACCATGCGATTGATCGAAAGTCGTAACAAGGTAAAGCGATATTTCTGTTATTATTTCTCAGCTTCTGTTAAGAAAACATAAAAAATGGCTGTTGTACCAGCCACTGCATTGGGTTAGAAGCTGGACATCAACGAATAACATGTGATAGACAAGGAAAAAGCCCTTGACAGTTGGGCTTTCGTCCATTTTGTTTAAAAAACCTCGTGTACAATGTCTTTTCCGGGTAAAAAAGCTAACAAACTTTGTAAAATATTTTGTGTTCAAACTTTTGATGTTTAATTTAACTTTCAATCTGTGACATCCATGCCGCTTAATTTCTTTCCAGGAATAGTGAAATGGAAAATGAAAAAAATGAAATGGAATGGAAACACATGAAATGGAAAAAATCATTTTATAGTTTAGTTTGGTTATTCTAGAAACCATTTCGGGCTCTTGCGACAAATTGTGTGGTTTTGTTTACCTGTTGACTCGGACAATGTTTAAAAAAAGGAACCGTTATAAGGCGTGGATGATATCGTGTAATGAGATATAGGATCGATATAAACTCTAAAAGATATATAAATTCGATAAGAGCACTTAATCCCGAGGGTTCTCAAGCAACTTCTGCTATCTTTTTTATTCAATAAAGGGGTAGACAAGGCGGAGAATAGGGGAATGGTAGCCCTAAAGCGAAATTAACGGAACCAAATGCTTTTGGTCAATTCCAACATTTTCAACTCTTTGTCGCCACAATCTATTGCATAGGCTACGTGTACATAATATCTTCGTTACTTGATCTTATCTTCTCCACCTTTGTGATTAACGTCATTTGCCACCTGGCTATTTCAATAATATTTCATATTCAGACATAAAAGATTGTTTCTAATTTGTTTTGGAGGTTTCCATATCCTCATGCCTTGTACTGTCATAGGCGTTGGCACACTATATATATATCTATTAGATAGTGATCTTTGCCACTTTCACGTCGTTTTACCTCGCGATTTAAACAGATATAAACATGCGCTGAATGGAAACGACCCGAAACTTGATAAATCAACGTATTTTCGTCTTTCCTTTCTGATTCTAGCAAAAATAATAATTTATCTTTCTGGCGTTTACAGTTAAGAGCCAGATAGTAAGAAGCCAACCAAGCTAACACTTTCCAGGTTATTTAATGACATATAATGAAAGCTCCACGAGCTAATATTCCTGTAGGATAAGAATGACTGTCTTTTGTTTGGATATGTCGATATGGAAAATATCCGTTGTCACAGAAGGCTTTCAATTTTGGGACAAAATTGTTTGTCCGTGGATAGAGGATTCGTTGGATAAAAGTTGGCTTGGTTATCCCCCATCTGCAGTTACCTCTGCACTCTTATTATACTTTGTTATAAAGAACCATTGATGATTTCTCATTCCATGCATCTTACGTTGCCATCGTGACCACTCATATATTGACCTACCTGTTTTTCTTAAATTCCCTTACTTTTTATTTGATTTTAAGTCCTTTAATTAATTCTTTCATTCAGAAGCGTATTTACAGTCAATTCAAACCCCTACATAGCTTTGCTACCATCACGTAGCAGTGTTGTAGGAAGAAAATACATATGGGGGATGCCTAAGCCCTTGTTTACCATATTTGCCCCGGTTTCAACCTTGAGATATTTTGCATCAAGATTTTTTGGGAGTGGTATGCTCCTTTCATGTCCCCCTTAAATACTGCAATTAAGATGCAAAGTGCCATAAGTTTTGTTCTTGTTTTTAGAGGCACCAAGGCAACTACGATGGGGCAGTCTGATGATCAAGTCAAGGAAGAGATACTGCTGGCTGTATCCATATCCCTGGGAGCCTTGTTTTTTGCTACAGTTATAACTCTTATCATTGCGAGGTTTTATAAACAGATTCGAGGCTGCTGTCAATCATGCTGTCTTTCCGATGAAACAGACAACAACAACACCAGTACATCGTTCTTTGGTACCAAAAGTCCAGGTGACCCGAAGCCAGTCATTCCATACACAAAATTAGCCGAGCGACGTAAAGAAGCTTTAGAAACCAAGAAATCGGTTAAAAAAAGATCACCAATCTTTCTTCCTTCGGTAGACAACCAATTCATTATTCCAGGATTATTTTATTCTAACCAGATACAGCCTGAACTAAAATTGCCGATAAGAGCTGAAACGAATGGCGGTAGAAATTCGTCGTTGTCTTCCCACCCTATGCCCCCTGTAAGTCGAAGACATACAGCCTCAGTTGCTTCCTTGCCGGCGAATTTCTCCCCCCGACTTGCTGGACGAATAATAAATGGCCAGCCGGACCACAATTTCCTCTCTTCGGAGGAAGATAACGAGTCTGGAGAACTTCCATCAACTAAGCCGTCGATTTCTTTAGAAGATATAGCATCTTTTGATATGAAACCGGAGATGTATAATATTGCTCGTCAAAGAACTCTCGGGGTTGGTCAACTTGGCAAGCTGCACGTGTCTATGCAGTACGAAGATAAGTCGAGGAAAAAAATGAATATCATCATTAATGAGCTCACGAAACTCCAGGCTATGCGTCCGGACGTTGTAAGTATTTACGCCAGTGTCGTGCTGTTGCCAGAGAGGGAGTCGATCTACACAACAAAGCAACACAAAGCAGCCGCAAACGCAACCGTGGCGGAGAAATTTGTTTTCTCTTCGAAGCCAATGAACCGTGACTTTGAATCTAAAACAGCTCTCTTCTTAGTCCATCATGTAGACAGGGCTGGAAAAGACGTGGTATACGGAGAATCCCGAATGCCGTTATTGTGCAGAGAGATCTACAGTCAAGTATCCACAGATGTCACGTTGAATATCAAATGTGCTTCAATGCAGGTATGCAAATTAGGGGAATTGTTCTCACAAATTAGGAGTACCGCGGTTTCCATTTTTGTTGACCTGTCAACCTCCATTGGCAAATATTTAGCAATGATGCTTGCACTCTGTTTAGCCAATGGGTTGTGTCAAACAAGAGAAAACAGGGGCACCATTTTCTGCGAGAAACCTTTTCAGACATTGCTACCCAAAGTTTGTAAGGCAGCTCTCTCTGGCGAGGCCTGGTACCTGAGTATTTACCTGTCCCAATTTTTGAGCCTAACTGATTTGGGAGGATTCATATTAAACCCGCCTCCCATCTGTTACTACCAGTTTTTCATTTTTGTTACATAATTCGAACTTTCGTATTATCAGATGTTGTGCAAGATTTTTTCGTATTATCAGATGTTGGAATCATCGATAATTGATTAGGGGTATAACCATGAAAGATTATGAAGGGAAATATTTTTTGTTCGAATCGCAATAATTGTATTTCATGTAGAATTATCGGATTTTGCTATGAATGCTTGATACATTTCATCCGTATTCAGAAAATGGTATCATCCGGGTAAAATAGTCACCAAGCTTACTGTTATCATTATAAACATTCTAATACACTGTTCTTAATTTCAAATGCTTTTTCTGCAGAGTGAATTTGGGGATCTTTTGGTACAGATGATTTACCTTGATTCTGGGACACTGGATGTCATGATCAAGATGATCAAAGTGCCCCAAAGCATGTCGTTGGAGAACATGTCAGGTCTGTTTCGTTTGACAACAAGCCTTTGTTTTCTGATTATTAGGGATTTATGGGTGTAGCTACGGTGGAAAATTCAAGGTGCGTAGGATAGGAACTGGAGGTTATTGGGCGCAAATGCCTCCCACTTATGTTTGAGAACATGAAAAAATCCCCTCAAAACAGGAGATATCATTATTTAAAAATGTGGTCCATCTTTCGTTTTGAAAAACTTATTGTTACGTATTGATTTTGCATGAATTAGTTGTGATTGAAGTGCCCTTCGATTGTTATGCCAATTGCTGCCTTCATCCTAAGCTATCACTCAACTGAGTTACATACATATATTGCCAAAACCATGGAAGGTAGCTTTACAAGTATCATTTGCAAAATAAATTTTCAGTACAAAGAGGAAAGGCTGTGGGCTTTTTGTTCAGTAGAAAGAAAGCTGGTATTGACGGATAGAATAAATCTTAATACAAGGAATCTTACTATTTACTGGAATCATTTTTTCAATAAGAGGTGCTCATTCTTTCATTAGGAAGTCTAAAATCCACAGCAAAGTAGCAGACAACCACTTTGCCGTTTATAGCATCTTGTCCTTTGCTTATTTATCCTTTGCTTATTTTTCTTATGCTTGGTATCTCGGCGTCTTAGCAATCAGCCTGGCAATGTATCGTACCAGAAAATGTGAAATTTTCAATTTTACATTGATGTAGGTGTTAATTCTATCCAATTTAATTTCAGGCCTAAATTTCAAATGCTACGCAAGAAAGTTCGGAAGTCGAACTGGAAAGAAAACGACAATAGCGAAGAGGCTTGAGGGATCGCCTGAATACTCAAGCGATATAAACAGAGAGTGCAAATTCAGAATCCCGCGTGAGGATTTTATGGATCATGACATCACTTGTTCTGTCGGTGGGAAACACAAAATTTTAGGAAAGAAATTGCATCTAGGGAAAGTTGTGATTGGAAATGGAAGCAAAGACGAGACGGGGGTGGTGCATTGGAAAACGATATTTGCCTCCCCTGGCATTGCCTGGGCAGTGTGGCACCCTATTTACAGTTCTTAGAATTTTGGATTCATTTGCATTTGGTCAAATGTTATGGACCGTGGTAAGCCAATAGGAACGATGGTGATCCTGGTCGGGTAGATGTTAACCAATTACAATCTTCAAATGTCTTATGCGATTGAAGAATAATGTTAAATTAGCCCAGATTCGAAAGATGCCTCAAAACGTAGCCTTTTATGAACGTGTCTGACCCACTGGATCACCTCCATCCACATCTAACTTTTTTTACTGCTGCAGGATTGTTGGCAACTGAGCCTAAATTGTACGCGAAAGAGATTCGTGCAAATTTTAACTATTACCCTGCATATAAATGCATGCTTCTTTATGCATAAAACCGCGTATGAATATTATAACAAAGTTTTTTTCTGATTAAACATTTGCTCGGTTAGAAAAAGAAAACTTTGATAACTTCACTTATTCGATCTCTATAATAACTTCTGCTCAAAAAGCCAACACAGCGCCAAGTTGTCAATAATCTGCAGCGTATATGTAGTTCTAGACACTTGACTAGGCCAGCTCCAGCAATAGCATTTCAAATTTGCAATTGTATTTAATCGTATTTGCAATTTCAAATTTTCAATATCAGTATTTGTTCGTCTCTAAATCTTAGAATATTCTATTTATTTATTGTATCATAACAGTTTTTGGCACAAGCGTAGATGAAGACTGTTGCTTGAAAATATTGAATTGTTTTACTCCAAAATGAGCGGGAAAGACATTTATTACGATGGTTAAAAGTCGTTAGAGCACAGAATGGACCAGTAAATGGAAAACAGTCAAAGAAGTATGATATCCTGCCTTAATTTAATCGTTCACCAAAACGCACTAAAAACCTTGTAGGACAAAAAAAGAAGAGTCGAAGGACGCAATTTGCAAAGAAGATGTCCTTCACAGAATAAAATTTCTATTCGATAACGTATTTGAAAACAAATAACGAATCAATTGACATGAAATGAAAAATTTATTGAAGAAATTGTTTTCGAAAACCTGTATTGAATTTAGCTGAACACTGTGACAGGGATTCTAATACCTTTTAAGCACGTACATTTAACGATAATTACTGATTTAAACATTCGTTGAAAGAAGAATACTGATAATCTGGCAAAAACCACAGAAAACCGACGTTGAATAGCAAAGATATTTGTTTTGATTAATAAGAAGGTCCCCAATACCTTACTGCTTTGATTTGCATTTGAGTTCAAGGGCGCAGTTAGGGTTTTTGGGTAGTTATTGATAAGGTCTTCTGAAAAACTTCCAAAGTCGCACAACTCTTTCAGAATTTTGTAACAAATTTCGTGCTTAAGAAGTGAGACTTCTGTTTAGGTTCGTAAAAGACCTTCGGCAGTTCCAGGATTTCCAATGTTTTCGAACGATCTTTGTTTCTTTAACCTTTCCTAAGTATTGTACCCTTTTTATACCCAGCCCTTTTTGATACAGCTCCTTTATCATGAATGATCGACCCAGCCCCCAGTCCCTCATTTCCTTTGAATTTGAATTACAGGATTGAACCTGATCATTCCGGGGGAGGCATTTGACTCTTTCGAAAAAGCGTACGAAATTTTTCAAAACAAAAGAAAATCCTGAAAATTCCTGTCTGGTAGACTTTATTGAATAACAAAAGATTTTGGCAAAGTGTGTAGGAGATCTTTTGAGGTTGCAACGCCCTTCAGTTAATTTTAGTGCCTGTAATTCGAATTTTCGTGATTTCAACAAACGTTTATTTGCTTTACACATATTTGGACAGTTCCACAGCGTGATTTGAACTGTTGATTATCGAACATACTGAAAATTAAAGGTTATCGAACGTTGACTGTATTTGTTAGAGCCAGTAGCTAGAGGTTTCTTGCGAAGTCAAATTTCAGTTACCTCCTTGCGTAAGGACTTTAATCGCACTAAATTCATCGAAATTAGGATCAGAGACTGCAATTACCTGTCATAGAAATTAGCCTTTCGGTTATTTAAGAAATATGCCGGTTTAATATGCGTTTCGGTACCCTATGCAAAAGTGTAACATTGTGAAACGCGATGTGTTGATAAAATATTGAACACAATGCTTGGCAAGTTTAAAATTTTACACTTGTCATTCAAGCAAATTTTGGAGTCGTCATGTTGTACTTTTTCGCTTAAACTTAACAATGGAAATCACAGCACCGCTTCTTAGCACCCCCTTTTTAAAAATAGTTCGATATGAACCAGAACATTTGTGTACCCGGACCCGTTTACATGCTAAATCCCACCAACCGTTCGTTTCGGTCCCCTATTTTTTAAAGGCTTGGGTACGTTTTTGCAAAACCGAAATTGTCATGCGTTTGTGTACCCGGACCGAAAAGCATGCTAAATTCCACCATTAATTTTGGTACCCTTTTGTTCATGTGCTTGGGTACGTTTGACATAACCAAAATTGCCATGCGTTTGTGTACCCGCATTGAAATGCATAAGGTTACCGAAACGCATATGACACCGGCACATTGGTAAATTTGTTAGTCAATGTATCTAAATTTTTGATATTGTGACCTTTCAGGCGGACTTTTTCTGGGAAATTTGTCGTCGTTTCGATTTTGATAAATAAGATATTTCGAGCTAATCAAATGGTTTGTTTTTTTCTTGCATCAATTTGAGATCAATACCTGGGACCTGCCATTGAACATGGCATTCTTGAGCATTATTGTATACCCTAACCTGGGTACCAGAGCCACATAAATTCGAGAGTGTAAACAGAAGATATGAATGGAAAAGCGGAGGAGATTGGTTTTCTATTCACGCGCTCCAAAATTTGTGGCGCTGGTACTCATGGTATGCATATCCATGACAAGGGCCAGGAGACAGGTACCACTGGGGTAATGAATGGGCGCTCACATGATTCTTTGAAGTCCAGGGAGGGAGACACGATACTCAAATATACGTTAAGGCATCTCCATTTTAACGTTTCTAATTTTAAGGCCTGAGTCGTATCGAATTTCTATCTAGGAAAGTGGTGGTTCAAATGAGAAACAGATTTTAGGAATCGTAGTTTAACAAAGTCATGTGTTTGGAACTTCCTATTGAATGTGCTTTATTGCCTGTAGCTGAATTTAAAATCTATGTATCTATTCTGAGTTCTGAACACTAACCTCCTGCATTTTTCACTATAAAGTGCCTCTCACAACAACAAGTTTATCAGTACAACATGCTCCTACATTTTCTTACCATACAGCCACCAATATTTTTTGATTTGCCTCAATTTCAGAAACTTTGGCTAAAAAGACTGTCCATAGTAGGTTAGGCTATGAAAAAATTGGAGCCATAAAATTGGAGCGATTTTGATAACATAATTCTAACTATGCAACTAACTGCAGACACTGTATGTAAGATTATGATGGATTCAAAATGGCCTATTAGATTTTCTGCGAAAATGGCACCGAGGAGGGGATGTATTTTGCAAAGGATACGCTATGGTTCATAAACAAACTTTGCTGTTCCACAGGGATCAGTCTTAGAACCTCAGTTCTTCAGTATTGTCATTGATTTTCAGCTATATGTGACGAGTTTACATTTGAGGTACTGTGTAGCACAACCTTCCTATCGCCATATATGCGATTTAGGCCAATATTCTATCGACTAGAAGAGACGAGCGCAAAATGCAATCCTGACGAAATTGGGCCCCGTGAAATCCAAATTGAACTTCTTTCACCAACTATCTTAAAAAAGCAAAGATAAATTATTAATACGCTTGTCATTCCGATCAGTTATTGGTCATTATTATTGATGCTTCAAAAATGAAAGATAAATATAATAATGAACAGTATGCATAGGCCACATCAAGTGGGACATTACACTACGAAAATATCGTACATCCTTGGTGGATATCCTATTGTTCAATCCGAATCTCACTGGAAATCCTTTTGCTTTCGTGGAACGGCAGGAGTGAAGATAAAATTTCTGTTCTCGGCAAGTCATCAAAAATAATTTTTTTCCTAATCAAAAAAAATACCCTGCAATATGGTCTCAGGTCAGTGCGTTATTGTGGAGCTAAATACTGGAATGACACTCATGTGGAAATAAAACAATCTCCATCTGTTAATAGTTTTCGTCAAAAAATCAAAGCTTTCCTATTTGAAACTAATTACTAAATTTTGGAAAAGTGGATATTAAAAATGTCACCATCTGCCCATCAAGTAGTTTTATCAACATCATAATGTCAATTAAAGAAATCAATTTTATATGAGATACTTTTATGATAGGGGGTGTTCTCTCCTCGATTAGTCTAACTACTGAGAGAGCTCCTCCTGTAAGTAATTCCTTCCATACAATCTATCTTGTGTCTATGTTTTGTATTGGTATATTGTATTAATTTCTTGTATTTTAGATGTATGCTTGTCTTGTTATTGATAAATTGTATGTAGTGGAATTTAAAAAATGAAAACTGAACTGAACTGAACTGATTTCATGGCAAGAGGGAGAATGAAACTTCAAGTCTTAACGGTACGGCAAGAGGGAAGATTTATTTTGAACAGAAGAAGATTACCTGCGAAATAAGTTTCTATGCATAAAAGGTGACGAAACTACCCAAAGCCTTCGTAAAATCACTTCCTTCTCAAATAGATGAAGAAATCTAAACAGAATTCAGAATTATGCTAGACGAAAACTTGTCCATTTTCCGGATGAATTTGTAAATGTTGCATGTAGGAATGATATCCTCACTAACAAACTTCACGTCGAAGGAAAATTGAATGTCTATGTACCATGCAGAGCTACAGGATTTGAAGTTGATAAGTAGGAATCCTAATTTGTGGAAAACTTCAGAAAAAACTACTTTTTAAGTTTCTTAAACCACCAAGAGCAAAAGAAACTTTTGCCGAAATCAATTTAGTCTAATACTTGGAACGGTGCTGATATTTAACTACAGTGAAGAACCTGTCAAGGTGCCAAGGGAAACCTTCTTCACAACAATTTTCTTGTAATGTAAACAAGAACGTCGAATTTGGGGTACTGGGGGCTTCTGCCCTTTCGGTATTTTGAGAATGCCATTTTTCCTAAAAGTACAAAGGTACATCTTTTTCTAAGTCAAAGCGCCCCTTCATATCTATGTCCCTCTAACTTTGAGAATCTTCTCATGTTCCTGGATGTGAGATCTATGGAAGTATGATGTAAGATGAATGCCATCCCGAAGGTCTGATGTAGCTTATTCATCAAACTTAATGATAATTTGCGGTAAATAGGCATGCATCGTGAAAGTTGGTGCAATACTGATCTGTATTTTGATACCTTGGATTTGGTCTTTGCACTATTTGATCGGCGAATATTGCATGTTGATATGGTTAAAAAAGGAAGGTCGCCAAAATTGATTTTTTTGTTACTATCATAGCTTATTATTATTACTAACTTTCTATCCTCGCTTGTTCATTAACAGTTGCTAGATATAGCACATGTTGCACATGCGTAATGGAAAGTGCATACCAGCCTTTGACAACAAATGAAATGTTTTCAGTTTTTATGTCATTTATTTGATGAGGCTTCACTCTCTCAGGCTCTCACCTCAAAATGTATAGCAGTAAGATTTTGTCTAGACCAGCTTCTGGTTATTATAAGCGAAGTAGCAAACAAAACACTAATTATCTTTTCTCTGAGCTCAGATGTATTCGCCAAGTTTCTCTTTAGAAATAAGATGTTAGCAAAGATAAATATATAAAGAACTGTAACATAATGAAATATATGAAGAAAAGAAAATTTATGAAAAGATAATATTTCTGTTTTACAAGTTGAATATATGAGTCTGATTCATCAGTTAAATTTCATCGCAGTATTTGTGGACTGGGGAACAGGCTAAATATATCAAGCAACGGAATAATTCGAATCCATTGATTTTCCGAACTCCTTCTCTGTTCCGTCTTCTATTTTAAATGTTAAAGCATAGAAAAATGCCTCAATTTTTAACACCTTGTTATTGGTCCCTTGGCAATTCAAAATCTAAGATTCAATTGTACCAAAATAGGATCTTTGCTTCAAATAGGATTAGCCACAAACGATTTGGAAACCAAAAGTTGTTGCTGTGACACTTGATTGTTACTGAAAGCATTTAAACACCTTCAAGACCATTCAAAAATTTAAAATTTGGCATAAATACCTCATCGCATGACACGCAAAACTAGTCCCATCAAATCGAGGTGTTTACGAATAGTAATGAAAAAAGGCTACACGTCAACTTCAGAGACTAAATGTAATTCAAACTTGATAGCTTATTGACCATTAGCCCTGTGTCTCATTGACTATCTCCTGCTAATAACGTGGGCTCAGTGGCCTCGCTTGACCTTCCAGACGAGGGGGTTATCAGTTTGTAGCATTTACCGACAAAGACATAGATAAAGAAAAATTTAGGAGGTATTTCACTTTCTGATAGTTGATTTTACCGATTTACCGACAAAGTAAGGATTTTGTGGACAAAATGAAGATTGACCGAGCAACTTGTGAAGTACTTGGAGTGTCGCACCCCCTCCACCCCCAACCTTCTCAAGAGCATGTCTTCTTTTCATTTGTATTTGTATTTGTTTCTACCTAGCATCCGAAGGTAGTTTCTAGGACACTGAGAAGCTTATGCTTATCGAGCAGTGTCCTGGACCTTCCTCTCGATGTGAACACACCTCATGATTCTTACGCCTGGAATTACAGAGAGCTAGCGACTCTTCTCACTCTGGGTAAAAGTTTGGTCATACCAGGGACCAGGGACTCGAAACAAGAACACTTGGGTCTGAAGTCGGCGCCTCTAACAACTGAGCCATGAAATTACCAGTAATACACGGGAACGGTCCTGTCACATGCAGAAAGTGCATGATAATTATAAGGGTCTTGGATTATGTTATTGATATCCCATACCAGCATAAAGTGTTCGAGTTTTTGAATCTAAAAGAGAGTTGTCCACAGCCAAGACCTCCACTGATTAAAGGTATTCATTGGAGCGGTAGTCTGACATTAAAATGCCTTTAGTTTGCCTAGTTTTATAATACTAAATAATCTAAAAAGAATAGGCAACAAACTTACAGGATAACTTTGAAATTGCTTACTTAACACATTCTTCTGTTCCGTCATCTTAAACCAGGTACCTTTTGCAGAACATTCAGTGCATCCGCTTCAACGATAGAAATTTTTCTTAGGCCCTTCTTTAAATGTCCATAAAGCTATGTGCAGCCTCTTGAGACACACATTTTCGTGCAACAGTTCAGCGTTTAATAAAATCTTTTGTTTCTGGCAATTGAAAACAGATTCCAATGAGCAAGATTCCACTTTTTGTGTTGAGGCCTCAGGTTGGTCAGCCATGATAACAATGGACTTCAGATTTATCTGCTACAATTTTCAAATTTTTGATTGGAATTTATACTTGCAGACACTTCACATTGTCACACTCATTGAAATGCTGGAAAATGCAGCAAAGTGCAAACTGTAACCTTTACAAGGAATATTTTGCTACCATACCGATGCATGTCTATAATCCAACATAAGTATCAATCGATGGGCGATTCCCTCTTGCAAATAGCGTACGAGATTTGCACAAAATCGAAAGGATTTCCAAGGATTTCTACATAGAAAAATCTGATTTTTGCCAAAGGTGTATGAGATCTTTGTGGAGTGATTCACACCTCGTTGTCTGTTACCAAATAAAGTGCATTCAAATTGCACTTACAAGAGGCACTTTAGCGTGAAGAGTTTTCCTAGCAATCATTAGTCCTACAGTTTCATACTTTTTTAGCTACATCCCTTTAACACAATTTTATTAAAAATGACCCTTTTTGAGCAAGAGCATGATGTAAATGTAAACCTCGAAAGACCTTGAAACGTTGTGGTCTGTTTCTCGGTAAAATCCCTTCCAGACAAATGACATTATTGATACATGAAGAAAAGGCTTAATAATACAAAATTAACTATGTGTTTGTTGCATTTAATGTCATACTTGTTGCGAAGTTACCTGCTGACGTGACATTAAATAAGGTATAAACTTTTTATCAAATAAATACTCTGTTGGAACCTGACAGGTAAAAACAACGTCTGTGACAATGTCAAATACTGAAAATAATACAAGTAATAATTTATGATAATTGTTGATAATTATACCGAATTTATAATCTTTATATGTTTGTATCAACCAATAAATTCTTTGATTAATTATGCAAAAGGACAAATATCTCTCATGATTTGACCTTATTTTTCAAAGACTGGATGTATTTACAGAAAACGATATTTGTACTTATGAATTTCGCAGAAACAAGCAGTGTCTCATAAGGTTTTGAATACTAAAAACATAAAGTTAGATCTGAGGGTCTAGGATTTTAGCATAAAGATGCCAATAAATTCATTATCAACATTGATGGGCATATAGGCAATAGGTTATGAAGAAGTTTTGCTTAGAATTCTCAATCTTTTCAACGGGGCTCGAGATATTCATACTAGGACCTGAAAAATCTTGTACTTTGGGCAATCTTTGAGTCTGAGCATTCTCACAAGATCTTTCCCAACCTTTGCATAGGGTTCTTGAAGTTTCAGAAAACTTAGCATGTAACATCCCCCAATATCCCAAAAAAGCTATGCTTACCATACAATGACATCATTACATTTCATTTGCCATTTGTTGGTAAACAAAAATAAGGTTGCGTAGCCAGTTTGAAAGGATACATTCTCCTAGACAGGCCTAAGCTAGGGTTGACTCAAGCAAAAGCTGCTATGAAGTACCTAGAAATGTTTTTTTATATATCCCGCAATTGACAATAAATAAACCAGCATCCGCTGAATAACTCTTTACAAAACCCTTAAGATTACAGGTAGCCTGTTCTACTCATCGTGTAGGCAAGAAAATTTTAACATCTCTTTGCTCTGTTGATAATCTTGCCCTTTAGTAAGCCAACATGTTGAGAAGGTTCCTTTCAGTCGTTGAAATAGTTTTCTTCTCGGTGTTCTGCAAAAGCATTTTTGTCATATTCAGTTTGATCGCTTTTGTACAGAAAAACTGTCGTGCCAATGAAGTCTCTAGCTAATCCATAGCAACCATTAGGCTTCAACGGAGAGTGGAAATAAATTGCTTGAAGAAAATGATATCCAGAGAGCTTTCAACTTCCTTGAATGTTGAGATCGTGCAGGCCAATCGGAGATTGACGGACTTGACGGCACTACAAGAGCTTGCATCCGGGTACTTATACGGTTGCGTGTTTTATCTACACAGTGGAAAAACGAGGCAAACCGAAAATGAGACAGAAAGACTCTCAAGTCGGTAATAGTATCTGGATAATAAACATCAAAAGGACGATGACTGCAGTGTTGATCCTATTACTGCCATGGTACGATGCATTTGTCCCGCTTTTATCTTTAGGCCTAGGCGTGGATGGAGGGTCGTGCATCAGGAAAGCAAGTTTCCCGGGACCTGGAAGGAAACTGCATATTAGCAATGCAATTATTTTTGCTTTGGAGTCAAAGATCTGGCGTTGTATTACTTTTAAGTTTATATTTCTACAACGTTAGATACGAATGCTTTCAAAATGGTGGCTGAACAATTAAAATCTAAAATTTACAAGCTTTAGAGAACATACTTGCAAAAGTTCAAATACCATTTAGAAAAGTCAAGGTGTTATTTACGAAAAGGTAAACAGATCAAAGATCAGATAAGAATAAATTTTTACGTCATGCATTAATCTATGTGATATCCAATATATCATTTTTCATAATGAATATAGCTGCAATATTCATCTAATCGCACAGCAAAGGCAGAGGTGCATAATCTTTAGAAAAACGAGGAGAATGTAATTAATGCGTTAATGCATCGTGCAGTTAAACAGCACTCGATGCCTTGAGATAGGCACACTTTTGTATAGAGCAGGACTGTTCATTGTCAATGAAAGTCTCAACTTATGAAAACTTACTTGGAGCGTCAGTCTCCTCAACGTTTGTATACGCTATTTCAAAGGAGACTGTTGCAGCTGGCACATCTCTTTTTTGCCTTTCAGATTTCACATTTGACGTAAACTCTACTCTCATGGCGTTGCCTGATGTCACAAAAGCTTTTTCTGGTGCTCCCCGACAGAAATTGCCAAGTGTTGCAGAAGAGCCTGGAAAACAAAGACCATTTGAATTTTACCTTGCATTGAATTAGCAACCTTGGTTTCGCATACTGTGATGAGAGAGACTATAATTTACGTATCTCTAAACTTTAGTGTTAATTCTTACACAAGTCAGGACTCTAGGCATTTTACAAAGTCTAAATATTTCTTCATGAATCTTTCCCCAAATAACTTAGGCTAGCAGCTAAAACTTTCTAGTGGACTGCACCATCTTAGGAGCAAATATTAACGTAGAAAATGCTAAAGTAGAAAACATTATTTTTCATCATTAATGCCATATCTATGGAGAGTGTATCATAGCGATAGCCATAATAAGAGACTTAAACTTCTTCCACTCAAAAATAACGCAGGTTGCCCAGAATTTTGCACCGGCCAAGAGAGCTGAAATATTTTTTCGAAAAATTGAGAGAAAGCTATTCTTGTTCTCAAGTTTTAAAACATTGTTCGATTTAAATTATAGCTAGTAACTTTTTGACTTACCAAATACACCATCTTTAATTTGAACAAACTCTTCACATTTGCCATTATTTTCACCGTCTAGTTGAAGTCTCGTGAATTTTGCTGCTACCTTTTGCTTTTTAGGCAAAAGAATTATCCATGTGCTTTTTGAGGTATTGTAAGCGTCCATGTTCAGACTTCTGCTCCCCCGAGTGGCTCTTACTATCCCCTGCGGTGCACGAAGTACTCTCCCTGAACCTGAAAGGTCGACGTAATTCACACTAACTAAACGAATGCTTTTATATACAGTGCTCATTCTGGCAATTTAGTTTGACTACTGCATTGTTGATTTTCAATTGGCATAAACTGAGAAGTGGTGAGGGTTTTGAAGTCATGATTTTCTTCCAAGAGACGGAAAAAACATCAAAATATTTCAAAGATTAAGTCAAGATTTTAGATCTGAACATACTATTTAACTAACAATTTTTCGCTTAAGCTCACGACATCGTCACGTTAGTTCTTGTCCTATCCCAACCCTTCCGTGACATCCACTAGAGTACTAGAGCAAAAAACCGCTAGAGCCCGATAAAACAAAATAATATTATTATTAAAATAATATTATTAACAACTATCAAGTAAAAAGTAACGACAGAAATAACTCTAAAATTAGCATTACATTACCTATAACACCTTAAACATGTTTACACCCGTGTCTATGTTTTTCGCAGGTAAAACGCGGGTGTAACTCTACACGGGTGAAACTTTTTGCAAGTCTTCATTGAGATTCAGGCCCTGGGTTTTTACTACCGCAACCCTCCCCTGACAGATGTTACCTCCCTACGAGTGACATGAGGTTTCTTTTACCTATTACGCTGACAATCACCATTCTTTGAAAAACATTATTCAGTTACTATATATCAAAAATTTTAACTTACCGAGGTATTCTACAAAATATTGCAGCCCGAATCTTTGTCCCTCTAAACTTCCATCTTTTCTTCTCAATGAAACGGTTAGCTGCTGATTTCCAGAATAGATATGAAAAGGAGGTGGCTTATTCGATCCACAGTATGTGTTGTTCTGTACACCATCCTCTATTCTCAAGTTTGCCTTCTCGCAATCAATGTTAAAATAAAGAGGCATTACATAGAGCACGGAATTTCTGTTAAACGTTGGTGGTGAAAGAACCCAGTGGCTTTCTTTTGGACTTGAGATTCTGCCACTATACAAAATTTGGCCATCTAGTGCCTGGAACATTTTCCCATCACCTAATAAAAGAAGCTTGAACTTAGCAAAAACTATAAACATGCATATTCTTTGTAAGACAGTGGATTTTAATTAGCAGAAAATTTAAAAAACGTCGTTTCCTTAGCCCTGCTTTGCTGTCAAAACATTCTTTAAACATAACTAATTTGTGTGAGAAACATTCTCATTTTTGTCATTAATCTTCCAGTCTTTTTAAAACTGCACAAGAAAAGAATCTTTTGATGGAAATATGAGTACCTACCGAAGTAGAATTTGCATCCATAAACTTCGATTTTGGTACATATGGTCCTTTTCTTTCCATGCACGTAGCCAAGAGGAACTATACGGAACATCCTTGCAACCACGGGGTGTTCCAAATCGTTCCTTATGATACCTATTGAATCTGTGTTTCCAGTAAAAATCTAAAAACAAAAAAATATAACCATATGAAAAATATCAATCTGCTTAGAATATTATAATTAGATGTTCTTTAGTATAGCATTAAGGAAAGACATAAACTCATCATTATGTAACAGCTGTATTGCAATATGTGCAAAATGCCAAAATATTTATGAAAACTAATTCAAAGGAAGGAAGCCTGAGCTATTTTTTTCAAGAATTTTCAAGAAAATTTTACTCGATAAATTGTCCTAGTTTACATTACAGCACGTTGTAAGGTAAAGTTCTAAACCTGAGTTGAGTGGTAGGCAGAGCTCTTAAGAATGTTACCTTTTGCTTATCATTCTCTGCCTTCTTTGACGGCGCAGCGTACGTCTTGAAGAATCTTCCGTCTTCTTGGCTGTACAGAACCTTGTATCTTGTTACATAGTAGGACTGCCGTGTTCCAGCCATCATGTATCCCTGTTTTGGAAGAAAATTACCTGTTAGTCTTTTTCCTACTTGTGGTTTCTAAAGCTTCAAGGGAATTTAGCATAACGGTAAGAAAGAATATTGACCTTCTCATCGTTTATGCAGCCGGGGGCATATTGCGCCAAACTGACTTAGGCCTAAGAGTGTCAGTTAAGGCAGAAAGTTAATCTACTATCCTTGCAGCACACTGATCAATAGTAGTGGTGATGATGATGAGGTATTTTTCTTCTTTGCTAGTCAAAACTGCTTTCTTTCATGCTTTTTGCTTCGTGGAAAGGGGAACAAAACGCAATACCTATTCAAACTACATGATAGCTCCGACACAACCTCTTTGATGATACTTTAAAAACATAAGTCCAAATTCAAACAGAGAGAAAAGGAAATTTAGCTAAAAACATCCATGCGCCTGACCTGTGTAGCAAACCCAGTTAATAAAGTTGGACTTCCCAAGTCGACCTGGATGAATTCTCCAACTCTGTTGTTTACTTGTGGCTGGAAGAAAAATTGTAGTAACGGTTTAAGAGCTGAATGCATATCTGTACATCATATTTTTGTATACAGTATAGAGTACTAGACCCTAGACTTTGATATTACTCTGTGAAAAATATTCTACTTTCTTAAGAATAGATTGGATCGAGTACATTCTCAAAAAAATTTATGCTTCTGTTGTGTTTGAAATGCCATCTTATTTTTTCTATGTTTGTTAATTGATATTACTGTCAAATAATGACAGAATTTTGTTTATTTTCTAAGAGTAATGTTTGTTTCCATCAAAGTCAACTCAAATATTTTGTTTATTTACACAAGTACAGAATTTTGTTTATTTTGTAAGAGTATTGTTTGTCTCCATCTATGCACAACTAGATTCTTCTTACTTTCAAAGAATTTCATTATTTCCTTAAAGAATTTCCATATCAGCGGCATAGGCTTTTTTTCAAGCAATACAACTCTATTAACAGTAGGTAAAATGCATTTTACCTGGGTGCACCAAGTATGTGGTCCATTAAGTCTCCCCGAGTCAGGTCTGAAATGGGGACTCTCTCGAAGGAACGAGGATGCAGTTACTTTAAAACTTGGTATACGTCCATCTTCCATTCCCAGGGGATCTTTGCATCCTAAAAAATAATATCACGATTTTTTTACTCTAAACTCTGAAGATGACATGACCAAAATAAACAAGCAATCGTAGAATCCAAGCACTAATATAAAACAAAAACCACCAAACAAAAACCAAATCGCTGAATCTAATTGATATCAGTAAAATTCGCTGAGTTCACGTACAAATAACTTACAGAATGCCAAAATTTCAATGATGAAGGTGCCTTTAGTTAAGTTATCTCGAAGCTTTAAGTCAACTCAAGTAGGACCTCACCTGTCTTGTGAGTTCTGTATTGTACTTTGAAACCCTTTCCGCTTTTTCTTGCATTGGTTAAGAACTTCATTGACAGCGAGTTGCCACTCGATGAAATCACATTGGGCTTTTCAATATTGCAATATTTTCCTGCAGTAATAGAAACGAGGAAAGTGTAAAAACACAGTCTTTCTTGACCCTATGTTGATTGTTACTCATTACATGGTAATCTACATAAGTGCCTTGTAACAACAAAGATTGACCTTACCCGTAATTTAGATATTCGGTGTAAATTATGCGGATGCTTTTTAGGCAACTTGGAAAACTCTGTATTCAATGTGATTAATCTATAACATTATCATTTTAATCAACTGTGAGAAAAAAAAGAAAATAATTTTAAGCTGAGAGAGAAAGAAAGCCCAGACATGAATCGCAAGGCCTAAGGCTCCCTGCATAATTATCAGTCAGTGGTGTATCTGAACTTTTGCTATATTCACCGAGTTTCTAGCAGTCGAGTTATTTCAAAATATGGTGGAACCAAAATTTTACTAAAGCGATTTCCTTTTAGACGGTTAAGACTACTAAAAAGAAAAAATATGTTACTAGACATTTCATATCTACGGGATCAGGTTATCTATTCCTTTATGCTATAGAACAGGTAGGTTTTGTTAGGATTCCAAGCTGAAGTAGGAGAGACAGAAGTTTTAGCCCTAAAGTGTTGATAAAACCATACAAAAATAATTCTGCTATTAACATTTAGCAGTTTGAGCCACCTGAAAACGTTCTGCCCTCAGATCGAAAAACGTGATATGCTGAGAGGGACCAATAACCTGTTCATGAAAACTTTGCTGCAGGCAAAAATAGCAGTTCTCTAAACAAGTCAACCTCTCTTTTCTACTCACCTATCGGATTCGTCTGGCTGGTTGCCCCGTCAAATATCTGTACGTAATCTTCATCACAGAAGCCAGTGCTGCCAGCCAGAACATCAAAGATAACGAATTTGAAGGAAACCACGTGACCTTCTGGAGCTGTTACTGTCCACAAGCAGTTGCTATAGGCTGGGTAGGTGTAGCCCGCTTCCAAGTTGAACCTGGGTGATGTGAAAGTGCCATTGGGTAAAAGAAATTCTCCTCCACAACCTGCAAAGCACCAGTACTGACTATAATATAAAGTAGTCTGAAATACACAAGGAACCTACAAAGCATATTTCCCTAAACACATAGTCTGGGATTTTAGCCTCTAGCGAGGAACAAGTAGATTATGGGGAAAATATTTTCATGAGAGTTCGATGTCTAGTATGAAGAGAAAAAACAAAGCTCGTTAAAAGAAAATGCCTATTTAAGATCTTTCTAGCATTATCACAAACTCAAAGTTGATTTATGAGTGATAAGTATAAATCTTTACAAGCCTTATGCTTTATATAGGGATTTTTGGAGTGATTTGTCCCTCGCTATTTTGACACATGTTATCAGAGTGGCTCAACGGTCAGAATCACGCTCTACAGATCAAAGGTTCCAAGGTTCAATTCCCTATAATGACGAAACTTTCACTCAAAGTGAGAAGAACAGACAGGAGTTCTCTATGATTTTAGGCATTGGAATGAAGAGGTGTGGTCATATTGAAATGAAGAACCAGGGTACTGCTCGATAAGCACAGCCTCTCATTGTCCTAAAGAATTAACTTCAGATGCTGGGTAGAAACAATGACAAAAGCTGATACAACCTACAAAAAATTTCCTGCAAAACTATTTCATAACAAAATACTGCAATATCCATTCATTGATAATATAATCATTTATAGGAAAATAAGGATAAAAAATTCTTTGGAATGGAAAATACATACCCTTTGTCGTTGTTGTTGTGTAAAATGCCTTGAATCCGTGGCTGCGATGGTACCCTCTTGATGTAAATTTTATCCTCAAATGATTCGAACTCGAGAAGAGAACGGGTGGCTTGAATCTGCAGCCACTGTTGAGAGGCAAAATAGTTTAAAAGGGTTTCCATTGCAGTTAGAATTTTACAGGGCTGCTTAGATTTAATCGTTGATATTGACTCTGATTGAAGATAGCGTGTAAATGTAATGAAGATTTAGGTGCCCTTAAAATTCTGAAATTTATGTCAGAGATTCTGATGCATAGTGCCAGTTTCCTGAGCGGTACACACCTTGATGCTAAGTGGCTGCTCCTATGGTCGCATTATAGTAAAACTTGAACTGACCTGTGTACATCTCAAAGTGTACTCTTGATAAAAAACGATCATTATAATAGTCTTACGGCACTTTTCTCTAGAATCATCATTTATCGCCCTAGCACTTCCCTTCCAAAATTGCCAATGCCCCTCAAATTTCAATTGGCCAAACATCTCACCTGTGTAACAAAGGAGACAACTCTGTTTTGCCATCCCAGACAAAAATCTCGTCCATACAAAGCTGAGCGTTGAACTCTAGCTCGAAAGCAAGGAATTCCAGACGAACATACTTCCCTTCTTGGACGTTTATCAGCCACAAGCAGTCTCCTTCTCTTGGGTACGTCCAAGGAAATCCAGGCGTCATTATTAAATCAAAATTCTTCTTCTTCACTTCACCACAGGCTATAAGAGCAAAGGGAACTAGCATTATATGTTTAATATTCGAGCTGCCTATTTCTTCAAGCCGGAAGTCTTTTCTCTGCACCTAGGAAATTATTAATTTAATCACTTAAATGATTCTTTAAAGTCAGAAACATAAAATAAGGTTAAAAATGAAATTTTGTACATGATTTATGCATGTTACGATTTCAGCTAATATGCTTATGTGTTGATAGTAGATTAAGCTATAGCAGAAATAATAAAGATAAAAGATACTTTACAGAAGATTTTAAAACCGATTGTATTACCGTGGACGGGTTGAGTGATGAACAGATTTTGTTCCAAAGCTAGAGAATCAGGATTGCAAGTAAAAGCTACTGTTGCCTCAAAGGGTGAAACTCAATATTTTAAAAAGCCAAATAACTTGAATCTAGAGGCTTTACTTAAGTAGTTTTCCAAAGACTTGGCCTTCGATTTAAAATCGTGGACTTCAAAGGCTTTAAAAACTTGCTGTACAAGTTATCTGGGTTTGAATACGGAGTACATATATGATCAAATTTTATGGGACATCTTTAATTATAAAGCAAAGCTGAGGTTGCGCTTCTTGCTGAGTTATTCCAGAAAATTCTCTCAAAGAATGATAACGGAGTCTGTCCTGAGTATTTTACATATTTTAGGCCCATATGTGTCAGCTGTAAACATTCCTTTGTTTCATATCATCTTCTCCAAAAACTCCGGCAAAAGACATTGCATCTTGTTCAATAGATATACTTAATTTTCAATACGCCATAACAGGCTGAACCAAACGCTAATATGCTTTAACACAGCTGTCAAAAATAACACAATTTGTTGCATTATGATGTAGCACTTTAAAATTTTCATCAAAACTTTTATCTAGTCACACTGTTACAAAGACCTACAAGTATCACAGTCAGTAACTGAGCCACCTTAATATGGCAGTGCATACCTTTTTTATCCAATGATCTGTACGTTGCCTTGAAACCTCGATATGATAATGATGAGTCAGATATGAAAACAATCGCCATCAAATTCGAACTTGAGATTACAATCTTCGGGGGTTTTTTGTCATTGCAGTATGGGCCTATAAATAATAAGCAATTATCACTAAGATGAAATGCAATGTTTTCAACGCTGGTCCATTTAATTGGAAAAAACATTCCAACAGATCAGCTATACTGGATTCATTTTGATAACAAGCTCACAGAATGTAATATCTTTAAAAAGCTTTTAAAACGATAAAATTTAAGATAAGATGCAGATTAAATCAAAGCAATTTCAAATTTAGATCATAAAGGCTTCTTCTTGTCTAGTTTTTTTCTATAGAAATTCCATCATTTAGTTTCATTTAATAGTTTATGTTTAAATTTTTAAATTTTAAATTGTTGAACATGTTTTCAAGACATTTTAATATTGGTAATTAATCACTTTTTAAATGTTTAAGGGTAGAAAATTAAAGATCCTGAATCTTTAAAGTATTAAAAGTTTATTCTTGGTATCTAAATAAGTTTTTTAATTTCAGCTAAGGATTGGTTTAAAAAATTATGTAGAATAAGCGAAAGTTTATCTTTACCTTTGTTAAGTAGTTTGCTGGACGATTCTTTTGATTTTAGATCTACGGGTAACCAGATGATGGAGTGAAGTTTGGTAGAAATAAATGAAGGTCGTGTTTTCAATTCATGACAGATTAATGATGCAACGAGTAGAAATAAGTCATAGCCTTGGTGTCATTGTGGTTTGCAGTAAATTGACGCCTATTCGCTGCGCTATGATTTTTAGCAGAGCAAAGAAAACAATGCTAAAGTACTATGGATTCTAATGAAAGACCTGACCAGGCCTTTAGCACTTTCTTTTCCTTGCCTTTATGCGTTATGTTATATGTAATAGCAGAGCCATGGGAGGGACTGAGGGCTCTTTTCAAAAAATTACTCTTCCCCAAAAATTTTTTCGTCGTTTTTAGACGAAATATTAGGTCGATTCATATGGGTAGAATAGTCGTTTTCGGTTGGAAAAAGACGTTTTCTCGATAGTAGGAAAGGCGTAACCTAAATATTTTCACCATGTCATCAACGACCTCGCCCTAAAGCCTACTGGCCCGTGATGTCTCTGGTTTTGTGTAAGTCCAGTACCAAACTATGTTATCTTTCTTACTTCTAACGCTTCAACCAGCTATTGCTTGCAAGGAAAGAAGCATGTGTTCAATTGTTGCTTCTTCTATTGCACTTCATCCTCATTTAAAAACTTGCAATTAAAATGTTTGTTATCAAGCGACCATTGTCATTCCTAGAGGACAGAGACAATCGTACCGAGATTTATAGCAAAGGCCCACAAAGCACTCAAATGGAACTTCAAAAAGTTAACATCATTATTCATGAACGCAATTTGCTGTTTTTAGTGTCACCAAAGTCAATTGAAAAAACAGGAAGAAAATATGATAATATTTTGAAGTTATTCTTGTGGACGACTTTTGGTTTTTTGAAGTTAAAAGCCCACCCAGGCTGAGAGTACAACTACACCCAGCAACATTTACAATATAACTTGGTATATCTAAATAGCTAAAACTTATATATGAAATGCTGGAAACTATAATGACGATGAGTCAGTACAACTTGACGTTGCAAACCTTTAAGTCTTTTAAAATTTGTTTAGCTTTTGCCTAGGAAACCAGGCCTAACGCTTTCCGGTATTGTGTTCTTGAACTACGCAAATAGAACATTTTAAAAGAAGTGACAATTCTTTTCTATACATTTTCATGGTAACGATACTCTAATTTTCATAGAAGGGATGAATTAAAAAATAATGAGGAAAAAATAAGGCTTTTGTTGAAAAGTAAGTTTATAAGAAACAAAGGTCGATGTTGAGTACTCCAGTTTCTTAATGTTCTGGAAATTTCAATACTCATTGTTTCTTAGGAGTTTCTTAATTATGATGTCATGATTGATGTTATGAAATGTTCGTGACCTTTTTTATCACGTCAAGAGATTCGCTTCCGATCTGATGCTGTATTTAGATGTGGGAAGTATATTTTTAACCCTTGTGTCTTTAGTTCTAGGGCAATCTTATTCTTGGATTTTACAAAATTTCGTTGTTCTCAGTTTTATCACGATTTAATAGTTTCTTAATTTTTTTGCTTCGAGTACTGAAGTTTCTTAATTTTTTCTGACTGTCCAGTACTCGTTTCTTATAGCCAGTTTCTTATAAAAAAATGAGTGAATTCCATTTTGCCTGAAAACATTGGCAATAAATAATTGTTAGTTAGTCACAGTCGACCATCGATGTCTCAGCAAAGTAGCTGAATGTTTCTGTCACTTCAAAGTACCTTTAGAAAACCGTTGCTTACATCTTTTGACTTTGTAGCGTGTGAAAGGTGCCTTAGCTTTCTCGGTAGAGGGGTCCCAGAGAATCTTAACGCAGACTAAATTTTAGAATTTTAAGGGCACCTGCACCCCAGATGCTGCACCCCTGCTCTAGAAAAAAGGGCTCGATTAAGTTTTCACTGGGTTTTTCTTCTTGGAAAGTAGCAATAAAGTACCGAAGTGTGACGTCATCAATAGTCTATTTTTAAAATTACTTAAATTTGGCCACACAATCTGAAAGAACATCATAAAATACTCCTCAATATGCAAAATTAGTTAGATATGTTCCAAATCGGGCGAGATATGACCTTGTTATTTTGGCCTGGTTCAAAAAGTTATGAACCAAGATCAAATTACAGAGGTTTGATGGGACAAGAGCCTGTGCTCAAGTGGCCATATCTCAGCCAATTCGTAATACCTTTAACTGATTTTGCATATTTACAGGTATTTCATGATGCTCTTTCAGGTTCTGGGATCAAAATTCAGAAGTTCTAAAAATAGATTTTTATGACGTCATCACTTCGGTACTCTATACTCGATAGAGTAAAGCATGCTATAAATGTGCGCAACTATTATTCAATTTAGCTTATTGGCTTTAAGCTTTAGAATGTCTTTAGATGTTTGTTTTTTGCAAATCTATTTTTGACTCATCTTCAAGAAAAAACAACAGGTCTTGTCTCAATTTTCATCAAAATACTTAAAAGGTAACAGAAAATAATCACTGTATTACTTGAAAAATTCAAAACATTATAATGCCCTTTGTATAACGACTTACCATATGTGTTTAACATTTTTGACCAGAAGCCGAATAAATCTTGGTGTAAAATTCACTCTGACCTTTTCCCGTTTAAATTCAGAAAAGATTAAATTGAAATAGGCCGAAAAATTGATAAATACTAGTCTTCTCTAAAGTTAATAAATCTCCTTAAAATGACAACAAAACAAAGACTTGAGCTGTAGTAAAAACATTTTCCAATGCGTTCTACCTAAATTAATATCAATATCCGGAGTTCTTTCTTTCACGGTGCTCTATTTTTGAGGAATTTCAAAAAGAATTTCTTGCTAGATGTAGCAAATTTTTAGGTTCTTGCAGCCCTCTAGAGGGATAGAGGCTCTATCCCTCCAAGAAAGCAATGGCATTGCGACCTTTAGTCTCTCTGGGTACACACACTTCATGCCTGTGTTCACTTGGCGAGATACTGAGAAGCATTAGCCCCCTCCAGTTTTCTTGGTCAATGATGTTACCATGACCGGGCGTGGTATAGAACAGCTTGCCATAATGTGACATGCTTTGACCATGACTTTGCTTTGACATTCTATAGTTTAGTATATCACGGCTAAAGGGTTCTTGCTTTGAAACTATGTATATACTCAAAACTGGCCTTATATCGTACTGTATGAAACTACAACATATACCCATTTCGTCTCGTGTAAAATAACTGCTACTGCAAAGCATGCCGGTTGCTAAAGAACCTTCAAGTAAAACATGGGTTGACATAGTATTACATGGTTAAGAGTGGCAAGGTATGGCAGAGCTTGATATAACATATTTCAGCCTTTTATAGTTGGCTATGTCATTGTGTGACAAGGTTAGACGTAGTAGTGGTATAGTATGGTTTGGTGTGGTATGGTATGGTTAAGTGTAGTAAAGCATGGTTTAGGGTGGTATGTTACTTTTGAGCATAGAATGACATTGTTTAGCATTTTTTGATGTTGTTTAGTGATTTAAAGCTGAGCTTTGCATTGGATGGCATATTTTGGCATGGTTTAGCATGGTTAAGCGTGGACAATTGGTGATATTCCAATCAAAACTTTTAGGGTGTTATTATGCTTATAGTTTGACCAGCTGACTTGTCTGGCTTTAAGATTTCCCGGACGTTCAAAGAAGACCTTTGTGCAATCTATAATCACCCTACATCTTGGAAAACATCTCTTGAAGACTTCTGGAAGGGTCCTTAGAACATCCCCTTTATTAGGCCAATGAATAAAGCCTTTAAGTTTCTTGGCAATAACTGGTATGCTGTTGCTTTGCTTATGCCAAATCCATGTCCCAAATTCTCATGGAGAAGATTCAAACGTAGCTTTAGTAAGACAATAAAACATAGGGGCCCAATGGCTATGTACGAAGATGTCTGGTACGTAGTATGAACTCAGTAAAGAGCGGTAGCAAAAAGGATTGGGCTTTTCTATGAAGATGTTCAAAAAGAGGAATACAAAGTCTCGGTGAGAAATTACTCTCGTTGAGATTGCCATGAACGATGCCGAATCGTTGAAAAACGCACTAAAATGCTTCGCAATATTTTATGCCTATTTTATTATGGCCACAAAGCCATGGGATTTCTTTGAAAGAATCAACATCAGTATCCTCTTGACTTCTAAGGCGCACAATAAAACCTTTACATGGGCTGTATTCAATGCACATGGTCTTATCATCATACCGTCAAGACAACCACTAGATGTGCATGTTTTCTTTGTTTGACATCAGAGGCTAAAGAGGGGGTCTTAATAGAGAGGTCGGCTTATTTTAAATTTTGGCATGGTAATAGGGCTTGATGGAGAGAGGGCTTAATAGAGTGGGGGGGGGGGGCTTATTAGAGCTTTTACGGCATGCCAATTTACAGCGATTTGTAATGATTCATGATTATACGATAGTAGCCAATTCACGATGACCTTCACAGATTTATTATGACTCATGATGACTCATCATGATCTCAATGATTCATGATTATTAACACTGTTTCGTGGTGATTAATGCTGGTTCACTACCATTTGCATTCATTCACAATAGTTCATGATTATGCAGAGATATCGCAAACTTGAAGATTTTACTGTTTCATTTGAAGTTTTTTTGGGAGAAAAAGTGGCTTGTGATCACTGTAGTAAGATTCTGAAGGTGAACATTTTAACTGCGTCAAATATTCTGGAAGTTTCTTAATGACAAACATCACTGTCCATTGACAAAGCAGCTAATTGCAATTCAACTAATGATGTGAGAGAAGTTCCATGGAGATTTTAAGCGGTATCAAACAGCTTTGTCAATAATTGGAAATTTTATCGAATAGAAAACCTTAATTCCCACAATAGGCATTCCTTCCATTGTACAGGTGCACAATTGCTGGATTGTGTGCTGCAGCTTCCTTTGAAACTGTGCCAACTTCTCTTTTGGCACGGCCAAAATAAAAATTTGCAAAATTGACTTGCTGATGACGTTGAGCCAACATCATTTCGTAGCCGCGAACAATAGAAAGCGGGACACTAATTAGAGTAAAATGGGAATTCTTCGCATAGCATTCTGTTACGGAAACCGTATCACTTCGTTAGTTACTTACTTACTTACTTATTTACTTACTTAATGGGTCCCCCACTCCTATATGTACTCATTCTTCGTACATAGTTACAGGGTCCCCCACTCCTATATGTACACATTCTTCGTACATAAAAAGACGTCTTGTGGAACAACAGCATCAAATGTTGGCAAAGCTGCCAGCCCCTAACCTCACGTCACTATCTTGCCTTTACGTGTTTCTGACGAAAGCTCCAATTGTGGACCACCCTCTGAACTCTAACCTACGCTCAGACTTAGCTTCTTTCTATCAATAAAACATTTGTATTCTCAATATTTTGTTTAACATGATATTGAAACTCAATGCGATCTTTAGATTTATTAAAAATGGGTCAGTTAACTTTTCAGATACGTTTCATGATAGCTTTATTCGGCATTTACGAGAATTCTTTTGATCTTACACCAGTAAGTTTTGTTACTACAATGACAATAACGAGACGAGTAAAAGCCTTTTCTTGCCCCATCCAATCTTGCGGGTTCCAATTTCCATAATTCAAAGATAAAGTCATGATCAAAAAATTTAATCGAAAAATTTCCTCAAAACATTAATGGTGCACAAAAATGTGACGTTATCAAAAATCTATTTTTAGCATTTATTAATTTTTTGACCGCACAATCTGGAAGACAGCATAACATAACTCCCAGTATAAAATATCAGTTAAATAAATATATCAATATGGAATATTTTGCAAATATGTGCAAAATAATATCTGCGAAATTAGGTTTTTATGGCCATAAAAGATGACTAGTCTACTAACAGATAATTGTTATTTTGGCCTGGTTCATGAGTTATGTGCCATATCTCAGCCAATATCTGTCACATTAAACTATAAGTGTGGTGGAATTACGATTTTACCCGGACAAAAATAATAAAAAGCTGTAATTTGGCAAATGGTTCCATACGATACTGGGAATAACCAGAAAAAAGCCCCATCAATTGGACATTGGGAATTCCTTATTTGGGCAAATCCCATATGGCGCACTGATCAGCAGGGGTTGAAATTTTGATGTCGCTTTTTTCTGGTCATTTCCAACTTAGTATAGAACATCTGTGCCAAATTACAGCCTTATATTGTTTTTGTCCGGGTTAGACCGTTTTTATATCTAATTCCACTACACTATCTTTTGAACATTTAGAGGTATTTCATAATGCTTTTTTGGGTTAGGTAGTCTAAATCGAAAAGCTCTTAAAATCGATTTCTGTGACGCCATCGATTCGATTCACTTTTCTTAAATGCTTCATAACAAAAAATATTAAATCTAGTATTTTGGTGTTCAAATCATTTTAATGATAGATATTTCATCAAGAAATGTATGAAAACTGACGATATTCACAGTTTATTATCATTTTGCATTTTTCATTGTTATAACAAATTACTTATTTAGAGATTCTTAATTTATTTAAGCGTTATCATAAACAGCATGTTTTGTTACTTTATCCAAAACATCAAATTCATTTAACATTTATTTAGTATCCTTGCTCGATTTAAAGTTTCAGGTTTAACTATTCATATGTATTGGAGAATTTTTTCTATGATTTAATATGACAAATTCAATATTATTTTGACTTAACTCTACGCTTTACGTTTATTGAAACGCCAACTTAGGACAAATGTCGAAAATGCAAAAGAACATTCATATACAAATACATTCTGAAATAATATAGTTGAAATATGTTAAAAAACGACAGTATCAAAAATGTTGTTGTAAAGAACTGGCATTATTATTATTTTGGTTTCAAACGTTATCAATAAAAGTAAACAAAAGTTCCGAATACCCATCTACTGATACTGGAACGAATATATTACATAATCATTTTCAAAATTGAGCCAGGAATTTCACTGACGTCATTAGAGGATGACAATGAGGTCGTCGTTTTTGTTCCCGAGAAGTGAATTCATTTGCTTAAACACCATCTTAAGGCCTGGTTCAAACGTCGCGCTTCTCATGTGCCGAACCTAACTCGAGAATTAAGTACATGAGGGGCGCGACGTTTGAATCAATTTGGTACGGCAGATTTAGTTAGGAGCGGCAGACTAGTTTGGATCGGCAGAGCTTGCCGAGCTGCACGGCTCCAGCACGGCACGGTTTCAAGCGTCGAGCTTGTCATGTACCGAACTCAATGCATAATTATATTTAATTTATTTTCCTTCACAAAATTCATTTCTTTCTTGGAGGGCGCATGCGTTTCAAACAAATATTTGAGATTGCGTGCCTTAACCAAGATACTTCATGTAACAATCCTAAAACCCATTTGGCGCGACATGATTAAGTTCGACGTTTGAAACGAGAGTCGCGCTAAACATGCTCAAGTGTCGCTCCAAACAGAGTTAGGTTCGGCACATGAGAAGTGCGACGTTTGAACCAGGCCTAAAATGTTTCAGTTTCTTTTCTGAATTGGTAATATAAAGGAGAGATCTTTAACAAATCTTTAAAAAGGTGAAAGATTGTGAAGCTAAGAGGTTAAGGAGGTAAGATCGAGTACTTTGAAGAAAGGTAGGCTATAAGAAACTCTTTTATGGATAATGCTTTCCACAGTTGGCAAGCTCTAGAAAGAAAAGGTTGCTGGGATATTTTTAACTTAAATCCAACTCACCAATTTGCGGGACATCTTTGAAATTCCCATGAGTCGGTTTCTTGTTCCTAATTTTGACGTAATCAGCGGAGCAGTCTCGATATGGTTCCACATCAAAATCCACAAACGTCAGCTCAACATATTTTGACTCCGTCGTGTTAATTAGCCAAATAAAAGCAATGCTATTAGGATAACCATTTGGATACCCAGGGCTTGTTATGATTCCAGACTCATCTGTTAAGCGAATGCCTCCTCTTTTTGTTGCTTAAAAAAAGAAATGAATGTCAAACTCAAGACCAAGTACGATGATATATAAAGGAAATGTTTATACTAGGTACTAGAGATATGAGTTCAGAAATGTGTTTCGTTTTCCTTCAGCTTAGTCGAATCTCTATAAACATTCCTTATTGATACAACAAAATTATGTCTTCCACACGCCATGATGATCTTTGAGGTTCTCCAGTAGATGGATATATGCTTGATTTCAGCATATCATGCTAGTAAAATCAGTATACAGAATTCCTTTGAGAAATGGCTGTCAGGGACGGCATTTTGCTATGCTATGAATCGCAAGAAATAATGTTTTCAGCTCTAGAAATGAGTTATAACATAATAATCATAAAATTGTAAGAATTCTGTTGTCATTTGAGTATTTTTTGAGTTAACTCATCCAATTTACACGATTGCAAACAGTGCCACGAGAGTTATCAAGGGATATGTTACGATTAACATTGCCTAGTTGCAACAACTTGCTTGTACATTTCTCGGCAGTCTAGAATTTTCTACATTACTTTACTGACTTTACTCCTTTAGGTTAAAATCCCAATGAATGGGCCATTATTCTATCACTTTATTCCTCGATTAGTCTTTTAAATTCCACATTAGCGTTTAAGAAGTCGCAGTGTTGTTTACAAGTTAACAAAACCCCTGCCCAGGGCGATTAATAGCTCCCTTCTTATAAATCGTGATAGCGAATATTTTTGCTGCCTAAGCACGCTTGTTCACTCGAAGACAAAACAAAGCAATGCCAACATGCAATTTAATCTTACTTATCAAAAACTAATGCTAAGATAAAAACTTCGCTACACGTGCGCCCCTGCGGCCAGCATTGTGTCGCTTATTCATTTCATCCGATAAAAAGCATTAATACGACTTTACGAAAGATTGACCCGAGATCTGGTCGATATCTGGTGAATCAATGAAATAGGGGAATGCCCATCTGCCGTACACGGTGATCGCGATAAACATCAAACGACTATCCGGCTTTCGTTTTCATAAGAACTCGACAGGTTGAAAACAGTCAAGCCAATATTTTCCATAGTTCAGCTCTTAAGCTGTATCTTAACTTTATCCAATTTATGACATCAAAAAAGTTTTCAAGGTTACTTATGCTTCACTTCCAA